CCTGCACGTGCCGTGCCGTGCACCCTGTATATGTATACATAAATATATACGAGATATACGAGACCCGTCGCATATACAGTAAATTTAATGGTTTCAGTAAATCCAGGTTTTCTCCCAGTTTTTGTTTTTGGACAAAGTATGATATTTCTTATAGTATAATTCTTATTGACATTTAAAAACCTACAAAAATATCTTTTCACTCTTGACAATATTGTTTTACACCTTAAATGGGGTAGTTAAATTTTTTTTGACCTATACTTTTTATGGTTTTATTCAAGGCGTTTTGTAATTTTAAACATTTCTGTGAAATCGGAATTTCAATTGAGGTTACCGTTTTCGAGATATTTACAAAACAAAATCTCCTAATTACGTCACTAGGCTATTGACAACGTTGCCAGCTTTTTCTATGGTTGCCAGTGTGTTTAGTTTACGATAGATGGCGCCACGTTATAATATTTTAGTTGAGAAGAAGAATTGATTTTTTGACGTTTCTTTTTTTCGGGTTGTTTTTTTTAAATTTAGATTATTGAAAATCAATGTTATTTGTAATTGATATTAGATAAGTGATTTATTAATAACGGATTCCAAAGCAGAGAAATCTTATGGAATGGTTGGTTACATTGAACATTGGAGCTTTTAAACAAAAAAAGTATGTACCTATAATTATAATCATATTTTGTCGTAAATGCATTTCATTGGTATAATGCCTAGTTCTTTATATTCTTTTAGATATATTATTATTTTTTGTAAATTTATTTCATTCATTTTCAGCTTTATTTTGCCACTTTTTTCTATGAAATAAATTAAACTCTGCTTTAGACAGTTATTAGGTACCTATTTAATACATTTTATTAGGTTTCACACGGTGTTTCAATGTGTAAACCTATCAATAAAAGTTTTAATTTCAGAATTTTCTTTAACCTTCTCTTCTTCTTCTTTCACTCAACTGACAGTGACAGTATTTGTACATAACCTCTTCGGGTATTTTCTGACATAACCGAATGAAATCATTAACAAGACAACTTGACAACAGGGTAATTTTCAACCAATAGAAATCTTAGAATGTTGGTCACATGACGGGGTTTGTGACGTCATAAAAATTTATATTTTTTGTAAATATCTCGAAAACGGTAAACTCAATTGAAATTCTGATTTCACAGAAATGTTTAATATTACAAAACGCCTTGAATAAAACCATAAAAAGTATAGGTCAGAAAAAATTTAACTACCCCATTTATTCCAGAACGAATGGAGTATTGTTTACCATTTATACCTTACTATAGCAAGATACATACATCTTATTACTATAGATATACGTAATTAACGTATTATGAATGAAATTAAAGTAATGTTATTTAAATGAAAGGTTTCGTTCCTGCGGGGTCACGTCGTGACATATAAAGATCACGCGCGTGTCACTGCTTGACATAAAACGACAAACTTAATCACTGTGCCAGCAATTGAATATCAAGTTATGACATGTCACTTCTTGACTTTTTCGTGATATCACAAATGTTTACTGGGAAGTAACGATTTTTTATATTACTCTTTTATTCACATTTAAATCGTTGTTAAAACGCGGGAAAATCTGTGAGTACCATATACTTAAGTATATGGTGAGTACGGATTCAAACGCCATCTTTGTTCATAAAAGTAGGACGCCGACGTTACTAAATCACTGGATATTTCTTTAATCAAACCACTTGCCAATGATACCAACAGCCCTGACTACCCAGCCAATTCAGGCGTGGCAATATTGTTTTCATCATTTTTTTTGTTGACCTGTGAAATTCCAGATAAGTCCGTACTCGGGACAATCGCAAAGCGTGTCACGATAGTTTTATCTATTTGAAGTAGCAAAAAAGGTGATTGAATGATTCTTAACATTTTGTTCGCAAAATTGACATACAAAATCTGCCGTTGGCTATGTAAGTACCTATTTTTAACGTCAAAACCAGAGTCAAAACCCTGGTGAAAATAGGTCGATGGATGAATTCCAAAATTTGAAGATTTTTGTGAAAATGATTCTCATATTATCACATGGCAATGCGGCAGTTAAAAGAGGATTTTCCGTCAATAAAGAATGCCTCGTGGAAAATTAAAAAGAGGCATCTTTGATTGCTCAACGACACGTTTATGATGCTGTGATGGAACGTGGTGGTATTCTAAAAACAGAGGTCAATCAGTCCATGGTACACGCGTTTCAAAACTCCCACAGCAGGTACACTGAAATGCTCAAAGAGCAACGGCAAAGGAAAGAAACAGAGATAGTTCAAGAAGAAAAGAAAACAAATAGCCAGAGAAGTTCGAGAATTGGAGAAAGAAAAAGTGGCTTTGGATAGCAAACGGAACATGATTGTTGAAGAAATTAATGAGAAAAAACGAAAATTAAAGTAATATGAAAATGTGAAAAACATGTATTATGATCTGTACACCAATGACTTAGTCATTATGACTATGAGATAAAAATTGAATAAATATTATCTAACTAAATACAAAAAGCCAATAACTGAAGTTGCACAGTGCGATGAATAATACTACTTTATTTATCGTTATGTTTTTGCAAGGGATTTATATGTAACCAATAATAAAATCCAACTCTAAACCTGATTATAAAAACTTACATTTTCCGCACCAAAAATATCTTCAATAATAGCATTATTTGATGCGCGGTGTAACTTTGTATAGGTAGTAATTTGTGTATGTTATCTTGAAATTTTTTTTTAACAATATCATAATCTGTTTAAACTTTTAAAATGGGTTACGGGAAAACTAAAAAATGTACGGGAAATGTACGGGAATTTTTTTCGGCCTATTCAGTAGACACCCTGGATAAGTAAAATTACAAGTCAGTGCATACCAATAAAAAATTATGTATAATACAATTTGAGTAATCTTCCAAGACATGTTGGGAAATCTACTAAGATAAGTTGTAATTTTACAATCTATATGTATAAATCCTACATGCATTGTAATTTTACCACAGTACTTTTCAAAGAAATAATAAAAATTTAAAATTATATAAAATCTGTATGATTTGGATTTTTTAAAATTTCACGATAAACTATGGTAAATAATAAATTGCACCAATTAAATTTATATTATATTTAATGGGAGCGCCATGGGGCCGGTTCGGCCGAGCAAAAAATTATCTTTTTTTCGTAAACTCAATTTAAATTCTGCTTGCGCAGAACTTGTTTATTTAATGTCATTATAAACTCATATAAATTTGGTGTGGGTTCCATATCTAATAATTAAGATATCGGTATACCCAAAATCCACCAGCCGCCACTGGTGGAACGGACAACGGAACAAAAACTCCGGCGAGGTGATGGTTCAATTTTTTAAATCTTTACAGTATAATGGGTCAAGAAAGGTTTTTGAAGAAACTAAGAAATTTGCAGGTTTTTTTTCGTAGTATAATTAAAATACCATCATTCGTAAATTTCTAAATATTTTTAGTGTAATTTTTTGTACAAAATAACATTATTTTTTATTGTAACGAATTTTCTTCAGTTCAGTAAAATTGTAAAATATAATTTGTAATTTTCTTAAACTGAGTTAAAATTAATTGTATTTTAAAATTACTAAACATATCGTCGTTTATCTGACAAAGAGGCGTAACTCAAAAAAAATCGTTTTTGAGTTATACCAGAATGATCACCAAAATCGACTTTATAATCTCACAAACTGGCGTAGCTCTATAATAAATAGGTACAAATAAAGTTTTAGCATAAATCAGTTTCGGCGTAACTAATATTTTTGCATTTTGTGTGCCGTACAAACTGGCGTAATTCAATTCACACCGTTTTGTTTAAAAATGAGATACGCCTCTTTGTCAGATAAACGACGATATTTAGTATTTTTTTTAGCAAAATTACAATACTTGTATAGCCAAAAGTATATCGAAAATATGGTTTGGGGTGACAACAAAAAATTATTGTGAAAGTTTGAGTCCATAATATTATTATCAGCAAGTTTTAGGCTCAGAACCATTGAGTTTAACAAAATTGACTTAAAAATATTTTTTAAAGAAAATTAAATGCTCTACAAAAAAGGTTAAAGTGAAATTTTCCGTCAGATGAACCATTTCCTTAAAATCATGCCTTAAAAATTGGTATAGTTTTAAATTTTGATCTTTTAAATTGGGATTTTGTAATTCATGTAAAAATCAGTACCCATAAAAAACCCGATAAATATTCTTATGGGAAATCAAATGCTTTACAAAAAAAGCCTCTTAACATTTTTGGCTAAATTCACTCAATCATAAGTTATTCAAGGTTAAAATTTCGTTTTGACTTTAAATTTAACCTTGAATAACTTTTGATGGGGTGAATTTGGCCAAAAATTATAAAAGACTTTTTTTGTTGAGCATTTGATTTCCCAAGAATATTTATCGTTTTTTTCAGGGTACTGATTTTTACTTGAATTATAAAATTCCAAAGAAAAGAAAAAAAAATCTAAAATTAATATTAATATTATGGACTCAAACTTTCACCATAATTTTTTTTGTCGCCCCAAACAATATTTTCGATATACTTTCCAAAAATAAATAGTCGATTGTTTTGGCCCAGTCTACTGCATAGTAATGTTACTGAACAAATTTTTAATAAATGCAAACGTTTTGTAATTTTCCCAAATTGAGTTGTATTGAATCGTGTAGTGAATTTACAAAACTGAGTTTTATTATTACCATAATTTGGTGCGTAAAAACTTCCTAAACATGTTTAGTAAAATTACTTTGAATAAAATGAAAAAAATGCAACAGTCAATTTTTCTGAAAATTTCCCAGGTTATTTGGGAATATTCGGCTGTTTCGGCTGTCATCGGTTAATTAAAACAAATATATATATATATATATTTCAAACACTAATAACTAATTTTCTGGTTTTCCAAAATTTACTAAGAAATGGATGTCAACTAAAATGTGTCCAAACTTTGTTTTAACACGATTTTGAAAAAACCTGCAAATCCCTGATTGCCTATTCTCTTCTTTTTAGTTGCGGATCCGGTGGTGGCGTTCTGCGAAACAGTGGTGGAAACTTCATCGCTAAAATGTTTCGCCGAAACTCCAAATAAAAAAAATAAACTTACGATGATCGCGGAACCTTTGGAAAAAGGTTTAGCTGAAGATATCGAAAACGAAAATGTCGTGATTAATTGGAATAAGAAAAAGCTGGGCGAATTTTTCCAAACCAAATACGATTGGGATCTCTTGGCCGCGAGAAGCATATGGGCTTTCGGACCTGACAACACTGGTAAGAAAAATACAGTTAAAACAAGACGATCTTTTGATCTTGATACCTTAGTGTCCATGGTACAGTTGGAGAAGATAGTAATGAACTTTTTTTTTGCGTTTTCAGGCCCTAATATTCTTGTGGACGACACTCTGCCCTCTGAAGTCGACAAAGGTCTACTATCCTCAGTAAAAGATTCTATCGTGCAAGGTTTTCAATGGGGTACAAGGGAAGGGCCTCTGTGCGAAGAACCTATTCGAAATACAAAGTTTAAAATATTGGACGCGGTAATTGCCGGTGAACCTCTACACCGAGGAGGCGGGCAAATTATTCCAACGGCGCGTAGAGTTGTTTATTCTGCATTTTTAATGGCCACGCCAAGGTTAATGGAGCCATATTTGTTTGTCGAGGTTCAGGCACCTGCAGACTGCGTTTCTGCAGTTTATACAGTATTGGCTAAAAGAAGGTAAGATAATAATGTATAATATATCATATTTTAAGTTTTCTTTAATTTTGACAGTTGGAATGTAGCTAGACTAACCAAATTTAGTGTCGGCATTTCAATAATATTATTTAACATTTCATTAAAATTTGGTATAAAGTGCATGATTTTAAAGTGAGATACACTAAGTAGTTCGAATGAACCATTAAAAAATGCGAATTATTGGGGTTAGTTTGGTTACAGTTAAAGTTACAGCAATCAAATTTGGTATGGACAATATTAGAGTTAATTATTACATTGTATTAAAATTTTATTAAAATTCAAGTTTATAATATCACAATATTGGTTTTTGGACAATTTTTTTAATTTTAAATTTTGGTATAAATTGCATGATTTTAAAGTGAGATACACTAAGTAGGTCGAATGTACCATTTATAATATGTGATTTATTGGAGTTAGTTTGGAAGTTACAGCAACCAAATTTAGCGTGGACAATCTTAATGTTAATATTCACATTGCATTAAAATTTGGTTAACCCGTAACCGGTACTGTGGTGTCTGGGAGACACTCATCAACGAACAAAGCCCTGTCCCACCCTCACCTTTTGTTTTAAAAATCTGTCGCTTCCAATACTTTTAAGTTGAGCAGTTATCAATATGCTCTCAGACTTTGAACAAGTTGGATTGTCAAACGGACAAATTATTACAAGTCAAAGTGTTGAGGTGTCTAGTAGACCACTGCGTACCGTTTACGTAATTTTTATAAAACAATTAATTCGTTATGGATTCGCAACAAGGGCCTTCTAAAAGTGTCCAAAGTGATAAGAAGGGCTTTAAGGAAACTGTAATGTAGTGGTTTTATGAAATCTACAGCGATATAAGTGATATAGATGACTGTAGTATACTACATAACCATTATAGTGATTATGTCGTTGAAGATAATCACAGCAGCAATTCAGGACTTGTCTGTGAAGAGTCTATAGAAAATAATTTTCTCGATTTTTATGTAAGAATGTCATATTCTCGCACGCAAAATCGTTGAAGAATGAAGCTCATTCTTAAACGATTTTTGGTAACATTTAGTTTTTAAGTATTGGTACCCCCAAAATATCAAACTGATTAATAACCTCAAATTCATTACTTTTATTGAAAATGAAGCCTTTATTATTGTTTTGTAATATAAAGTTTGCTCCAACAATGCATTTTAATGCAAAATTTTAAGTTTAATGTGTAAAAGTGCAGTTCAGGTTGTACTTGTGCAGGATAACAAATATTGTCATTTTGTGTTGCCAACTGACATTTTGCGAGAAAAATCCCCTAACTAACAACGACCACAAAACAATTAAAAAAACCTAAATAAAAGTTAAAATCGAGAAAATAGTATAAATCACACGTTGCAGAAGGCTATTCTCGCACTCATTCGTTCGTCCACTCGCTCCTTCGTCGCTCGAGGCCAAATTTCGAATTCGTGCGAGAATATGTGGCCTTCTGCAACTTGTACTTTAATATACTATTATAGGGTCAGATAGTGAAGAATTTGAAATTTTTTAAGAATTTGAAAAAAAAACAAAAAAGTTACTATGGAAAAAATAATTGTAAAAATTAGCTATAATTTGAAGCAGTTATTTTTGCTGTTAAAAAAAGATATATTTAATTTTTTTTTGTTTATGTTATTTTTTAAGGTATATATTAAGTAGTTTGAATGTACCATTTAAAAAATGTGAATTTTTGGAGTTAGTTTGAAAGTTAGACCAACCAAATTTGGTGTGGACGATCTAGGTGTTAATATTGACATTGCATTACAAATTTTAGTTAAATCCACATTATAAAAATTTATAATATCGCAAAACATCATATTTTGACATTTACAACAATTTTGACAAGTGTGATGTAGCTAGACTAACCAAATTTGGTGGGGTATTTTAATAAAGTACTTTAACATTTAATTAAAATTAAAATTTGGTATAAATTGCATAGTAGTGTAGTTCAAATATACAATTTAAAAAATTGAATTATTGGGATTACTTTGGAAGTTGGAGCAACCAAACTTGGTTAAAATCCATAATATTTGTATTCATTGTATCGCAAGATTGGTTAAAAAACGTCATATTTTCACATTTTCATTTATTTTGACAATTGTAATGTAGCTGGACTAACCAAATTTGGTTTGGGCATTTCAATAATGTACGTTAACTAAGTAGTTCGAATAAACAATTTAAAAAATGAATTATTTTGATTAGAAGTTGGAGCAACCTTAAGAGTAAATATAGGACAAAACTAGAAAAAAAGTTACAAATGATTTTCAATTGTTGACATTTTCTTTAATTTCGACAGTTGTAATGTAGCTAGACTATCCAAATTTGATAAAAACATTCCAACCGTTTATTTTAACGTTGTAATAAAATTTGGTTAGTTTTCATTAACTGGTGTTTTGTATTCAGGGGTCACGTAACTCAAGATGCACCAGTCCCTGGTTCGCCTTTATACACCATTAAAGCTTTTATACCGGCAATTGACAGTTTTGGCTTTGAAACCGATCTTAGAACACACACGCAAGGCCAGGCTTTCTGTCTGTCAGTTTTTCACCATTGGCAGGTAATAATCACACTCCTACATCCTAATTTCAACGGTATTTCAATGTTTTTTTCTCTTTAGATTGTCCCTGGGGATCCCCTGGACAAAAGCATCGTTATCCGTCCGCTGGAACCGCAACCCGCGACGCACCTCGCCAGGGAGTTCATGATCAAGACGCGGCGGAGGAAAGGTTTGAGTCAGGACGTTTCAATTAACAAGTTCTTCGACGATCCCATGTTGCTAGAACTTGCTCGTCAAGACGTCATGCTAAACTACCCCCTTTTGTAATTGTAATTAAATAGGTTACAGATTTTAATTAATAAAAGTTATGTCTAAAAAAATTTGCTTTTTATTTCCCTTGCCATTTTTTTTAAATTCCCGAATCTGATCTTTTATACAAATTGGCAACGTTGAATACTTGCGACGTTGCCAGATTTTGCAAAAAATGTAGATGTAGGGATTTTTTAAATTTGACAATGTCTCAAATACCTCCTTGCCTTACTGCTCTCCTAATAAAATTCTTTTAAATTTAAAATGTTTGCGAACGGAATTTATGTAATTTTTTATCAGGATCACATAAAAGCGAGGAGGTGTCTACTCCAGATACTTGCGACGTTGCCAGATTTTGCGGAAAATTGCAGATCGAGGGATTTTTTAAATTTGTCAATATCGCAAATATCTCTAATAAAATTCTTTTAAATTTAAAATGTTTGCGAACGGAATTTGGAAAATATTTTAACTTTATATCAGGATCGCATAAAAGCGAGGAGGTGTCTACTACAGATACTTGCGACGTTGCCAGATTTTGCAAACATTGCAGATCGAGGGATTTTTTTAAATTTGGCAATGTCGCAAATACCTTCTTGCCTTACTGCTCCCCTAATAAAATTCTTTTAAATTTAAAAATGTTTGCGAATTTTTTATCAGGATCACATAAAAGCGAGGAGGTGTCTACTCCGGATACTTGCGACGTTGCCAGATTGCGTTTTGCGGAAAATTGCAGATCGAGGGATTTTTTAAATTTGTCAATATCGCAAATATCTCTAATAAAATTCTTTTAAATTTAAAATGTTTGCGAACGGAATTTGGAAAATATTTTAACTTTATATCAGGATCGCATAAAAGCGAGGAGGTGTCTACTCCGGATATTTGCGACGTTGCCAGATTTTGCGGAAAATTGCAGATCGAGGGATTTTTTAAATTTGTCAATATCGCAAATATCTCTAATAAAATTCTTTTAAATTTAAAATGTTTGCGAACGGAATTCGGAAAATATTTTAATTTTATATCAGGATCTCATAAAAGCGAGGAGGTGTCTACTCCGGATACTTGCGACGTTGCCAGATTTTGCAAACATTGCAGATTGAGGGATTTTTTAAATTTGGCAATGTCGCAAATACCTCCTTGCCTTACTGCTCTCCTAATAAAATTCTTTTAAATTTAAAATGTTTGCGAACGGAATTTGGGAAATATTTTAATTTTATTTTTATTATTAAAGCGAGGAGGTGTCTACTCCGGATACTTGCGACGTTGCCAGATTTTGCGGAAAATTGCAGATCGAGGGATTTTTTAAATTTGTCAATATCGCAAATATCTCTAATAAAATTCTTTTAAATTTAAAATGTTTGCGAACGGAATTTGGAAAATATTTTAACTTTATATCAGGATCGCATAAAAGCGAGGAGGTGTCTACTACAGATACTTGCGACGTTGCCAGATTTTGCAAACATTGCAGATCGAGGGATTTTTTTAAATTTGGCAATGTCGCAAATACCTTCTTGCCTTACTGCTCCCCTAATAAAATTCTTTTAAATTTAAAAATGTTTGCGAATTTTTTATCAGGATCACATAAAAGCGAGGAGGTGTCTACTCCGGATACTTGCGACGTTGCCAGATTGCGTTTTGCGGAAAATTGCAGATCGAGGGATTTTTTAAATTTGTCAATATCGCAAATATCTCTAATAAAATTCTTTTAAATTTAAAATGTTTGCGAACGGAATTTGGAAAATATTTTAACTTTATATCAGGATCGCATAAAAGCGAGGAGGTGTCTACTCCGGATATTTGCGACGTTGCCAGATTTTGCGGAAAATTGCAGATCGAGGGATTTTTTAAATTTGTCAATATCGCAAATATCTCTAATAAAATTCTTTTAAATTTAAAATGTTTGCGAACGGAATTCGGAAAATATTTTAATTTTATATCAGGATCTCATAAAAGCGAGGAGGTGTCTACTCCGGATACTTGCGACGTTGCCAGATTTTGCAAACATTGCAGATTGAGGGATTTTTTAAATTTGGCAATGTCGCAAATACCTCCTTGCCTTACTGCTCTCCTAATAAAATTCTTTTAAATTTAAAATGTTTGCGAACGGAATTTGGGAAAATATTTTAATTTTTTATCAGGATCACATAAAAGCGAGAAGGTGTCTACTCCGGATACTTGCGACGTTGCCAGGTTTTGGAAAAATTGCAGATCGAGGGATTTTTTAAATTTGGCAATGTCGCAAATACCTCCTTGCCTTACTGCTCTCCTAATAAAATTCTTTTAAATTTAAAATGTTTGCGAACGGATTTTGGAAAATATTTTAACTTTATATCAGGATCGCATAAAAGCGAGGAGGTATCTACTCCGGATACTTGCGAGGTTGCCAGAATTTGCGGAAAATTGCAGATCGAGGGAGTTTTCATTTCGGCAACGTCGCAAAGTATCGATACTTCCTCGCATTTCTGCTCTCCTAATACAAAATCCGAAAAATTTTATTTGCAGAATTGCGATTTCTAAAAGTCACAGATCAAGGTTGTTAAATCATGCAGGAACGTTTCCGAGTTGTGCAATAATGCAACGTTGTCAGGTTGTGAAATAAAACTCATTTCAAGGGATTTCTTTACTCAATAAAAATGATACGTAGCCGGATCGTGCGAAATATCGCATATCCTCATACTTACCGAAATCAGCATGGCAACTTTGTACTTGAAGGTTTTTCTTTTTTTTTGTGAAAATGTTTTGTTTTTTTTATTTTTAGGTGTCCATTTAATGCTTATTATTTTTCTATTTATGTTATTCATAATAAAATATAAATTTCAACATTTTTTTGTTGGTTTTTGTTTTTTTTTTTCAACCAACTTATTACTATGTTTTTTGGTGTATTTCTGCTATTTTTTAAGTGGACACCTCACCTTTTTTTTTTCTTATTTTATAACGTCTTATTTTACATTAAAAATAATTACCACTAAAAATCCATTTTCCCTGAATATAAATGTCTAAATATCAATCAATTAATAAAAATATGTATATCTCCAAATATAAAGAATTAATTAATAAAAATTCGCGTGTAGAAAAATGGATTTTTACTTCACAATTAATCATTACTTATAATCAATAAATCTAACAAAAACTCATTCACAATTTTGTTGTGAAAGAAAAAAAACATTCAACAAAACCTATTATTAGTTAATAATAATCAATTCTACATTTTTGTTTGTACATTTCAATTATTTACGAAAAATTACTTGTTGAAGTGTATGGCCTCTCTTTTATAGGTAGGTATATAAAGTGTTTAATAATTGATTTTTCGTGAACAAATAAAAAATACTATCGCCTCCACGACCTGTCCTCGTTCTCCTCGTCCTCCTCTTCGTCGTCTTGGAGGAGGGCCTCTTCGGAAATCTCCGGACCCAGCTGTCAAAAATATGAAAAAATGTTGAGTAGTTCATTTGTGTCATTTAAAAATAGTTTAGGGTCAGAATTTCTCAAACGGGCCACCTGAATTAGGTCAAAATTAGTTTTTGTTTGTAGATACATTTTTTTGATAGTATTTTACATCACTAATACAAATCCTAAAAGATTTTGTAAAAAAAAAATTTTCAATTGACATATTCATGATATTAAAAGTCAAAGTTTTTAATAATTAAAAAATAAAAAAATTCATTATGGCTGAACTAATTATCCGATTCCAACGATATAACTAGCGTTGGAATCTTGTTTTGACATAGATTCTTTGTTATTTTTTTCAATTGTCCTATTTTCATTTAGGTCGATTTTTTTTTGTTTTTTTTATACCAAATTCGGAAATAATTGCCTTCTGCGCCAGCTATCGACTCGAGAAAAAAAACACATATACTCCAATCATTTCTCGAAATTATGCTGCTGAGAAAAAAAATGGCCCGCAGGTTGACAAAAAGTTATTCGTCCTTTTGTGGCCGCGCGCGGTGTCAGCTCACGCTCCGAACCGTGTACGCTGTACGCGCTTGTGACGCGACGTCTTACGGTGGTCTGGAACCTGCGGGCCATTTTTTTCTCAGCAGCATAATTTCGAAAAATGATTGGAGTATATGTGTTTTTTTTTTCGAGTCGATAGCTGGCGCAGAAGCCAATTATTTCCGAATTTGTTATAAAAAAAAACAAAAAAAAATCGACCTAAATGAAAATTGTACAATTGAAAAAAATAACAAAGAATCTATGTCAAAACAAGATTCCAACGCTAGTTAAATCGTTGGAATCGGATAATTAGTTTAGCCATAATGATTTTTTTTTATTTTTTAATTACTAAAAACTTTTACTTTTAATATCATGAATATGTCAATTGAAAATTTTTTTTTTACAAAATCCTTTAGGATTTGTGTTGGTGATGTAAAATACTATCGAAAAAATGTATCTACAATCAAAAACTAATTTTGACTTAATTCAGGTGGCCCGTTTGAGAAATTCTAACCCTTTATTAATTTTGATAATAAAGTAACAAAATTTGGTGTGCACATTCTAATATGCATGTGGTTTTATAAATTTGTTAATATAGCGTGGCTAGAAAAAAGTTTACGCCGATTTACAATTGTTTCGACATATTCTTTAATTTTGACAGTTTTAATAAAGCAAGAGCAACCAAATTTGGTGGGGACATTTTAAATGTGCATGATAACGTTTCATTAATATTTGGTTAAAATTGTTCGAATAGAAAGTGAGATACGCCGAGTAGTTCAAATATACCGTTTAAAAATAGTCAACTACCTACTGGTGTTTATTTTCATCGTAGAGCAACCAAATTTGGTATGAACATTATTTGCGTTAATATTTAACTAATATCAAAATTTGGTTATGAACGTGGAACTGGAAAAAATAATTAGCGGGTTTGAATTGTTTTGACATTTTTTTTAATGTTGACAGTTATAGCAATGCTGGGGTAACAAAATTTAATAGGGATATTCTAAAAGTGCAAATTAACGCCGTATTAAAATTTGGTGAAAAACGACACATTAGAAAACAATTGTTACAAGATTTAAATAATTTTCAGTTACGTGTATTTTTACTCACCTCTTCGTCGCCATCGAGAAGACTCTGATCCATCAGCTGATCTTCTTCGGATTCCGACATCAAAACGGTCCTGGAAGTGGACCTTGTGGCACGCTGCATGGGCATCGCTTGGCTCCATGTTATGGACAACGTACGATCCTATAGAAGAAGAAAAAAAATGTTATTTTGGTGTTTGTTTTTTGCATTTTTTAAATGATAATTTACCTGGAAGTTTTTTCCCTTCAACAGCGCCATTTCGGCCTCCTTTCTGGTCTTGTAGTTCAGAGTGATACTAGGCAACGCGTTGTCAGTCACGTAATCAACGATTTCACCGTATTGCTGCAAGAAACAATGTGAAAAAGTTAAGAAAAAAATATTTTTTAAGGAAAAAGGATTTTTCTTACTTGGAAATGTCCCAGTACGCTGTCTTGTTCTTCAATTTCGTACCCGGAAACTAACAATCTGGTTGGACGGTGATCAAGGGTGTGCTTTTGGAAGGGTAGCTTCGCTGCCTGGCTTGGTTTTGTTACGCCGCCAGTTTTAACTTCTAAAAAAATAACATCACATTAAATCAGTAAAAAAAATGCTCCCCTAATAATTTCTTACTGTTATTATCGGCAATCAGGTTGTTCTTGCTTAGTAAATGCCTGCTGACTGGCACATAACGGCCTCTACCTCTGCCCCTGGCCGTCCCCCCTCTCAGCGACGCCCTGGTTCTCAATTCCTGCAACTTTTTCTGCAATTCCACCGTATCTTGACCCTCCTGCTGCTTCGCAATCAAGTCAAGCTCCATGTCGAGCAATTCCTTTAAATAATACTGAGAATTAAAGCATATTGCTTAAAAACGTCGAAATAAAAATAATTGTAATGCTGTTAACGATTTAAATACATAATTTCATATTATGAACAATGTAAACACATTATTAAAACATTATTATATTATAAGTTTCTAATCTTAAAATATTTGAATACTTAGCATTGATATAATATCAATGATCAGTGGTACACATTTGAAGGGGTTAAGTAACATTTTTAATAGGAAAAGACAAAAAATATTGTAATTCTAATACCAAATGCATCCATAACAACAGATGCGTAATGAGAGGGCGTGATACGCCCTCAGAAAACACCATCTGGTAGACAAAAGCATTGCGTGAATTTAAGAATTGTCAATAATACAAATAAAGCATACATAACTGTACATCATTTTTAAATAAATAGGTAGTTTTTTCACAAAAGAAAGGAAGTCTTACTCGACAAATTTTGTTCAATTGCACAGCTAAATCGTGCACGTTATTTGTGTTTTACGTTGCAAGGAAAAAATTAAAAAACTTTTTTAGTAGGTACTCGAATTCGACTGATTATTCCTTATATCATTGATTAAGAAACTCAACGCTTAAATGCTTATATAGTTACGTTAGTGTGTGTATTTTATCTAAGGGATCATGGTGAATTATTGTGTTTATAATTGTAAATAAAATTCAAGAACTAAATCGTTGCATTTTCATGTTTTTCCAAAAGGATTCAATTCGGTAAGTACATTTGTTGGTGCATAATTAACTAATAATAACTTACCTAATATAATTTATATTTAAGTTTGGACATTTTTAAGAAATTAGTAAAAAATAATTTTTGCACAAACATAACCTTAAAATCAACCATTTTTATATATGAGTTCTCTAAAAAAACACCGACAACTGCATTTTAAACAACAAATATAAACATAATATTATATATAATACATAATATAATGGTATTTTACTGTTGAGTGGAGACTTTAAAGAATGTTTAACCAACGCTTTTAATAATGCTAAATGCTGATTAAATTTAGACGACTTATTTGTTTGACGATTATTACTGAATTGAAATGTTTACACTTTTCACGTTAATCATTACTAAAATCATTTTAGTAAAATGTGTATTTATTGTATCTAATAGACACAATTTATATTTACAGGGACTGTATGAAATTTATTTCATCATTCGGATTAACACTGTTTATTGGAAAACCGATAAAAACTCAACCCAGGATTTCCTCGCGAAATACATCAAACAACACAACAAATCGTGTCACGTTTTTTTTTCGATATTTTTTAACATTTTCCGGCTTTATTCTCAAAAAAACTCGTTTGTAACACACGCGTTTGACAGCTGATTATCAAAAGTTGTACTTTTGTTACGATGATAACAGCCGAGTGGTGGCGCTATTACATTTATTATTAAAACTGTTACTAACGCCTTTATTATTGCAACTGTGACAGTAACTGTTGTTATTGCCACTGTTTATTGTTCATTATTTAGGTTATTTTGTTAAAATGTTAAAATGTTCGCTCGTTTTTATCGAAAAATCAGGTCACGTGACATAATAAACTCCCCACTATAAAATTTAATCATCAACGTATACAATAAGCAATTCTTTTGTTGTTTACAATTTTACGCACATTTTTCGAAATAACTTTGTTGTTTATTTTTATGTGCTTTGGGTTTGTGCTGTTTATACAGAATAAAACGTTGTGTTTCTTACAAAGGCACTTGTAAGCCTCAAATGAAGCCTGAAAGTGACAAGGACAACCATTTTACTCCTTGTGTAATACGAAAAAAAATGAAAGTCACTTTTTCTGAAAATTTCCAAATATCTCCACACTGATATAAAAAAAAAGTAAATTTTTGACTCTGATTATATATAATCATGTAATACATTATTACAATAATTATTCCTATTATTATAATTCCGTAAAAATTATAATTTTGTACTTTACCTTTATTATTTTGTAAATGGATATTTTCAATGGACTCAATTTTGCAAAAATAACCCAACCGACAGTCTATTTAACGTTCACGTTTATTTTTTAAAATCAATTCAATTAAATGTTTTTTTTCTGTAATAAATTTATTATCCTCCGGCCACCCGAAATTAAGTTTAGTGCCGGCGAAATTAAAAGGTCAGTACAATGTTTATATAAACTTTTCAAATATTGGCGTTGAGAAACTATTTAATACTTTTGTATTTTTTTATTGATAATAAAATAATTTTTAAATTACACGAAGGGCACTTTATTTTAACGATTGTATGAAAATTGACAACTGTCAACTAGCTTAAAACTAACTTCAGCCAGTGACTAAAACGCCATAAAGCCACAACTTGTCAATGTGTATTTTAAAGGTCACTTAGTGTGGTAAGATTAAGAACGTACAAGTCCAAAAGTTAAAATTTTGACAAATTATTTCATAAAATCAGTTTTATAGTTCAAAATGCATTTTTGTGAGTATATTTCAACTACTTTATAAAATATAATAGTTAAATTTTGTAAAATAATTTATATCTTTTAACAAAAATGCATTTTAAACTTTTAAATTGATTTTAGAAAATGATCTTCAATCTCAGTGATTCATTTATTTATGTTGAAAGTTTTTAATCAAAATTGCAATCTAAAGATATTTAAGGACGATATTTGATTATAAAAATAATGTTGTTAATTGTCAAGTTTTCCTAAAATAGGTCATTTTGGGCCATTTTCAAAAAAACAAATTATTTAGCCGTTATTACTCACTGTAACTACAAGAAAATTAAAAAACTTACCTTCTGCACGTCCTCTTTACTTCGCTTTGCAGGATGTAATTTTGCAGCCTGAGCGGCTTGTTCCAAATCTTTTTTGATTGTTTCAATGGATTCCTGGGATTTTTTTATGGTGTCTTTGATGAGATCGCGTTGAGGACCTGCCGGAACTACAAAAAAAAATTAAGCGTTTTTGACATTTTCAAATTTTGTTTACTTACGTTTTTCCATTTTTTCGATCAATTTTCTTTGTTGCATCAGCTGCTTTTCCAGTAGATCTTGTTTTCTTTTACGTAAATCATTCTTAATTTTCAACATATCTTTTCTTTGATCCTCTTGATTTTTCTTCAGTTTCTGGGTGGCAGCTAATAATTCCTGGTTCTTTTTAATGGCGGCTGTTTGCTGTGCCTTGGTTTCCTCCTGTCATACAAAATAAAATCCTTCAAAAATGTTCATTTTTGTTGTAACAGAACGAATATGTTAAACAATATATTTTGAATCATTTTTTATAACAAAAATTAATAAACTAAGAATTTTAACATAAAAAATTGTCAATTTGAAAATGTAAATAAAAATAATCAAATAAAGAATGTAACCATAAAAAGTAAGAAATTAAGAATGTTAACATGGTAAATTGCCAATAAGAGAAAGTAATCTTAAAATATTACCCAATAAAGAATGTTGCCATAAAAATTAAGAATGTCAAAAAAAAATTTTAAAAAAACGTCAATTTTTTATTAATAAATATCCAAATTAAGAATGTTACCATATATGTATACTTAGGAAATTAAAATGTTTTAATAACACATAACAATAAAAAAATTACCCCATTGAGAATGTTGCCTTAAAAAATAACCAAATAGCCTAATTTTTTATGATTCTTAAATCAGTAATTTTTTATTGAAACATTTTGTTACCAAGAAAAACAACCAAATTAGGGATGTTACCACAAAAAATTACGAAATTAAAATGTTTTAATAACAAATTACAGATTTGAACAGAAATGACAAAATTAAGAATGTTACAATAAAATTTGCCAATTCGAAAATGTAATTATAAAAAATTACCCAATGGAGAATGTTGCAATAAAAAAAAACCAATTAAAAATGTTACCATAAAAAATTAAGAAATTAAAAATGTTTCCATAACAAATTACTGATTTAAGAATGTTACTAAACAAAAATAAAAAATGTTAAAATAAAAAAGAATGTATCTATAAAAATTAGTCAATATTATTATTATATATACTTAATATTCCAACAAAAGTTACGAAATGAAGAATGTTAACATAATAAATTGCCAATGTAATAAAAATTACCATAAAAATTAGCAAAATTAGGAATGTTTGTATAAAAATTACGAAATTTAATTGTTTAAGTAACAAATAGACACCCTAACAGAGCCGGCTTAAGGCAATTGAGCGCCTTAGGCTCCTCTAACTAGATACTATACTTACGGGGCCCGGGGCAAATTTTAAAAAAGCTTATTAGAGCCACCCCAAACTGTTAGCTTAAGGGCGCCCGAACATTATAACCTAATTATTCCCTATGAATTAGAATACTTTTTATCATTAAAAAAATACATAAATAACATACAAACATAACAAATATAATGTAAATAAAAAGTGTTAGGACTTATAAGTGCGTTTTTCTGCAAGATGTCATTAGTAAGTATTTAAAAAAAATTATATCAACTTTAATTTTCTGTATTTGTATGTTAGATGTACTGCTGGTTTATTGTAATTAGTTTAATATTAAAATTTCAGAAATACCTTAAAACAAACAGAAAAATTAACACTATCTAAATGTGGATTTAGCCAGCATTTTGTGTAACGTAATCTAACGTAACGTAATCTAACGTAACGTAATTTAATTTAAAAGCCAGGCTAAATCAACCTTAACTATCAAACACAGAGTGCTATCACCAAACACACAACACATAGAAGTGCCACTCTTGAAAAAACGCGAAAACACCCAAGTCCTTCCGGCAGCAGTTTCCTCTAGTATCGCGTACCCGCTGGGGTGAGCAGCAAATCGCAGCGGGTACCCGATGCAAGAGGAATCCGTGTGCTTGGAGCATACGGGGGTTTTGAAATAGTTTGAAGAGTGCTAAAGATATGTTTATACAGGGTAAAGTTTACAAATTAAATTATCTTTTAAGTTTTTGTTTGCAGTTTAACGTTAAGATTTATTATTATTTGTTAATTATACAGTTAATAATAAAATATCTTATTCTACTTCAAAACGCAGTGCCCTCTTAATCAAGCATGGTGATATAACACCTGATTAATTTTATCTGAAATACATTTATGTATTTGTCATAAAAACAGAAGTGAATTTGCGGCACGCTTTTTTGTCGGCTTTACACCTCGTTATTACAAAGCAAGCTAAATTTTTATAAAATAATAAAAACAGTAAATAATATTCTGTTATTACAATTGTATATTGTTTATTTGTTTTATTTTTGGAAAAAATAAACATTTTTGTAACAATTTTTATTTTTTTTTTAAGTTGCTTGGGGACAAGGCGCCTATTTCTACGTGGCGCCTAAGGCAATTGCCTTGCCTGCCTAATGGGTAATATGGCCCTGCACCCTAATATAATAAGGTTGTATGTAAAAAAATTTTAGTTTATGTTTTTACAGAATTATATGGGAGCCAAGCTTCACATACGACTTAAAAATATCTAATATAGGGTGTTAAAAAAGGTATTAACAAGAAGAATATGACAATTCTTTTTTTGAGGCATTGTTGTTAATTAATAAACACATTGCATTTTTTAACACTAAAATTATTTTTTTGTAAATTGACATTAATTCAATAACAAATTAAGAATGTTTCCATACAAAATATCCAAATTAAGAATTTTACCATAAAAAACTACGAAATTAAAAATGTTTTAATAACAAATTACTAATTTAAGAATGGTACTAAAAAATTAAGAATGTTACCACAAAAAATACGAAATTTAAATGTTTCAATAACAAATTACAGATTTAAACGAAAAATTACAAAATTAGGAATGTTACAATAAAAATTGACAATTTGAGAATGTAATTACAAAAAATTACCCAATTGAGAATGTTGGCATAAAAAAATAATCAAATTAAGAATGTTACCAAAAAAATTTGACAATTTTAGAATTTTTTCATTAAAATTACCCAATTAAGTGTTATGACATTAAGTAGTCAAAAAAACAAATTAAGAATGTTGCCTTAAAAAATTACAAATTAAAATTGTATAGGGTGGTGTTTAGAACTATTTATAAAGAATAAGTAGGTATAGCAGCAATTTTTATTAAATTCCCTTTACTTCCAGGATAACCTTAAACACTTAAAAAAAATCCTACCTTATTAATGGCAGCTTCCTTTTCAGCCCCTTCCTTTTCTTCTTCCGTTTGTTCCTTAATGTCCTCGTCAGCCTTGGGCTGCACAAGGTTCAAAACTTTGTTAACGTTGGGCGGCACTATGCCGCCTTGACCGAGGCGATCTTTAACGTTGGAACGCTGCATTGTTGGCGGAACGTTCTCCTGTTTACCACCTTCGAGTGTTAGGGGGTTATGCTGGTGCCAAAACACCTTGATGAAACGGTTGTTCAGAACGGCTTCGGTGCTGCGATAAGCAGCATTTGCTTCCGCATGACTGGAGATAAAAATTAAATTTTACAATGGACCACTACAATGGACCACAATTTTTTTATAATATATGCAAGCCCTTAAAAACCTTTTTTGACCGTAAGTTATTTTAACGTTCTAAAATAATCTTTAATATCTTCAAAAATGGATTTAACATCCTACATAAGGTTTTAGTAAGTTTTGACATTTAAAATGTGTTTAATTATTTAAAATTTGAATGTTGCCATCAAAAATAACCAATATTAAGAATGTTATCAAAATTTAAAAATGTAATCATAACAAATTGCGAAATTAAGAATGTTTCAATAAAAATTTACCCAATTAAAAATGTTACTAAACAAAAATTATGAAATTAAGAATGTTAAAATAATAAATTGTCAATTTAAGATAGTAATCATAAAAAAATCCACAATAATTGTTTATAATAATTATTGAGAATGTAACAACAAACATTACAAAATTAAGATTATCAACATAATTAATTGCCAATTTGAGAATGTTATCATTTTATCATACAAAATTACCCAGTTGAGAATATTAAAACAAAAATAACGAAATTGGGAATTTAACAAAATAAATTGCAAATCAGAAAAGTTATCATAAAAAATTACTCAATTAAGAATGTTGACATAAAAAATAATCAATTTAAGAATGTTACCATAAAAAATTAAAAATGTTTAAATGTCACTAGACCAAAAATACAAAATTAAGAATGTTACAGTAAAAATCTTCCAATTTGAGAATGCAGTCATAAAAAACTACCCAGTTGACAAAATTTCAAGAAAAAATTCGTATAAGTATCTATATTATCACAAAAAATTAAAAAACTTTAAGTAACAAATTACTGATTTAAGACAACATTAAGAATGTAAAAAAATTCCAATTTGAGAATGTAATTATAAAAAATTACCTAATTGAGAATGTTGCCATAAAAAATAACCAAATTAAAAATGTTTCTAAATAAAAATTACAAAATTAAGAATGTTACCAAAAAAATTTGACAATTTTAGAATTTTTTTAATAAAATTATCAAATTGAGTAGTCATACAAAGTACCCATGATGTTGCCATAAAAATAACTAAATTAAAAATGTTACCAATAAAAATATTCAAATTAAGAATGTTACCATAAAAGATAAGCTAATTAAGTTTGAGAATGTAATTATTAAAAAATACCCAGTTGAGGTAATATTGAGAAATATTAAGAATTAAGAATGATAATATAATAAATGGTCAATTTGAGAATGTAATCAATGTAAATTGAGAATGTTGCCAAAGAAAATACCCAAATTAAAAATTTTACCATGAAATATTACAAAACTAACTGATTTAAAAACGTATTAATAAAGATATTGAGAATGTTAACATAATAAATTGCCAATTTTAGAATGTTACAATAAAAAATTACCCAGTTGAGAAAATTTCAAGAAAAAATATTCAATTAAGAATGATAACATGATAAATTGTCAAATTGAGAATGTAATCATAAAATATTACCCAATTAAGAATAAGCATTATAAAAAAACGGCATCGTAGGTGTAGGTTGCAATGGTGCCGCCGCTATCTCCAACTGTTATCGTGTGTAAACTTAATAAGTGTTCATCACAAATCAAAACAAACTCATACAAAGTTCAATGTGATAAGTGCAAGGGTTGGTTTCATCGTGACTGTGCAAACCTAACCATAGAGGAATGCTCCACATTTAACAAAGAAAAAGACTCACCAATTTCAAGTAAGTGGACATGTCAACTCTGCTTAACTATAAACAACACTCCTAAGAAAACACCATCACAACCATCCTTAAGTATGGATGTATTACTAAATGAAAATATCCTTTTTAAGAGAATCATTAGGGAGTTAGAAGAGAAAAATGCACTCTTAATTGAAAACAAAACGTTATTAGAAGATAAGATAATTAATCTGGAAAAAAATCCGCAAAAAAGAATTGAAGCTAATATCTCGCGCCAAGACATTAATATTAATAAATTAAAAGTTGTCGATACAATTAACTCTCTTGATTCATCTACCAGTCAACAGGGGGCAGATAACAACAATGGTTCTGAAAACATAGAAACTCAAGAGAGGTCGTCAGATGCACAAAATAAAAATAAAACAAATAAGGAAATTAAAAAACATCAATCCGTACCTAAAAAAAATATCCAAGAAAAATTAACTCATAAACAAGAACCTATATATAAAAATAAAACAATTGTTACAAAAAAGGAAATCCCATCCACAATTATTACCGAGAAAAATGCATCCTCGGCTATTTTAGAAGCAACCATAAAAAATATTTGTGGAAAGCTCATAAACATTAATAATGATGAACCAAAATATACCAATACATGGGCTGAAGTGGTTGGAAAAAATAAGAAGAAGTCAAAGACTGCTAATAAAACTAGTATTATGGGAAATCTTAAAGGCTCCAACAGTTGCGCTTTAAAAGTTGTTCCCAAAAAGTCTTTTGTGTATGTCTCAAGGTTGGAACCAAATACCAAATGTGAAGATATAATTACCTATTTAAACTCTAAATTTCCTGAAATTACTTGTGAAAGTCTTGAATCCAAGTTTTCACAACATTATGCGTCTTTCAAAATAACTGTTTATTTGTGTAATTTTGAAAAAATTATGGATCCTGAACTTTGGCCTCAGGGTACTTACTTGTCTCGGTTTTTTCACCCAAAACCGAAAACCGCACAGGTCAACTAAAGGAATCTTTTAGTATTGTAAATTTAAATATTCAATCAGTTAAAAATAAAATAAATGAGCTAGAGTTATTCTTAAACAATAAAAATATTTCTTGTGTGTGCCTATGCGAACATTGGCTTACTGTTAATGAAATATGTGCATTAAGTATAGAAGGATACACTTGCGCTTCTTTCTATTCTAGATTAAATAGTAGAGGAGGTGGATCTGTAATTCTAGTAAAATATAATACCAATTATATTGAACTACAAAATATTAATAGTCTTTTATTAGAAAGAGTTGTGGAAATTAGTGCGATAAAGATTTTAGATATTAACTTAATAATTGTAAATGTATACAGACCCCCTAGTGGTAATTTTAAAATATTCTTAGATGTGATAGAAAATGCGTTAAATACTTTAGGTGTAACGTCAAAAATTTTAGTGTCAGGAGATTTTAATGTTAATTTTACTCATTTAAATAATGATGCTTGTTTTTTAAGAGGTGTGTTTTTATCCTTCGGATTTAAACAACAATTTTTTGCTCCCAGTAGAAATTTTAATTGTATTGATAACATATTTGTTAATTTTAATAATGATTGTGTAACTGAGGCTATAAACATTCCCTTTTCTGACCATAATGCTCAAGTGGCAAAGTTTTATGATTTAATACTAAACTCTAAGACTAAGCCGATTTTAAACAAGTTTAGTCCTATCACAGAATGGGGCAAGCTACAGTTTTATAACATAATAGAACAGACCAATTTTAATTTTGTAAATAATGATTTTAATGTTAATTTTAAATTTGAAATGTTTGTGTCCATTTTAAAAAGTACACTTTTAAACTGTTTTCCTGAGAAAACTTGTTTGAATAGTTCAAATAGCAAAACTAATTTCAACTGGTTTAATAATAAATTACATCAAATGAGGAATACTTTAAATTTTCTATCTGATCTGTATAAACAAACATGTAACACCAACATATTAAAGCAAAAAAGAGATTTTGGAATCATATATAGAAAAGCCATATTGGATGCCAAAAGGGAATATAACAACAACAAAATAAAAACTGCAAACAACCCAGTAAAAAGTATGTGGGACATAATTAACAAAAAAAGAGGAAGTAATCATATAGATTGCGCAATACCCCTTAACTTGATTAATTCATACTTTGCTAATATAGCCAATACTATTATTAAAAACCTAGGTGTCACTAACTCTTCTTTTTATTTTGAAAGAATTAAAGCTCCTGAAAATCGATTTCACTTTAAGGAAGTAACATATATTGAAGTCATAGATATAATTGACAAAATTAAGTCCAAAAACAGTAGTGATATTTATGGTTTAAGTATAAGTATCATTAAAATAGTCAAATATTTAATTTCTATCCCTTTAGCTAAACTAATTAACTTATGTTTTATAAAGGCTGAATTTCCAGATGTTCTAAAGGAGGCCCTTGTGAAACCAATTTATAAGAAAGGTGATATAAATGACCCCAACAATTTCAGGCCCATATCCATCTTGCCTGTTTTTTCGAAGATTATTGAAAGATGCATGGCCAATAGAATTGTTGCTTTTTTTGAAGAAAACAACATATTCAGTGAGTGTCAGCATGGTTTCAGGAAGGGTAAATATACCACATCTGCAATTCTGCAAATGGTACGAACAATAGAAGATTCTTTCGAAAATCTTGAATTTGCAAATGCAGTGTTTTTGATGATGATGAATGAATAGATTTATTGAACCAATGAGATATTACAAAGAAAATCTATGGAGGTTCATCCCCTTACAGTTTTTTACAGTTGATTATAAAATAATAATTATAATAATTATTAACATGAGAAAAAAAAAATGTTAGCTTAAAATCTTATTATTAACATATATCACAGATAATTAACACAGTGAAAACTGATCTAAGCAAGGCCTTTGACTGTGATTCTCACTCTCTGCTTCTAAAAAAGCTTCAAGCCTACAATTTTTCTGAAAATAGTGTAAAACTAATTCAATCATATCTATCAAATAGACATCAAGTTTGCAAAATTGGGAATGAATTGAGTCAAAGGGAAATTGTGAATGTGGGGGTACCTCAAGGTTCTGTTCTTGGACCTATCCTATTTTTAATATTTATAAATGACCTATCTAACATTAGTAACTCGACGGATTTAACACTATTTGCTGATGATACCACAATTGTAGTAAAAGATAAAAATCTTGAACTTTTGGAGGTGAAGAGTGAGAGAGCAATGTCGCGGGCCGAAAAATGGTTCACCGAGAATCAATTAGTCCTAAACAAGGGCAAGACACAGAACAATATTTTCTCCTTAAGAGATTTTAATGACTTAAACAAGTCAGAACCCATTAAATTTCTTGGAATCATGTTTGACAGTAAATTAAGATGGAACAGTCACATAGATTCACTATCAAAGAGGTTGAATACCAATATATTTATTATTCGCAATCTTGTTGGTAGTGTGTCCAGTGAAGTATTGGCTAGTGCCTATTTTTCCTTATTTCAATCGCATATTTCGTATGCCATAATTGTTTGGGGTCATTGCTCTGAGTCACATAGAATATTTAGTCTGCAACGCAGAATTATAAGAATTATTGCCTCCCTTGGTTATAGGGACGATTGCAGGGCTGAATTTAGAAGACTTGGAATTATGACTTTTCCTGCCTTATTTATTTTTCATAATTTGGTATACGTAAAAAATAATTTAAACTTATATAAAAGTCAAGACTGTGTACATAACCATAACACCAGAAATAAAGGCAACTTAATTAATCAATTCTCTAGACTGAAAAGGTGCCAGAGTGGACCTGATTTTTATGGAATTAATTTTTTTAACAAACTCCCAAATAATGTAAAAAATATGGCTTTTAATGAATACAAACTGTTTTTAAAATCCTTTTTTACTACTCATTCATTTTATTCGATTGATGAGTTTTTAAACTTTAACTTTTAATTGTGTCCTTATTTTATTATATTCTTTGTTTTATTTATATTTACATTTCTTGTACTATTTTTATATTTGTATTTTTCTGACGTTGTAAACCTTTTGGTAATAGCACTAATAAATATTATTATTATTATTATTATTATTATTATTATTAAGTCCATAAAAAATTACCAAATTAAGAAATTGCCCATTTGTGAATGTGATCATAAAAAATTACCTACTTTTAAGAAAAATTGCCATTTGGAGAATGCTGTAGATATAAAAAAATAACCAAATTAAGAATATTAACATAACAAATTGCCAAGTACATAATACTTTATGGTAACATTCTTGAATTTGTTATTTTTTGTAGCCACATTCTTGATTTTTATTATTAAATTACCCAATTAAGAATGTTGTCATAAAAAATAACCTAATTAAGAATGTTTCCATCAAAAATTACGAAATTAAGAATGTTACCATAAAAAATTACTAAATTAAGAATGCTTCTAGGCAAAAATTACCCAATTGAGAATATTAAAACAAAAAATCCGAAAACAAGAATGTTAACATAATAATTCTCAATTTGAGAATGTATTCATAAAAAATTACCGAGTTGAGAATATTTTAAGAAAAATTACCAAATTAAATATTACCATAAAATATTACGAAATTCAAATTTTTCAATAACAAATTACTGATTTAAGAATGTTACAATAAAAATTTGGCAATTTGATAATGTAATCAAAAAAAATTACCCAACCTAGAATGCTGCCACAAAAAATAACCAAATCGAGAATGTTTACCATAAAAGATAACCTAATTCAAAACGTTACTATGAACAAGTACAAATTTAAAAAGAAATAAAAAATACCAAAGGTTTTAAAATATTAATATTAGGAAATTTACAAAACCAGAATGTACACATAATAACATTACCAAATTAAGAACGTTACAATAAAAAATATGACATAAATTGTCCCCTCAAAAATACCAAATCAAGTAAGTTAAAAAATAAAGATTTTCACTCACCTAGAAAACGTGACCAGAGCTGCTTCGGGATCTCCCTCGTACTGCACCTGAATGTTGACGATTTTCCCGAACTTGCCGAAATGATTGTTCAGATGAGTTATGCTGTTTAAACCGGGAGGAACTTTTTTCAATTCCAGCGAACAGTTCGACGGGTTTTTGCCGCGCGGCCCCAAACGGTTGAAATCAAAAGCTTTTTTCTTGTACGGCCCCCCATCGTGGTGGTGATGATGGTGGTTAATGTAGCCGCCCCCTTGGTGGTTGAACGGGCCCGGATACTGCATTTCCATTGGCTGGAAGAAACATTAAACAAAAGTAAAATAACGACTTTTTCTAAACCTAAAAAACATTTTTAAATAGGTCTTAGTAGAGTTAAAAAGTAACAATGTAAACATTACCAATTTTGAGAAATAAGAATGTTACCATCAAAATAGGACAAATAGAAAGTTAGGAATGATTGAACTAAAAATATCTTATCTTTAGAATTTAAGAATTTAACAACTAAAAATTAAGAATGTTACAAAACAATTCTAAAATATGTTTTAAACATTCTAAATAGTGTTTTTGGCATTCTTGAATAAGTTTTATTCTAAATTAATTTGACATTCTGAAATTTACTTTTGAAATGCAAATTTAAGAATGTTTTAAAAAAAATCAAGAGTTTTGCTCTACATATTAATAATAATAATTATTATTATTGGTTATATTATAACCAATATTAAGATTTTTATCACAAAAAATAGCCAAATTAAGAATGTTAACATAAAAATAGGTACAAATATTGAAATTAAGAGTTTAGTAATACAAATTTAAGAATGTAATACTTGAAAATTAAGGATGTTGCCATATTAATTAACCAATATTAAAATTGTTATTACAAAAATAGTCAAATATAGAATGCTAATTAAAAATAGTAACAATTTAGAAATTTTTAAACAATACAAGCAAAAACGTAAAAATATTTTAATTTTTATGAAAGTTGTTTTCGACATATTTTATGCTTTAAAAATAAAAAATGCCAATTTGTATTTGTAAAATATTGTTGAATTAAAAATGTTGTAGCAATACAAATTAAGGAATGTAATACTTAAAAATTAAGGATGAATTAATTAACCAATATTAACAATTTTATTATAAAAAATAGGCAAATATAGAATTTAGAAACATTACAAGCAAAAAAGTAAAAATATTTTAATTTTTATGATAGTTCTGACATTTTTATGCTTTAAAAATAAAAAATGCCAATTTGTATTTGTAAAATATTGTTGAATTCAGAATGTTGTAGTAATACAAATTTAAGAATGTAATACTTGAAAATTAAGGGTGTTGCCATATTAATTAACCAATATTAAACATTTTATTATAAAAACTAGACAAATATAGAATGTTAATAAAAAATAGGAAAACTTTAGAAATTTAGAAACATTACAAGCAAAAAAGTAAAAATATTTTAATTTTTATGAAAGTTGTTTTTGACATTATTTATGCATTAAAAAAATGCCAAGTTGTATTTATATTTGTAAAATGTTGTTGAATTAAGAATGTTGCCATACAAAATTAAAAATGTTACAATTAAAAATTACAAATTTGAGAATGTTACTGTAAAAAAAACATATTAAAAATGTTATCTAATAAAATAGTAAAATAAAGATTACTATAAAAAATTTAGAAACTCAGAAACATTACAAGCCAAAATATTTTAATTTTATAAAAGTTGTTCTCGACATTTTTTATGCCAAATTGTATTTGTATTTGTAAAATATTGTTGAATGTTGTAGTAATACAAATTTAATAATGTAATACTTGAAAATTAAGGATGTTGCCATATTAATTAACCAATATTAAAAATTTTATTATAAAAAATAGCCAAATATTGAATGTTAATAAAAAATAGAAAAAATTTAGAAACATAACAAGCAAAAAAGTAAAAATATTTTAATTTTTATGAAAGTTGTATTTGACATTTTTTATGCTTTAAAAATAAAAAATACAAATTTGTATTTGTATTTGTAAAATATTGTTAAAATTAAGAATTTTGGAGTAATACAAATTTAAGAATGCAATACTTGAAAATTAAGGATATTGCCATATTAATTAACCAATGTTATTATAAAAAATAGCCAAATATAGAATGTTAATAAAAAATAGGAAAACTTTAGAAATTTATTAAAATTACAAGCAAAAAAGTAAAAATATTTTAATTTTTATGAAAGTTGTTTATGACATTTTTTATGCATTAAAAATAAAACATGCCAATTTGTATTTCTATTTGTAAAATGTTGTTGAATTAAGAATGTTCCCATACAAAATTAAAAATGTTACAATTAAAAATTACAAATTGGAGAATGTTACTGTGAAAAAAAAATATTAAGAGGGTTATCAAATTAAAAATGTTATCTAAAAAAATAGTAAAATACAGAATATTACTATACAAAATTTAAAATGTCATAACACAAACAAAAAAATTTGAATTTGTATTTGTAAAATATTGTTGAATTAAGAATGTTATGGCAATACAAATTAAGGAATGTAATACTTGAAAATTAAGGATGTTGCCATATTAATTAACCAATATTAATTTTTTTTATAAAAAATAGCCAAATATAGAATATTAATAAAAAATAGGAAAACTTTAGAAATTTAGAAAAATTACAAGCAAAAAAGTAATAATATTTTAATTTTTATGAAAGTTGTTTATTACATTTTTTATGAATTACAAATAAAACATGCCAATTTGTATTTCTATTTGTAAAATGTTGTTGAATTAAGAATGTTCCCATACAAAATGTTACAATTAAAAATTACAAATTTAAGAATGTTACTGTGAAAAAAAAATATTAAGAGGGTTATCAAATTAAAAATGTTATCTAAAAAAATAGTAAAATAAAGAATATTACTATACAAAATTTAAAATGTCATAACACAAACAAAAAAAAATTGGTAGTAAGCTTAAATATTAAATCAATTATATAATGATTAAATTGAATTTAAAAAAAAAAATACTTAATATAAAAAATATTTTACCTGGTCTCCTTGCTTATTATCCATAACAGGAACAGAGATCAACTCCCTCTGCATACCTCCAGGGGGCACAAAGGCGCCTGGAGGCGGGGGCAACCTGGTGGGGCCCATGGCCCTCGGCCCCCCTCTGAAACCGCCCCTGTTCCACATCTGCGGCGCTTGGGGATTGTACTCGGGCTGCGGCCCCCTCGGCCCCATCAGTCCCGCCACTGGCGGCATGACGGCGGGGGGCAGAGCTCCAGGACCGTCTGCAGTCATGGGGCCCCCATTGGGGTTGTACGTGAGAACGCGTAAAGCGGCGTCTTCGAGAACAACGGGGTCCATGCCGTGGTCAAAGGGGCACATCTCACCTCTCATACAGTATCCTAAAAAATGTTTTATTAATAATAATATTAATAAAAAATAAAAAAGATTGGATATATAAAAATGTTTTAACTTTCTTGTTTTCTGACATTCTAAAATAAGTTTTTAAGTTTTTAAGTCAAATTAGAAAACCACCAAGTTTTAGTTAAAAGTCCAAAAAATTTCCTGCTCAATTGAACCTCGAGTGGTATTTGTTGAGAAAATTTCACGAGTAAATAAATTAAGTCATTTTTGTGTCACTTTTGCATTTCTCTATACAATACTACAACTATTATTATGAGAAGGTAAATAGAAAAATATTATAAATAATAACAGGAGTGGATTTTTCAATAAAACTCTAAACCTAAAAAATTAAAATGTTTCAATACCAAATGACTGATTTAAGAATATTACTAAACAAAAATTACAAAATAATGCAATTACGCAATTGTCATAAAAAATAACCAAATTAAGAATGTTTCCATAAAAATATCCAAATTAAAATTGTTACCATAAAAAATTACGAAATTCAAATTTTTCAATAACAAATTACTGATTTAAGTATTATAAAAATTACTTAGTTGAGAATATTACAAAAAAATTACGAAATGAAGATTGTTCAACATAATAAATTGCCAATTCGAAAAATAACCAAATTAAGAATGTTACCTTAAAAAATACGAAATTAAAATGTTTCAATATTATTTTGTTATTGAATAACAAATTAATCATTTAAACAAAAATTACAAAATTAAAAATAAAAAAAAATTGCCTATTTGAAAATTTAATTATAAAAATTACCCAATTGAGAATGTTTTTATAAAAAATAGGCAAATTAAGAATGTTATTATGAAAATTAACCAAATTAAGAATGTTAATATGAAAAATAACCAAATTAAGAATGTTACCTCAACAAATTACAAAATTAAAATGTTTCAATAAAAAATTACAGATTGAAACAAAAATTACAAAATTAAGAATGTTACAATAAAAATTGACAATTTGAGAATGTTAGCATAAAAAATAACCAAATTAAGAATGTTGCCATACAAAATATCTAAATTATACCATAACCATAAAAAACGAAATTAAAAATGTTTTAATGACAAATTACCAATTTAAGTATGTTATTATAAAAAATTACGAAATTAAAATGTTTCAATAACAAATTACTGATTTAAGAATGTCACTGAAAAAAAATTAAAAAATTAAGAATGTTACAATAAAAATTGCCAATTGGAGAATGTTATTATAAAAAATTACTTAATTTAGAATTAAAAAAAATTAATTAAGAATGTTAAAATTAAAAAATAACAAATTTATTTCTTTTTATCCGTCAGCAAACCGTAATTTTGACTGTATATAAGACCGTGGTCAAGAAAATTCTTAAAGATTTGAACATTTTTTTGGTTATAATAATATAGCAAAAAACCTAATAAAATAAACATGGAAAACGAAAATCTTCAAAAAAAAAACCTAAAAATATAAAAAAAAAAAATTCTTACCTTTCTCGTCGAAATCCCTGCACCTTCTTTTGTTATTCTGCGCCACAACCACGCTGGCGATGCTCTGCGTGCTGTTGGTGAGTCTCAAATCCATGTCGCCGTGGTTCGAGTCTTGGGTGGGCGTGCCGGGACGCGAACCGTGCTCTTTGGCGCCATCTTTGGCCGAATCGCGACGTTCGCGCTTTTCCGCCGAACGCGAGCGACTGCGGCTGCCGGATCCGCGACGGTAGCGCGCTCTGTGAGAGTGACGGGGACTGCGAGACCTAAAGCGAAACATTCACACAAGAAAAACGTTAAAAACCATGTATACATTGTTTTATTTTTTAATTTTATGTTTTTTTTTAAATTTTAAAATCTGCATGGTGGACGTCATCAACGGCATACGACGTCAGCGTTAAGGTCTATTCATACGTGCCTAGGCACAATCTAACGCTCGTCTATTGTTGACTGTTTATAGTGGTTGGGGCTATTTATTAAGATTGAATTATAACATCATTGTCATAATCTTTTACACTAACTAATTAGGAGTTTGTAACGGGCAATATTTGATTAAATGTGTTTACGAGAGAAAACAAATGGAGTTTATTACAATTTTATTACATTAAGTTCTTTTTTTTATCTGGACTGAGGCAATGTTGCAAATTTAGGGGTTTGGTTGGTAAATACGAAACCAAAATTGTTTGCATTGATTAAAACAAACTAATAACAAATTAAAGAATATTGTAGATAAATTAATGGAGAATCGCCCACATTTTAAAAAATTACTACTAAATGGACATAGGTTTATTATATACAGGTTTAAACAAAAATATGCTTTTTACCATTTAAGACCATATGTTTTTTACCATTTAAGACACTTTTTAGAGTGGCAAAACCGTATATTATTCTAAATTAAGTTTTAATTATCAAGTCACATCTATTCTTAACAGTTTTGTTTTTGGTTCGACTCGATATATTTATTTTTGTGGAAAAAAAACATTGCAATTTCCAATAATTTTTCTGTATGAAAAACTAAAGTTGCCAAAAATGAATTGGCCCCGACTTAAATCCGATCGAACATGTCTAGGACACATTGGGCAAAAAAGTTCGGTCGCGGGTACCTGGCCCAGCCAATTTACAGGAGCTAAGTGAAGTACTCATTGAAGAAAGGCTGCAAATTGATCATGATCATTGTATACGTAACCTTATTGAAGGGATGCCAAGGCGTATGGAGGCTGTCATTTGAGCATGTAGAGGAAACACTTGTTACTGAGTTATTTTTTACTATTACTGTTAATGCTATTGTTATTGTTATTTTTTAAGTGGTTTTTTTATTCCCGCGTTCCATTTTTGTGCTTTGAGTTTAAAGTTTTATAATGGGATTAATTAAATTTTATTAAACAAGTTTGTACAGATCTGACTTGATAATTAAAACTTAATTTAAAACAATATACGGTTTTGCCACTATACATTGTCTTAAACTTGTAAAAAACATCTGTATCCTGTAAACGTACGTTTATGTTTTAGTAAATTTTTAAAATGTGAGCGATTCTTTATTAATTTATCTACAATATTATTTAAAATTCGTTTAAATTTGACATCAAATAAAAAAGTTATTTGCAATTGAAATTTGTAATTTTATAAATCAAAGTGTCAAATAAAACGAAAGTTATGTTAATACAGCACCGAATATCTTTTTTTGCGGCCCGGAAGAATATTCCTACTGAATTAAAATAAAAGAAATAATTCTTATAATCATAATATTATGATTATATTCAGCGTCGGAAACTCACTTTTTTCTCGATATCAGTGTACGGATAGTATCCGTAAAAATTTGAAAATTTTCAGAAAAATTTTGCATTTTTCGTATTACCCTTTAAATAAAATGAAAAAAAAAGCAAGTCACTTTTTTTGAAAATTTCCCAATGTTTCCTTTTTAAAACCCTTCCAGAAACACAAAAATACTAAATTACCAGTCGTCTTTGTCGTCAGAGCAAACCAGGTCAGACTTGGAGAAAATATCCCCATCTTTATTATTAAGGGCCAACAATAGGGCGGGCCGAAAAAAATATTTTTTGAATTCAATTAGGGGTACCAAAAAAAAGTTTCCTTATGCAAAAAGTAGTTTACTAGCCCAATATTTAAGGGTCCCCTGGGGGCCCAAAATATTATTTTTTTATATTTTGTTTGGGGTGGCAACAAAAAGTTACATTATGTTGACAATAATTGTAGAAAAAAAATTAGCGTACTAGCCCAATATTTAAGGGTGCCCCGGGGGCCCAACATTTTTTTTAATATTTTAATTGAGGTAGCCACAAAAAGTTACCTTATGTTAACAATATGTTTACAAAAAAAAATGTCCGATATTAGAATTTGACGTCAAAAATTTGGCGGTTTAGCAAATTCTAAGGTTAAAAATGTTTATAAATTTGAAAATGTTTTTTAAAATAAAAAAAAACTAAAAATATTTATTTATATTTAAGTCAAGCAGACGACTTCTATATAAGGTTCGGCAAGTTACCCTTTCAAACGCAAGCGGTGGAAAAGTGTGTGAAGCTTGTAACAGAAGCTGCATTAAAATTTTGCTGTGTACCAGTCTATATGACAACAAGTCTCAATATTATTTAAATAATAAAAAAACTGGGTGGGAGGGAGCGGGTGGAACTCGAGGAGCAACTATCTAATTAGATAATAATAATAATAATAATAAAAATGCTTTATTGCGTAAAACACACAATTATTTACACAAAAGGCTGCGTTGTAAGGACGTTCTTCCATACCACCTACTAAGAAATTAAATCTATTTTATTCTGCATATCACATATTAATTAAACCAAATCCTATAATTTCATACTATTAACTTAAGTTTTTAATATCACACATTATTAAAGTTACTAACAAGTTTTTGTATTCTAAATTAAACATGTTTGGAGTTTTTCATATCACATATTATCACCAGTTAATAACAAATTTTTGTACTCTAAATTAAATGTTTTTGGATATTTAAATATTATGTTAAAGAATGTTTTATCGTTCAAAAGACAGGTCTATAAACGAATCCTTAGATTTTGTAGTTTTATGACTAGGTATTTGAAAAAAAATTGTGTCTTAAATCAAGATTGTGTATATTGGATCTTTGAATAAAGTTGTTGAATAGGCAATTATTTGGTATTTACTTTCTGAACTAATTTTCCAAAATGGGGTAGTTAAATTTTTTCTGACCTATACTTTTTATGGTTTTATTCAAGGCGTTTTGTAATATTAAACATTTCTGTGAAATCAGAATTTCAATTGAGTTTACGTTTTCGAGATATTTACAAAAAATATACATTTTTATGACGTCACAAACCTCGCCATGTGACCAACATTCTAAGATTTCTATTGGTTGAAAATTACCCTGTTGTCAAGTTGTCTTGTTAATGATTTCATTCGGTTATGTCAGAAAATACCCGAAGAGGTTATGTACAAATACTGTCACTGTCAGTTGAGTGAAAGATGGTCACCAAATTCATTAAGTACCTATCTTCCTTATTACGAGGTATCATATTACTGTTTGATATTTTAGAGTCCAAGATATATCTAAAAGAATATAAAGAACTAGGCATTATACTAATGAAATGCATTTACGACAAAATATGATTATAATTATAGGTAGGTATTTACTTTATTTGTTTAAAAGCTCCAATGTTCAATGTAACCAACCATTCCACAAGATTCCTCTGCTTTGGAGTCCGTTATTAATAAATCACTTATCTAATATCAATTACAAATAACATAACAATAACATTGATTTTCAATAATCTAAATTTTAACCCGAAAAAAAGAAACGTCAAAAAATCAATTCTTCTTCTTCTTCTCAACTAAAATTTTAGATCAAGTAGTTTTAAAACTAAAATATTATAACGTGGCGCCATCTATCGTAAGAATCTTAAACTAACACCATAGAAAAAGCTGGCAACGTTGTCAATAGCCTAGTGACGTAATTATCTCGAAAACGGTAAACTTAATTGAAATTCCGATTTCACAAAGATGTTTAAAATTACAAAACGCCTTGAATAAAACCATAAAAAGTATAGGTCAGAAAAAATTTAACTACCCCATTATGCTTGTAAGGATTTTCAAATTTTCCGACTAAATATATGAATCTAATACATTTATTTAGTTTATTAGTTTATTTTTAAATGTTTCAGTAAGATATGAGTAGTAGACTGGCATGCAAGTCTATAATAGGGTGTAGTCTATGATTAACTGACCAAGCATTTACTTCTTTTAAGACTTTATTTATTTTGTTAGTGGCTGTGTTAATTAATTTGGAGTAACGCAAAATCTTTTTTAAATTTAATAAAATCAAGCTAAGAGTTGCTAATTTTTTTCATCAAAAAGGGGTAACTTTTTGTTGCCATCTCAATTAAAATATATATAAAAAAATTTGGACCCCCAGGGCACCCTTAAATATTGGGCTAGAATGGCTATTTTTTTTCTAAACATACTGTTAACATAAGGTTACTTTTTGTGTTTACCCCAATTAAAATATGAACAAAAAATATATTTTAGGCCTCCGGGGCACCCTTAAATTTTGGGCTAGTACGCTCATTTTTTTTTCTAGAATTACTGTTAACCTAAGGTAACTTTTTGTTCCCACCTCAGTCAAAACATACAAAAAAATATTTTGGGCCCCCGGGAGACCCTTAAATAATGGGCTAGTACGCTACATTTTTTATTGCTACCAAAAATAAATATCTCAAATATTTTTTTTTACGTTTTTCGGTTCACCCTAGCCAACAAGCCCTGTAACATTGTTTGCACAATCCAGTGGAGAATATGATAAACACAATGTATAAAATTATTTATAATAATCTAGAACAAACGATGCTAACGGACGAAATGTCAAATTACAAAAAAAACGTCAAATATTACAGGACGCTCACCCATCAATAATATTGAACGGTGCGCGCCAGCCTTAAGCTATTGGCAACTGGCACACATGGTTTTATTTTCATAATAATAATAATAATAAACATCTTTATTGGTTTCCCAACAGGCTATCGACCGTGGTCTTTCTGCCCTATTTTCATAATTTCTTTAAAAACCGTTTTAAAACAGTGAAATTGTTACAGTTCTTGGTAAACAATTTGCAAATTAATAAAAAATTTTAAAACACATTAGAATTACGCCTTAAAAAAGCAAATTTAACGGCAGTAACTTTACAAATCGAAGTTGGTAATGCTGACGTCGTTATATCGCATTGATGACGCGCACCCATCCAGATTTGGCCGCGACTATACTAGGAAAAAAACACAAAATATAAAAAATATTGTTAATTGGCATCAAGTCTTTTTTTAGTGTTGAGCCCAGAATTTAAAACTGGGCGAAACACAAAAAGGCGTTCTACTCCGTGTAATATAAAATATTTAAAATATGGCTAATATTATATTAAAAAAAAATACCTTGATCGCAACCTAGATGGCGACGGTGTTCTAGACCTTCTTCTATCATACCTCCTGGGAGGCGATTTGTTCCTCCAAACCCTAGGTCTGTCCCGCTTCTCCCTATCAACCCTGTACTGATCCCTGTCCCGGGACTTTTCCCGCGACCTCGACCTTTTGGTCCTGTCCCAGGACCTCGACCTTGACCTATTTCTAGACAGGGATCTGTGCCTCGACCTTCTTCGCACAGGTTTTTCCTCTTTGTCCTAAGAAAAATGTAATGTTTGATTTTAACGTTTTAAAATTTCTTTTAGACATTCCAAATTGTTTTCAACATTATTGAATAAATTTTGACATTAAAAAGTAATTTTGTTTAAAAATTTATTAAATATGGTTTTGATATGTGATTGTTATATTACCATACAAAATTTACTAAAGAAGAATGACGCTTTTAATAAATCCCGCATTTTAGTCACGAGTTTTATTGAGTAACGAGGGGTCGTCCATAAAGGACGTCACGTTTTTTGAACATATTTTGTGTTCAAACTAAACTAAGTAAATAGATAAATATATCAATTACAGGTAAAATTGGTAAATTTTCCAAAAAGATTTAAAATGAATGCTGTGAACAAGTCAATATTTTACCCAGATACTAAAATATGATGATTCATGTTGCTGTTCCAGCCTCAGAAGCTCAATTTTCAACGTTTTGTTGGAACGATTTCTGCCCCCTCCCATTTATATTGAACAAACAGAATATAGTTATATAGTTCCTTCGCGGACCAAATTAAAAGGCAGTTCAGGTGCTAAATTCCCATCGATGTTTACAAAAATTTTACCAAAATCTGCTGAGCCCTATCTTATTCCGTGATGATTTATTTGTTCGTCAGTACAGACAGATTTAGAAGCCAGAATTAGTAAAACATGCCACCTGTACTTTGCTTCAAAAACGTTTTACACAAGGAAAAATGGAAGAATGAAAAAATAAAAATCCGACCAATAAGAGTAGCAGCAAAGCGACAACGAGAAATGATGGCGATTTTGACAGGCGGTCAAATAGACTAGCTCGAAGAATAATCTGGATTTGACTGGAATAATTTTTGAAGAAAGAAGACGATTTTATGCCAATTCATTCTGCTGTTAAATGTTTTGAAAATCCTTGAGAGAAAATTTGAGAAAATACATTTTTGTTCTCTTGTAGTTTTTTTATTCAGAATTTACTTCTTCAAAAATAAAAATTAATGTAACTATAATTTGTTCCAAATTTAAAGTAGAAGTCCAGTGGCTAATTTATCAATCTTGTTTTTAGGCATACTTCCTCGTTTTAAAAATAAAAAAATGTTTAGCTCAACTAGCTTAAATTTGTATGATCATTCAGTTATTAGTTTTTTGAATTTTTGACGTGATATGGGGGTGGGGGTTAGCGCTGCTGTGAACATTTGTGACAATATAATCATTAAAAATTACCCAGTTTAGGTAATAATATTAAGAAATATTAAGTAATTAAGAATGATAATAAATAATAAATTGTCAATTTGAGAATGTAATCATAAATAACTACCCAACTGAGAATGATGCCATGGAAAATAACCAAATTAAGAATTTTATCATAAAATATTATGAAACAAATTTTTTTTTTTAATAACAAATCACTGATTTAAAAATGTAGTAATTGAGATTACGAAAGGAGAATGCTATCATAAAAAACTACCCAATTAAGAATGTTGCCATAAAAAATATCCAAATTAAGAATGTTACTATAAAAAGTTACAAAATCACTGATTTTAGAACGTTACTAAACAAATATTATGAAATTGAGAATGTTAACATAATATTACTAATGGGAGAATGTTACCCAGTTGAGAATGTTAACCTGTTACCCAGTTGAGAATATTTCAAGAAAAATTACCTAATTAAAAATACTAACGTAATAAATTGTCAATTTGAGAATGTAATCATAAAAAAAATTGCCAAATTCAGAATGTAACAACAAAATTGAGAAAATTAAGAATGTTAACATAAAAAATTGCCAATTGAAGAATGCTATCATCTATGTTATCATAAAGAACTACTCAACTGAGAATGATGCCATAGGAAATAACCAAATTAAGAATTTTATCATAAAATATTACAAAACAAAAAATTTTTTAATAAAAAATTACTGATTTAAAAATGTAGTAATTAAGATTACGAAAGGATAATGCTATCATAAAAAACTACCCAATTAAAAATGTTGCCATAAAAATATTATATATTATTTTAGTTTTAGTTAAGTTTTAGTTTTAAGATCCTATAGTTTTAAGTTATGTACCGGACCTATGTACAGGTAATTTATTACCTCCAATAGGCGGAAATTATATTTTCTGTACACATGTATCTGGATGTTAAATAAATAAAAAAAAATAATCAAATTAAGAATGTTACTATAAAAAGCTACAAAATTAAAAATGTTTCAATAGCAAATCACTGATTTTAGAATGTTACTAAACAAATATTACGAAATTGAGAATGTAAACATAATAAATTACCAATTGGAGAATGTAATCTTAAAAAAGTTCGTTAAGAATGTTACAAGAAAAATTACGAAAATTAAGCTTGTTAACAAAATAATAAATTGTTAATTACAAAAAGTACTTAATTATACAAAGTTACCAAATTGAAAATGTTACCATAAAAAATTAAGACTTAGTAAAAAAATACAAAATTAAGAATGTTACAATAAAAATTGCCAATTTGAGAATGTAATCACAAAAAATAACTTAATTGAAAATGTTGCCATGAAAAATAACTAAATTAAGAATTTTACATAAAAAAAATTGAGAAAAAGTGGTTGTTATAGAAAACTATTTAAATGAGGCAGCTGAGGTTGACAAAGGTATTTTGTGACAGTTTGTGTCAAAAAATTATCATACATTTTCTACTACAAACAAAGTTATGATGATGGTAATTGTCATCATATTAACTGTTTTTTTTACATTGCAAACATGTTTGTCGCATGGTATGGCGTTAGTGCTAAAACCTGTATAAAAACTACTTTATGTTAAAAAAATTAATAATCCAGTATGTTACTAAATAAAATGTGGCAATATAAGAATGTTATAATATAAAAAATGCTCTAAATTTGACAAATTTAAAAAGTAAATAAATACAAAAATTAGATTTATTTTTTTGTATGTTTACTTACAGATTCGGTCTTAGGTTTGAGATTGTGGTCCTTTTTTACTTCAACAACATCTTTTTTGATCCCACTGCCATTAACAGCTTCACTTAAATTAGGCAAATCGTTTGGAGGCACTATAACCTTAATTTCCTTATTATCCTTAACCAACGGTTTGGTTAAATTAGGATTTGGAGGATTAGCATTTGGAATAACCGGCGTATTAATATAATCTTTAGTTTCCAATGTTTGAAATACAAGTTTTACAAAGTTCTCCGTTTCACCTTCCAAAAACACATCAAGCTGTCCAATCATGCTTTTACGAAGCTCCTCTTCGGATTTATCTTTCTTTATCAGTGCTAGAACGTATTTGGCCAATGCTGCTGGGTCTGCTTCACACCTTAATTGAAAAAAAAATGGTCAAAATATACGTTTTTAGAAAAGTTTGGTTAGGTTTTTATTAAAATCATCCAAAAGCAATCATTAGAACTATTTTTGTACAATATTTTCTCAAGTGTCAAAATCTTTAGAAACAGATAGCTTAAGTTGACAGTTAAATCTAATTTAAGTTGGCATTTTTAGGACAGTTATACTGCCTATATCTCCAATATTAAGGGAGAAAAAGTCATTTATTCTATATCTAAAGTTAACATTCTTAAGGTACCTACTTAAAAGAGTTATATGTATCTAGCTTGATGTTCTCAAGACAGTTATATCTATTTTAAATTGACAATATTGACACAGTTAAATCTATCTAAAGTTAAAGCAATCTTAAATTGATATTCTTAAAATTTTATATATCTAGCTTATCTTTAGAAACTTTAATAATTGAGTAATATGTGTAAATGTACCTACATCATTTGCTTACTTAACACACATAACCCCTTTTTATTACAGTTACCAAAAAATTACAAATTTCGTTCCAGCGATAAATTTGATGTTTACTATGTTTCTTGACTTTGTTTTAACACGATAAATAGTGAATACAATATAATTACAATAAAAAATATGCAAATAAATTAGTAAAAATAGGTTCAAATATGGTTTCACTTACATGGGTTTGAGAACAGCTGTTAGCCATGTTTTGAAGGCTTCGACTTGATCAACAATCATTTTTTATCGTTCCGTAACATTAAATTCGCGTTAAACCTTTAAAAAATTAATAAAATCTTATAAATTAACGACAAAATCGACGAAAAATTGTCGTACAAATTTTTGCAATGCTGCAGGGTGACCGTTGTCTAGAAAAAACTGTGACCAACTCCAAGAAAATTGAAGTTACCAAGTTTCAGCGCTGTTGACCGATCTACGTTTAAAAACAAAATTTTAACCAAAACAAGAAATATTAGACCAATAGTATGATAAACACTTAAATATTTAAGGTAATAGTTGTAAAATACTATAATTTAATTCTATATTTTTTAATAATTTTTAAAATTTCGGGTAAAGGCTTTCACAAGATGGCAACAAAGTAAGTCACCAACTGCGAAATGTCAAAATAAACATTACATTTTAAACGGTTTTTCTTATTTTTTTCGAGTATTTTTAGAATATCTGCGTGGGTATTTTGAAAAACAACATTTCTAAACAGGTAAGGCCCCAATTTAATAATAGAAAATCCCCCATGTGATAGTTTTAACACTTTTTCGTCTTTATTAATTATTATACATTTATTTATAAATTACGTGTTGAATAAGTAAATAAAACATGTTTATTTTTTTGGTTGTTATAATATATTATGTAAATATTGAGTTTATACAGGTAAAATAACAAATCTTTGGTTAATAATAATATATAGGAATTCAATGGAATAATTCATTCTTTGTTGTTTGTATTTTATTTTTTACCATTCCAATTCACCTGGAATATATTTTTCGATAAGGGATTCATAATAAGGCCAAAGTTTTTCAATATCAGGTACCACTGTACTTTTTGTGTACAAATCATATTGGCTAAAAATAAAAAAAACTAATATTACTTACATCAACTTATTTTGGCCAAGAAATATGTAATTTGGCAATTTCTTTACATCATTTGATATTTTTGTATTGGAAGGTGCAGAAAAGGTTATCTTGTGTGAAATGAACCTTTTTATTGCCCAATATTTTGCGGGTTTGATAATAAATAACGATTTTACACAATTTTTGATAGAAAATTCATAAAAAGTTACTTACTTGAATTTTAATACCCATTGTTTAGTAATTTCATCTTCCTCTTTTAAAAGATGGGTATAATCCCCACCAGAATGCCATGGGTAGAAACTGTGGTACCTTATCATTTTTAAAGCTTGTTCAGGTAGTTTGGTGTTGTTATGCTTTAACACCCTGTATAAATACTCGTCGTGACCCCATGACATTGTAATTTTGTCAAGTCCACAGTTGGGTTGATAGATTCCATATTTAGTGCTGAAATTACAGTAAATTTACCATATGGTTTTTTAGTTAGTAAAATCTAATTACTTGTATTTTGGATTTTTTCCGTCAATGTTATCATTGAAAGATGTGTCTCTGTAAACAATATTTTCACCCCATTCACATCCTACTACAAATGTGTCGCCCACAACACACCATTGAGGTTCATCATAAAAAGCCAATACCTTAAAATGACAAAAAATAGTTGTACTACAATTTTGAAATCATTTTTATTATAAATATAAAACGGCTTGTATCAGCTTTAAAACTTTGGTCTAAAAAATCTGTGGTAGGGTTTACAGACACTGTATATTATATTTACCTTTCCAGCATCATGTATTAAACCTGTCAATTGAAACCAGTCATCATTTGGGTAATCTTCTCTAATTCTTTCTGCGGTTTGAAAAGCGTGCACAATATTTGGGATATCCACGTCTGGATCACTTTCATCCACAAGATCGTTAAGTTTTATTAAAGCGTCTTTCATAGTGGCTTTGTAATGGTTGAATTTCAACCATTTGTCCATTTTATCTTTAACAAAGTCAACTGTTTGGTTTGTGTGCATTTCATTGTATGTTTTTCTGACCCTTTCCTGGATGGGGTCATTTTCGTCGATGTTATAATTTCTAAATTCTTCCAAATTTTTGTCTGCGAATTTCGGTTCAGGTCTGTGTAACTCAGACGGGTCGATAATATTAACGATTTTTTCACTCTATGAAATAAATAAAATATGTATTTTCATCGTTTTATGGATTATGAGCGAAATTATGAATTTTGATTGTGCTTAGTAACTAACTTCTTAAGTGAAAAGTTTTTTGTGATGGTTTTTAAAATATATAGATTTTGATTGTTTTATGGATTATTATGAAAAATATGGTTTTTGACCAAGTATTCAAAATGTTTCTTTTAAAATAATGAATTTTTATTAAAATGTTAATTTTTAAAATACTTCTGATTTTTATTCTTATAAGTATTGTATAAAATATGCATGCATGCTTATAAAAAATACAAAAATTGAAATATGCTCAAATTATGCGTTAACTTAAAAAATATGTAGGTAGGTATTATTTTGTCGGTTTGCGTAATTTCGAAAGATTTGTATTTACATTCAGGTTGCATTAACGGACACACTCGCAAACAATGTATGCATTTGCATACAATTCACTTCCACCTTAATAGGTACTGTTTTAAAACATTCTTGTAAATTGATTTTGTATGGATTCTTTTTTAAAATTAATATTTTTAGAAGGTCAAAAAGTATTTTTTTTCAACTTTTACCAGAAAATAAATAAATTATGGATTTTGATCGTTTTATGGATTATGAGCGAAATTATGGATTCTGCTCATGTGCTTAAAATGCTCTTTTTGCGTGAAACAAATTTTGCAATGTTTTTTTTTAATTATGGATTTTGATCGTTTATGGATTATGATTAAAAATATGGATTTTGATCATGTGCTCAAAATGCCTGTTTTTTCATGAAACACATTTTATGATGATTTTTTAAAATTATTAATTTAAATTAAAATCTTCATTTAAAAAAACTTTCCTTCGTAAAAAATGAAAGTTATTAATTGTTAATTTCTAAATTCTTACCAAAATTCTCATTTTTTCACTATTTATTATACTTAAACCTAAATTATTACTGTTTTAAAACATTCTTGTAAATCGATTTTATAGGGATTCTTATCTAAAATTAATATTTTCAAAATCGCAAAGGTCAAAATATCAATTATTTTCTTAATTACTTTTTTTAGAATGTTTATGTTAACGTAATCATTTCATTAATAATATAAAATTGTTTTTAAAAAATGCCTACGCATTTAGAAAGTTTTACGCTTTTTGAAAGATTTTTATTTGAAAAATATAGTACATAATATGCATCACTCCTGGTATATTTTAGCAGGTGTAGAGTAAATATACAGGTGTAATTGTTTAAACAATTTTGTCTCTTTTTATCTTATAGGATTTATGCGATCTTTTATGGTAATGAAATATAAACGAAACCTTACTTTCACTTATACAATCGGGCAAATAAATATTCAGCATCTTTTATTAGGTAATTCTATACGAATATATTTTTGGCTTATTATTTATAAATGCGATTTTTTCGAGTCTTTTACTTAAGTTTCTACATTTGACGGTCGCGTATTTGTTTTTTATTGTTGTTAGAGAAAAGTAAAAAAAAACATTGTTAAAATGTTTGTTAAATTTTTATTTTTGGTTTGTTGTGTTTGTTTAAGTTATGGTTTACCAACTATGTATAAGTTAAATGAAAATAAGGTTTTGGAACCAGGTATGTTTTATAATTTTATTCCTAATACAAAATATCTTGTAAAAATATATATTTTTAAATTTAAAAAACCGCAAGTGCAAAAAAGTTATATTTTTTAAGTTTCCAATATTTTTTTGCGATTTTATTTATGAACTATTTTGCATTTTTAGTCACTGAATATTAATTATTTGTGTAGGTTTTTACAAGGTAATGTTAATAAGAACTATACTATAAATATAAATATTTTGTATTGCATTTTTAAATTTTTCTATTATTTCTTTATAAAAACACAATAACAGTAAATTTCCTCTTGTAGATAAATTTTTTCTTTAACATACATAAACAACTATTAATTAAGATAACAATTATTTATGTGGAAAATCTTTTAATTAACCATGATATATTATATTATAAGGTAAATTAGGACCAATTTTTAAGCAAAAAAGTAGAATGACCAGGTATAATAGTTTTACAAATATTTTTTTTAGATTTAATACCAGTTTCTTCAACTGTCATCCCCCTTCCTGTATATCAGGTGGGATATGGATTAAATGTGTCCCCCTCAAAACATGATGAAAAAATTAAAAAACCTGAGGGCCCAATAAGTCTAGTTACAGGTAAATTTATACAGAATTTCGAAATTTAAGAGGCGATTTTTGTTGCATTTTTTTACATGCGAAAATTTTGATCTTAGGTTAATGAGTATTGTCTACAAATATAATTAAAGATATTAAATTAATTAAAATATAATCTATGAAATTCCATTAAATATGTGGGAAAATAAATGAACAACAAGTTAATTAAATTTAAAACCAATAGGTATTAACGTTTTTAAATATTTTTTGTATTTTTAGTTCACAACCAAAAAAAAGCAACAGGGGAAAAACAAAAGTTAACTGATGCATCATCTATTAAAGAACTAAAACTTTAGACAAAAAATTAATGTTTAAAAAAATTTAACCAAAATTAATGAAATTAATGATTTAATTTGTTACCAATAATACAAAATAAATACTAGTCGATTCTATGCTGTTTTTTACTTACCTTTCACAACTTGACAACGTCGCATCCTTATTAGAAGAGGCCCACCACATCATATGTCTTTGAAAGGGGTTATTTATTTATACAAAATAAAACAATTGTTTTAATATGCAGTCATTTGTTTATTGACATCACAGATTCCAATTGACAAAATACTAATAATATTAATATTACAACCTTTTTTTTAATAAAAAAGTGCCAAGAGTTGACAAAAAATATAGTAAAATAAAAACAATTATTTAGTTTTTTGATAAAATGAGAAATCTTATTGGATAAAAGTCTTAAAAATCTATTTTTTACCTATAGAAATAATTGTGCCGTAAAGTTAATCGAGTTTTTTAACATAACAGTGTTGTCAAATGTCATAATACTAAAACATATTACGCATAAAGTCAGTTTTTTATTTTGGAGTTAAAAATTAAAAAACCCGATTCATGGCCGTATCTACAAGGCACACTTAAAATTTGTTGGCCAAATAAGCAATGTTGCCAAATTTGGGCCAACAAATTTCAACTATTTGTTGTGCATACGGTCATCAGTCATTTTTTTAGAAATTTATTAAATTTAATAGGAATGTTTACAGATATTTACATTATTTATAAAAAATATACAAATCTAATTTAGAAAATCATAATTCAGTGTAATGTTTTTAATTTTCTACAATATTGCACTAAAAGTTTTTAGATAATAAAGGTCATTCCATGCTAGAATTTTAACGGAATGACCCGTAGGATTATAATATTTACATTGTGCATCACACAGATCTACAGTTTTATATGATTTTGACAAAAATATAAATTTTTTTATGCATACAATTTTGGGTACATAAAATAAAAAGATAAAGATAAAAAATCAACTTAAATAGCATATTTTTAGATTTTAGAAATTAAATGTGCCTTTTTGTTATGTTTTTAACGCTAAACAATGAATTTTTGTTAAAAAAATTTGGGTTTTAAATGTTTTTTCAATGCAAGTTATAAAAAACGGATTTATATGTAATCGAATTTTTGTTAAAATCATTTAAAAACAATTTATTTTTGTGCAGATCTGTATTGGTTTAATTTATATACAAAGTGTTTTCTTTACACTAAAAGAACTATGTACAGTTTTTTAAATTTATTTTAATACAGGGTGTTTGATAAGACTTAATCTTAGGCCAATAATAAGTCTCTTATATGTGTTTTTGAAGAATATTTAATCATCCTGTATGCGTTTTATTGTTTAAAAATAGATATTTATAGTTTTAGTCAGTCACAAATTTAAATCTCCGATTTCTTGATCACAACTTAAAAAAACGATTTTGGAATGTGAAAAAATAATATATAAAATATTTCCAGATGTCCCAAATATTTGTTATTTATAACTAAAATTTAGATTATAATCTTTGAAAATATGGCTTACAATAAGTGCGACTACCAATTTTTTTTAGTGGTCCAAACTTACCGCTAAGATACAGTCATACACGATATCAATTGCTGACATAACTTGTTATAAACAAGGTGGTCGCCTGAAATTCTCCTCATTTTGAGGCCTTTGGAGTCTCTGGGTTTTTCTATGACTTTCAGTTCGATCTGAATGCCACCTTCGTACTCTAGCGAAAGTCTGTCGGAGATGTCTTCAGCGCTCGAACAGGTTTTCGGGGGTATTTGGTCTGTGATTGTGCGTCTTACCATTTCTAGGATGTCGGTGGAGTGAAGTTTCGAACATACTTCCGATAGTTCGAATTCAAAGGAACCTGAAGGGTTTTAAAAATTGTTATTATACTCCAAACTGTCTAAAAATGCATAAGAATCTCTCAAACTATATTAAGAATGTCTCAATTTGTGTAAAAAAGGTCTAACAATCTAAAAAATAGGTAAAATATTATTTCAGTTTATGACTTACTAAGAATGTTAAAAATTGTCTTAAGAATTTCCGATCATCTAAAAATGTGTAAGAATATCTAAAAAATGCGTTATGTCGTAAACTGAATTAAAAATGTTTTAAATTGTCTAAAAAAAATGTTTGAGAATGTCTAAAATTGTCTTTAAAATGGCTAACTGTCTAAAAATGTGTAGAAGTGTCTAAAACTACATGAAAACTGTCTCTAAAAATTTGGTAAGAATGTCTTAAAGTATGTAAAGAAAGTAAAAAATTTGAAATTCTTAAAATTTTCGAAGTGAGTAAGAATGACTAAAAAATGTGTTATTATGTGTTATTATGTTTTAAATTGTCTAAAAAATGGGTAAGAATGTCCAAAAATAGGTAAAAATGTCTCAAATTGTGTAAAATAAACTATCAAAAAAATGAGTATAATTTTTTTTAGTTTTTGACATTCTTACTAAGAATGTCAAAAATTGCCTTAAGAATTTCAGACAATCTAAAAATATGTAAGATGACAAAAACTGTAAGGTATATATTAAATTGTCTAAAGAACTATTTAAAAATTAGTAAGAATGTCTAAATCTGTCTAAAAAATGTGTAAGAATGTCGAAAACTGTCTAAAAAAATGTGTTAAACTGTATTAAAAATGTTTTAAATTGTCTAAAAATGAATGAGGATGTCTAAAATTGTCTTTAAAATGGCCAACTGTCTAGAAATGTGCAAGAGTGCCTAAAACTTATAAAAATTCTTTCTAAAAAATAGGTAAAAATGTCAAAAATTGTGTAAAGAAAGTCTAATTATCGAAAAAATAATAAAAAATTATTTAAGTTTTTAACATTCTTACTATTGTCTTAAAAATTTCCGACTATCTAAAAATGTGTAAAATGTCTAAAACTATCTAAAAAATTAGTAAGAAAGTTTAAATCTTTCTAAAAAAAAGTGTAAGAAAGTCTAAAACTGTCTAAAAAATCTGTAAGAATGTCTAAAACTGTCTAAAAAAGTGTGCGAATATCTAAAAAAACGTGTTAGTTTCTCTCAAACTGTATTATAAATGTCTTAAATTGTCTCAAAAATGGGTAAGGATGTTTAAAACCTTCTTTAAAATGGACAACTGTCTAGAAATGTGTAAGATTGTCTAAAACTATATAAAAATCGTGTCTAAAAATGTCCCAAATTGTATTAAGAATGTTAAACTATCTAAAGAAGGTGTAAAAATATTTTAAACTCTTTACTTATAAATGTCTAACAATAAAAAAATTGAAAACAAAAAATAAAAATGTCTTAAGAATTTTAAACTTTATAAAAAATGTGTAAGAATGTCTAAAACTGTATAAAGTCTCAAAATGTCTAAGGAACTATCTAAAAAATTAATAAGAATGTCGAAAAATGTCTAAAAAATGTATTATGCCTCAAACTGTATTAAAAATGTTTAACTTTCTAAAAAATGGGTAAGAATGTCTAAAACTGACTGAAAATATGTAAGAATAGCCAAAAAATGTGTTGTGTCTTAAACTGTGTTAAAATGTATAAAATTGCCTAAAAAATAGGTAAGAATGTCTAAAACTGTCTTAAATGGCCAACTCTCTAGTAATTTGTAAGAATCTATATAAAAATTGAATCTAAAAATGGGTAAAAATGTCTTCAATTGTGTAAGGAAGGTCTAACTGTCTAAAAAATTAGTAACAAATTCTTTCAGTTTTTGTCATTCTTACTAAGAATGTCAAAAATTGTCTTAAGAATTTCCGACTATCAAAAAATGTGTAAGAATGTCTAAAACTGTAAAGTATGTTTTAAATTGTCTAAAGAACAATCCAAAAAAATAGTAAGAATGTCTAAATCTGTTTAAAAAATTTGTAAGAAAATCGAAAACTGTCTAAAAAATGTGTTATGTCTCAAACTGAATAAAAAGGTGTAAGAACGTCTAAAACTATTAAAAATGTCTTAAATTGTCTAAAAAATGGGTGGGAATGTCTAAAACTGTCTTTAAAACGTGAAAGTGTCTTAAACTATATAAAAATTGTTTAACTGTTTTACTTATGAATGTCTAACCAAATAAAAAAATTGAAATTAAAAATGTCTCAAAACGTCTAACGAATTTTAAACTTATTAAAAAATGTGTAAGAATGTCTAAAACTAGCCATAATAATGAGCAATTTTCTGAATATATCTCAAAATGTTAGAGAATGTCTAAAGGATGCGTAATAATGTAATAAGACTGTCAAACTATCTAAACAATTTGTAAGAATGTTTAAAACTGTCAAAAAATGTTTAAAAAAGTCTCAAATTGTCTAATGAATGCCCAAATGTCTAAAAAAGAATTTTTAATACAGTTTAAGGCAATCTTACACATTTTTAGAAATGTTTTAAGAATGCCTTACAATGTAAAATAAAAAATGCGTAAGCATGTCTAAAATATTTAAAACTGCTTTTCATTGATGCCAAAAAAAATTTAAAAACTTCTTACCTGAATTTTTGTGCAAGCCGGGCCCTGGGTGCGCGGTTGCCAGCTCGCCTCTGCCCGGCATTTGACCCGTCAGCTGGCTCGTCGGGTCGTCATAGACGGAGAACTGACCGGCTTCGCCAAAGTTCATCTTGATGTTCTGGAATATTTGGAAGGATTCGGCCGCCGCACCGCGAGACGTGGCAACGCCGCACGCGCCCACCATGGAAGGATCGTAGCTGAAATCGACGGGGCGATTTCTGATATCGGAATCGCACGCGTGACTCGATTGCGTGTTTGAACTCGAACTAGGACTTTGATTGCCTACAAAAAAATTGTTAAAATGTGAAAAACGGTTTTAGAATGTCTGAACTGTCTTTAGAATAATCAATTGTCTTAAAATGTGTAAGAATGTCTTAACAGTCTAAAACAGAGTGAGAATGTCTCGAAACTGATTTTTAATACATAACTAACTACTAAATAATTATATAAAAATGTGTAAGGAGACAAATTGTCGTAATAATATCTTAAACTGTCTAAAAATCTGTAAGAAAGTGTCAAACTGTCTTATGAAAGACTGACTAGAAACATGTGTAACTGTCTAAAAATGTGTAAGAATACCTAAAACTGCTTGTAGAATGTATAAAGCTGTTTAAAAAGTGTAAAAATATTTAAAACTGTAAAAATGACCATTAATGTCTAAAACTGCCTTAAGAATGCCCATCTGTCTAAAAAATGCGAATGTCTTAAATTGTAAAAATTCCAAACTGTTTAAAACTGTGTAAAAATGGCCAAAACTGTCAAGTATACCCAACTGTCTAAAAATCTGTAAGAAAGTGTCAAACTGTCTTACAAATGTCTAAAAATGACCAACTGTATAAAAATGTGTAAGGATGCCCAACTATCTAAGAATGGGTAAGAATGTCTTAAAATGGTAATTTTATACTAAGAAGCATTAAGAATTTTATACTGTCTAAAAATAAATTTAAGAATGCCTAAAAATCTCGTAAGAATACCCATCTGTTTAAGAATCTGTAAAACTTCTTTTATGAATGAGATAAAAAGATTGACATAAAAGTGTTGCAAACATATCTAACTGTATAAAAAAAGTAGAAGAATGTCTTAAATTCTCTTAAGAATGCCAAACCTTCTAAAAAATGTCTAAATGTCCAGAAAGTAACAAAATTTTTTATGAATGACTCAAAAATTTGAAAAATTGTCTAAAAAATCTGTAATGTCTCAAATGGTCTTAAGAATGTCAAATTTGACAGGTGTCTATCTAAAAAAATGTGAAAGAATGTCTAAAACGTCTTAAGAATGCCCAACTGTCTAACAACCTGTAAGATGGGGTAAAACTGTTTTATGAATGTATAAAAAATTTAAAAGAAAATTTAAAAAATGCGTCAAATTGTCTTAAACATGTTTAAGTGTCTAAACAATGCATAAGAATGTCTCAAATTGTCTTAAGACCACCAACTGTTTAAAATTATGTAAGAAAGAGTCAAACTGTTTTTGAATGACTCAAAATTTTGAAAGAAAATGTAGAAAATTGTCTTAAACATGTGTAACTTTCTAAATCTGTAATGATGTTTTAAATGGTCTTAATAATAAATTTGACAGTTAACTAACTATCTAAAAAATGTGAAAGAATGTCTAAAACGTCTAAAAAAATGAGTAAGAAACTGTCAAACTGTTTTATGAATGGCTAGAAAATTTGAGAAAAAATGTAAAAAATGCCCCAAATTGTCTTAAACGTGTTTAAATATCTAAAAAACGTCTAAGAATTGTCTAAAAAATGTTAAGAATGTCTTAAACTGTCTTAAGATTATGAAACTATTTAATATTATGTAAGAAAGGGTCAAACTGTTTTATGAATGACTAAAAACTTTAAAATAAAATGTGTAAAAATGAATAACAAAAATATTAAAATTAAGAATGTCTTAAATTGTCTTAAGAATGCCAAACCTAAAAATTTAAAACAATGTACAAAACTGTCTTAAGAATACCCACCACTGTTTTATGAATTTCGACAAAATTTGAAAGAAAATCTGTAAGAATGACTAAAATGGTCTTAAGAATTGCAAATTTGGTAGTAACTGTCTAAAAAATGTGGAAGAATATCTAAAACGTTTTAAGAAAACTCAACTGTTTAAAATTCTGTAACATATGAATGACCCAAAAATATAAAAGAAAGTCTAAAATTGTCTTAAATTATCTTAAACATGTCTAACTGTCTAAGAATGTCTCAAACTATCTTAACAATGTCAAACTGTCTAAAAAATGTGAAAGAATGTCTAAAACTGTTTAAAGTTCTGTGAGAAACTGTACCTACATTTTAAACCGTTATAAATGTATAAAACTAATTTTTTTTTACGAATAACAAAAACGAAAATATTAAAATTAAGAATGTTAAAAAATAACATAGGTATGTACAATATTGTAAAAAATTAATAAATTCAGTAAAATAAAAATGTCAAAAATAAAGAATATAAAAATAAAATTGTTAAAATTAAAATTTTAAAATAAAATGCAAATAAAAATATTTATGTCAAAATTTTTTAAATATTATAACAAATATTAGAAAGAATAATAAAGAATGTTAAAAAATTAAGAATAAAAATAAAATTAAATTATTTACAAAAATGTTCAATAGTTCAATAGTTTAAAAAGCTTGTACTTACTGTGTATACTCAAACTATCATTTTACAAAAATGTTCAATAGTTTAAAAAGCTTCTACTTACTGTGTATACTCAAACTATCATTGGACAAAGAATCATCCGAATACACCGAGCCCTTATCACTGTTCCTCCTCAGAAAAAACTCCTCGGAATGCGCGGAACTTTCGTCGTACAGCCTCGGAGCCGTTCGACTGTTATCGTCGTTGTTGTTTTCTTGGCTCGTTTTGCGCCCGATGCCCCGCGTAATCGACGGCAAGTTTTCCGATGGCTCGGATATTATGAACGAAGGTATGCGCGAGGATTTTTGGTTGTCTAAGCTGTCCATGGAGTCTTCTGACGTGTCTGATCCGGCAACCAGCGTTACTTCGCTACCTGTAAAAAAGGTGGGTTAAAAATATTTTTTTTAAATTATAAAATAGGTACATGAGAAATTAAGAATTTTAGACAGTTTAAGAACATAGTATACAAATTATAAGAAAATGCCTTAAATTATTCTAAAAATGTCTTTAAGAATGTCTACAACTGTCTGAAAAATGCTAAACCGACTAAAAATGTGTAAGAATGCCTCAACAAATAAAGAATGTATAAATTTTAGAAATAAAGAATTCAACACAATCCACACAACAAGGGTCTGTTCTATCTCATACTAAAAATACTAAAAATCACAGCAACACTGCACAGAGTTTAACGGCGGCCATTTTTGTTGTTTACAATTCTTGTAATTTGGGTTTGTGGTGTTTAACAATTGTTTTAAACGTTGTGTTTCTTACAGAAGAACTTGTAAGCCTCGAATGAGGCCTTAAAGTGCTAAGGACAACCATTTTACTCCTCTTATGAAAAGTAAACCTTATTTTATTTATTTATAAATGAATATGGTAAAAAATAAAAATCGGTAAGAATGTCTCAAATATTCTTAAGAATCTCATATACCAAAATTTCCAAAACTGCCTTAAGAATACCCACCTATCTAAAAAAATGTGAAAAAACTGTTTTATGAATGACTAAAAATGTAAGAATGTCCCAACAAATAAATAATGTAAAAAATAATGATGTCAATAATAAATTAAGTAAAAAATTGGAAATGGTTTCAAACTAAGAAATTTTAGAAATAAAGAATTCAAAAATCAAATGAAGATATCTTACTAAAAGAAAAAATGTCCTAACAAAAAAACAAATAAAAAATACCAAGAATGTAAAAAAATATAATTTTAGTCCTATATAACATGGGGCCAAAAACTGACCCTTGAGGAACCCCCAAATTGTTTTAAACATTGTTACTGCCAAGGTAACTGTCTAAACAATGTGGAAGAATATCTAAAACGTCTTAAGAAAACCCAACTGTTTAAAATTCTGTAAGAAAGGGTAAAACATATAAATGACAAAAAAATCTAACTGTCTAAAAAATCTGTCAACGTCACTTTAAAAAAGACCGATAAATTAATCCCGGTGCATCCGCCATTTTTTGCGAAAACATTTTTGAAAATTTTAGCATAACAATTAAATACGTATTTTGTAAAGTATTTCCTAAAAGTTTCTTTGAAATTAAAGCAAAATTGTGAAAATGATTAATTTATCGTAACTTTTTAAAAAGGATTTTACAAAAAATCTGTTGAGCTCACTTTAAAAAAAAACATTTTTCTTGATATAGGAAAAAGTTGAGGGATATATCAATAAAAATGTTTTTTTTTAAATTGAGCCCAACAAATTTTTTGTAAAATCCTTCTTTTAATAATTATTTTATAGACTGTAAAATCTATAACAATTAGATAAAAATTTTTTTGACTTTTTTATTTAAAATAGCCTTTTTTATAAACCTATAATTGAATGGAAACATTAAAAATAATTTTATCGACTACAAATAAAAAATGAGGCCTCCTATATGATCGGGGAGAATCCTTTTTAAAAAGTTATGATAAATTAATCCCGGGGCATCCGCCATTTTTTTGCGAAAACAACATTTTTGAAAATTTTAGCATACCAATTAAAAATTGGAAATGTCATTTAAATTAAAGCAAAATTGTGAAAAATATATATATTTTTCACAATTTTGCTTTAATTTAAATGACATTTCCAATTTTTAATTGGTATGCTAAAATACCTATAGGTATTTAATAAAGTTGACAGTTTGACAGTGAAAATAGACCCTTACAAAAGTCATTCTATCATTTTTCAGCAAATTTGACAAAAATTAAAAGCTGACTTTATTGGATTTTCTTAAAACTTTCAGGGAGCGAAGGCCAATGCTTAGGATGAAAAAAAACCACAATAATGGTAAAAATGTCTTAATTATCTTAAAAATGTCAAATTGACTAAAAAATGGAATGTCTAAAACTGTCTTAAGTTCTGTGAGAAACTGTAAATTTTAAACCGTTATAAATGTATAAAACTAAAGAATGTTTACAAATAATAAAATTAAGAATGTTAAAAAAATAACATTGTAAAAAATTAATTAAGTAAAATCTTTATGTCAAAAATAAAAAAATATTTTTAAAAAATTATAAAATACAATACAAAAATTAAAAGAAAATGTCTTAAACTATTCTAAGAATAGAATAGAATTTCAAAATCAAATCAATTAAAAAAATTTAAAATGAATAAAGTAAAAAAATGAAGATTGAACCTTTAATACATGTTTAATTTCTTACCTAACACATCAGTGACGGATATCTGCGGATACCCGACGACCGCCTCCAGCTTGGGTGCGGCCGGGTGCACGTGAATCTCCTCCTGGATCATGTCCAAACCCGGACTACCCGGATTACTGATGGGAGAATTCGTCAGACTTCTGTGGCTGTGTATGTTCAGTATGTGGTGGATATGATGCGGGGGCGGTTGGTGCAAGAACGGCTGCTGCATGGCGGCCGTGTCCATTTTGTTGGCGGATAAGTCTTCGGGCGATGGCGGTTGACAGCGGACGTCGAGTTGCAAAGCCGCGGCGGCGGTGCCTTGCGTTATGGAGCCGCCCCCAATTACGGACGAGCCTCCTGTTGTGTTTAGCCCGCTGATGCCTAAGGGGAAAACGAGAATTTTGTAAATTTGGTAAAATAAACATTTCTAGAGCTAAAATGTTTTAAGAAAGAAACATCTGCTGTCAAATAAAGAAGATACAAAATTTAAAAAATTAAAATAAAGAAAGTTGGTGATAAATAAAGTAAAAAAATGAGTATTGCAAAAATTAATATAAAAAATATATGTATATAAAACATATAGATTGGTAAAATAAAGAATCTAAGTAATACAAAATTAAGAATGTCAAAAATGAAGATATTCAGTAAAAACAAATTTTTAATGAAGTATTTCAAAGATAAAGAATGTCCTAAATTTAGAATTAAAAAAAATCAATTGTAAAATTATGTAATCACCCAATAAAAAAAGTAAAAAATTAATATTTTTGAAATGATAAGTAAAAATTACAAAATAAAAAATGTAAAAACAAATGGAAAAAAAAAATTTAAATAAAGATTGTTAAAAGGAAAAATCACTAATAAAGAAAAAAGTCCTAAATGGGACTCAAAATTGAGGGAAAAAAATGTTGTGAAGAAAGTCAATAATAAATAAGGTAAAAAATGAAGAACGTAAAAACAAAGAATGGCCGAAATGAAATGAATAAATAATGTAAAAATTAAGATTGTTAAAATAAATTTAATGATAAATAAAAATGAAAATTTTCAAAAGATACCATTGCAATAAATGTCTTAAATAAAGAATTTAAAAAAATCAAATTAAAAAATTAATTTTAAAATGAAGATGATAATAATAATAATAACCTCAAAATGTCAAGTACTCAAAATGTCAAGTACTTGTGGAATTTGTGCTAAGTCTATTTATGCGAATGCACCCTGTATTAAGTGCACCAAATGTGATAAATGGGTGCATAAGAAGTGTACTGGGTGTTCGGACGAGGAGTACTCTAAAATTTGCACTGAAATTAAGAAAGATCGTCTGAAATGGATATGCAGCACATGTCCGAGTGAGGTTATGCCTCTACCTGTGACAGAATCAACCGATATTCCTGCCGATAGCCTCAATATGTCTAACCTGGAATCAGCGCTAACTAAAGTCTTAACTCCTTTTAAGGCAGAAATAAAGGAAGCATTAAATTCCTACAGCCAAAAACAGGAAAACAAAGGTTTAAAGGAACAGAGTACAATACTATCCAATAATCTGGTAAAGGTGGAGGAAGAATTGGACTCCGTCAAGTCTAACTTGTTAAATATTGTCGAAGAAGCAGTAAGTATATGAAGTACACCAAAGGCAATTAAGATCAAAAAATATTATAATCTATAATGTACCTGAATCTACTAACTCAAACAAGCAGCAAAGAACTCAAAATGAGAGTGAGATCATAAAAAACCTAATTTCTACGAGAGTAGATATAAATTGTGATAATCTGAAATGCTTTCGTCTAGGCAAATACTCAGCAGGCAAAATTAGACCTGTGAAAGTCGAACTAATGTCGTCAGATGATGTACTTAAAGTATTAAAAAGTAATCGAGGAAATGAGAATTCTGATTTTTCTTTTAAGAACGACTTAACTCTTATACAACGTAATCATCTAAAAAGGCTACGGGAGGAACTGCAAGTCTTAAAAAACAGGGGGGATGACTCACACACTATTAAATACATTAATGGAGTACCTAAAATTGTTGTTAAAGAAAATTTTCAATTGTAAGCAGTTATGATACTCATCTAAACATAATCTATCAAAATGTGCGTGGCCTTAGAACTAAATTGAACAGTTTTCTAGCTTGTGTTAGTGATGGGCTGTACGATGTTCTATGTGTGAGTGAATCATGGCTAAACTATAACTTTTTCGATGGTGAAATAGTGGACGACTCTTATAATATTTTTAGATGCGACAGATCACAATTAACAAGCAATAAATCAAGAGGAGGGGGTGTTTTCATTGCTGTAAAAAAAAAATACAAATGCTTTATATTGGATACCACGGGCCCGGTTGAGCAAGTTTTTGTGAAGATAACTATTAATAATAAATCTCTTGTAATTGGATGTGTTTACATCCCACCATCGTCCACCTCCAATGTTTACCAGTCCCACATGGACACGGTTGACTCACTTACTAGTCAACACACTAGATCATCTTTTGTTGTGGTTGGTGACTACAATCTTCCTAACCTAAGATGGACAGAGGGGGAGTACACAGGGATTGAGGTTATGTCCGACTCTGAAGCTGTCGTCTGTGATAACTTTGCATTTATGGGATTCACTCAATATAATATGATCAAGAACAACTTTGACAAGCTTTTGGATCTTTGTTTTTCTAACTTGGATATTAAAGTAACAGAAGGGTCTCCACTAGTACCTCCAGACGCATACCATCCCCCCATTGAAATTGAAATACCACTGAGCGATTCACCATGCATGGTAGAGGACAGGCGGTGGTCTTACGTTTTTGAAAGAGCTGACTTCAATGCTATCAACGATTTTTTATTAAACTGCAGTTGGGTTGACCTTTATTCTGAGCCGGATATCAACAGGAAAGTTGAAATTATGTACTTTTTTATTAATCAAGCTATTGATATGTTTGTACCACGTAAATGGCATTTTACTAGTAAATTTCCCTACTGGTTTAACAGTGAACTCAAAAAATTAACAATTTTAAAAAAGCAAGCCCACAAGCAATACAAAATTACTGGCTCCCAATATCATTATGAAACTTTCGCCAATTTTCGTAGACGATGCAAATTATTGCAGTCAGAATGCTATGGCAACTATATCTCCAACGTGGAAGGGTACATTACCTCTAATACTAAATATTTTTGGAACTTCATAAACAAAAAAAAGAAACCAAATGGGATCCCAGAAACAGTACACCTTGGAGGGAACTATGTGGATGCAGGACAAGAAGCCGCAAATCTGTTTGCATCTCACTTTGAGTCTGTTTACAATGGGGAAATACACGATAGCGAAGTATCCCAGCTTTCTAAAACAAATATGGTAGATCTGTCATCTGTCTGTATATCTCTTACTGAACTTTCTAAAATTTTATCCAATCTTGACGTTCACAAGGGCTCTGGTCCAGATGGGGTGCCCAATAAGTTTTTAAAGTTCTGTTCTCTTCCTTTAAGTGAACCACTTCTTGAAATATTTAACTCCTCACTTAAAAGTGGTATTTTCCCAACCTGTTGGAAGCAGTCTTACGTGGTTCCTGTATTCAAAAGTGGTGACAGATCTGATGTTAAAAATTACAGGCAGATTTGTATTATTTCAGCAATACCTAAAATATTTGAAAAAGCGGTTCTGCCTGCAATTTCCTTTGCATTCAAAAATATTATTATTCCCAATCAACATGGCTTTTTTGAAGGTCGTTCTACTGCCACCAATCTCTTTTTGTACACTAATTTTATCTCCAAATGTATGGACCAAGGTCATGAAGTTCACTCTATCTACACTGATTTCAGTAAAGCCTTCGATAAAGTCAACCATGAAATACTTATTAATAAGTTGTCTATATATGGTGTTGGTAATCCTCTACTATCTTGGATATCCTCATATTTGAACAATAGAACCCAGCAAGTGGTTCTGAATGGATTTAAATCAGGCAATATTCATGTCTCCAGTGGTGTTCCCCAAGGCTCCCATCTGGGACCTATGCTCTTCAGTATTTTTGTCAACGATATTGGACTTGATTTCGATTCTTCTTTCCTACTTTTTGCTGATGATCTAAAAATATACAGATGCATACAATCTTCAGCCGACATAGACCGCCTACTTGCCGACTTAGATGCACTCAATATCTGGTGTATAAAAAACAAGTTATCCTTGAACGTAGACAAATGCTTAGTCATGGTATTCACGAGAAATAAAAACCTCACCTTCCAAGAGTACCACATTGCAAACGATAGACTCAAAAGAGCGGATTCTGTTAGAGATTTGGGGGTTCTTTTAGATTCAAAATTATCATATATTAATCACTATGATTCTCAATTAAACAAAGCCTCAAAATTGTTGGGTTTTTTAACAAGAACAACTTCTAATTTTTCCAACATCAGATGCCTGACTATCCTCTACTCAGCACTAGTTAGATCTCAGCTCGAATATGCATCTGTCATTTGGTCTCCATACTTTGAAATACACAAAAGAAGAATTCAAGCGGTTCAGGACAAATTTCTTAAAACTCTTACCGGTAAATTGAGACTGAATGGCATAGTACTTAATGATACTCAGACAGCAGAATATGCAGGGCTTTTATCCCTTGAGCGTAGGCGAACCTCGTCAGACTTGTGCTTTTTCTTCAAAATTATCAATGGTCTTATTAATTGCCCCGATATTTTGGCAGATTTTAACATCTTTGTCCCTCCTAGAGCAATTAGGCATAAGCCTCTTCTATGGGCCCAGCACAGCAGAACTGTGCATGGAGCTAATTCACCGATCCATCGAATTACCAGAACTGTCAACGATGCCAACTCCAGCATTGATTTCTTTGGGACCACACTCGAGAAATTCAAGAACTGCCTCAAGCATGTGATGTAGCTTAACCTCTGTAACTTAAGTTTCCATACTAATTAGTACGGATCCTATGATCTTATTATCTATTAATTGATTTGTTAAGTTTTTAATATTATATCAAGTTAATTTAGTTTTAATTAATTTTCTGTATCTATACTATTTTTGCTTATTTCATTTGTAATATGCACGATTTTTCACATGTACTTACCTTTTCTATTGTAACTGCTAAATGCGTTAAATAAATAAATAAATAAATAAATAAATAAATAAATAAATAAATAATAAATACCTAAAGTAAAAAAAATAAGAAAGTTGATAATGTCCAAATAAAGAATGTAAAAAATAAATATTGTTAAAATTAAAGAAATTAAGTAAAAAAATCACAAATATAGAAGACCGACTAGACTGTACAAAAATAAAGAAAATCAAAAAAGGAGAATGTTAATGTTGTGTGGATTATGGTTAATGTATCAAGTTTTATAAACGCCATTTTAGTTTTATTAGGAATGAGCGAAGCTTGCGACCGAGTGTTTAATAAAAACGAGTGTCTAGAGAAGTGTATAAAACGAGTTGCATAATATACTTTATTTACGACGAACACAAAGAATTTAAAGCCAATTTTATTTGTGAAACATTTGACATCTGTCAACTTTTAACGGATTTAACCTAACTTTTCCCTAATTTATAATAAAGCACACTTCAGCCCGTGATTAAAATGCCCAAATGCCACTATATATTGCTAACTTCAGCCCGTGACTAAAACGCCATAAAGTCACAACTCGTCAATGTAGGAGTAGATAAGGCTGAAGTTAGCTTTATTAAATTACGAAAAAATAAGGTTCAATTTTTCAAATGTCAAATTTTTATGAATTAAAATTGTTCGTTTTATAAACTTCTCTAAACACTCGTTTTTATTAAACACTCGATCGCAAGCTTCGCTCGAGCCTAATAAAAGTAAAATGGCGTTTATAATATAATATAATAATAACAAATTGGGGCTCATAAGTTATGAGTCATAACGGACTCGGAAAAAATAAGAACTGTTAAAATGAAGAAAGTCAATAAAAAATAAAGTAAAAAATTATATATAAATAAAAATTATTAAAATAAACAATGTACCTGAATAATAAAAAAAGTAAGAATGTCAAAAATGAAGAAATTTAAAACAGTCCAAAATAAAATAAAGAATGTTGAAAATTTAACAATAAATAATAAATAAATAAAAAATAAATAAATAAATAAATAATGTTAAAATAAATTCCAATGTTAAAAATGAAGATATTCAATAAAAAATTGAAAAATGCGGAATTTCAAATATAAAAATGTCCTAAATAAAACATTTAAAATACAAAATGAAGATGTCAACAAATGATGTAAAAAAAACAAAATCAAGATTGCTAAAAAGAAAAAATTTCCAAAACAAACAAAATGTAAAAAATCACAAATAGCAAAATGGGGCCCAAAACGGACCCTTGGGAAATTTGTTGAAATCATCCATTTTAGAAAATATATGTTTGTAGATAAAACCATTTGCAATTGTTTCCCTCAAAGCCGTTGTATCACTTTTTAAGTTTGTACGCGATTTTTAAAAACCTTTTAGATTTAACCTTATTTAGAATCAATTTTTGACAAATAAAAAAACGTACCTTGTGTAATAGAAGAAACGCTACTCCCAGGTGACGGTTGTGCGTACCCACCAAAAACTGGGCTCGAGTTTGGGCTCAGCATGGTGCCCAAAATGGGCGAATTTCCGGCCGAATACATCGCCAGTCCTGGAACTTGACCGTAAACGGGTTGATGTTGTATGGGGGAGCCCATCGCGTTGTGAAGAGGGCTGCCTCCAAAGGATGCATGGTGGGGGGAGTAGCCTTCAGGGGGGAGACCCAACGTAGGGTCTGTGATCGGGGGGTAATATTGATGGATTGGTGATGGGCATTCGCCCAGTTGTTGCTGGGCACCACCCAGGCTTTGGTGGATGGGAGATCCTAAAAATAAAGATGTTAGATGCGACTGTTTAGGAAGACAATTTAAATATTAAAAAATCGACCATCAACCCAACCCAGTGCTTAAATTGTCAATCCCCAATTTTAGAAATTCAGAAAGTGGCTTGGGGTGAAATTGTGGAAAAAATTAAACTCTTTCTTCATAATGGTACGATGAGATTTTGATTTTCTTCACGGGTAGTATTTATCATTACTATGACGATTATACGACGCTCAGACAGGTATTTTGATCTAAAAATTTTGTTAATTTTTATTACTAGATCTAAGGTTGCGCCTTAAAGCAGATAGATAACATATCTATCTTTTTGTGTAGTTGCTACCTGAATTGGCCATCTCAGTCCGCGATACCAACAGCTAGCGCTCCTTTAAATCGTACGTCTTGGCTCGCGTTGTTGTTTTATGTTAAAAGTGATTTTGGTGAAAGAAGTTCATATGGATATGGTCAATCAATGTACAATATTTTGAGCAACATTTTGTGTTATAAAGTTTATTTATTCATATCAATTACTATATCCATCTATATAACGGCCATTCCACGCGTAACGGATGGGACATTTGCAAGTTTTTATTTACAAAATAACATTGTTCTATTATATTAATAATGTCAAATTTTTATAAATAGTTCTAAACAAAAGCTGTTTAACAAGGTTTTTATTTGGCAAAATTAGGTATCGTGGTTGACCGTTTAATTCCTTAAAAATTATTTTTTTTATTCAAAAACACTACTAGTAGGTACTGTTTTTGAATAAAAAAAATTAATTTTTAAGGAATTAAACATACAATTACAATACCTACTTTTGCCAAATAAAAACCTTGTTAAACAGCTTTTGTTTAGAACTATTTATAAAAATTTGAAATTAGTAATATGATAGAACAATATTATTTTGTAAATAAAAACATGCCCATAACTAAAAATATTAAAATTTTCTTGTGTTTTTAAACAAACATTTGTATTTTTAAATATATGCAATACCTCACAACGGCATCCAAAACAGGTTTTATTAAACTTCAGGACATATAGAATAACTATAGCCATCAAAAACATTTTCACATCACGAAAAAAATTACCCTTGAAAACAGACACTTTATTTTTAGGTTTTATTTTTTAAGGGGCACAAAAAATTTAATATATGTTTAATTTTAAAATTTGTATTGTATTACTTGCATGTAAGTAGCTATTTTTTATTAATAAATTTTTGAATACTTATATTTTTTTATTTTTAGTAAAAATACGTATTTGTAAAATGTTTTTTAGTCATTTGCTACCCTCTTGATGCAGAAAGAGCCACGTTTTAGGTCAAAATACCTGTCTGTGCGACGGTTCATTGTTTTCATAAAAATTAATTGATAAATTGGGAAAAAGTGAGGTTAGAACCGTCTGACAGTTGTCAAATTTTATGACGCGACTATAATGATCTTTAAATTTGGGAAAGTGTTAGATGTCAGAGATTATTTTTGACGCTTCTAAAAATCAATAGAAAATTTCAAATTCCATTCAGTTGGCTTATGGGACGGACTTCTTAAGAAGTAAGGGTGGAACTTAAAGAGTCATGTGTGTATGCTTTAAACAATCAAAACATTGTTATAGAGGAAATAACCTACTGTACATTATTTTGATGCCGCACTAAATGCATTACTAGTATTTTATTAGTTTTAGGCAAAAAGTCACTGAAGAATTTCATCGGAAAATTGTCTATGGCGGGTTCAATTAAGATGGGACTGATAACAAATATGTTATACGAGTCACGGTGCTGTTCTGAGAGGTGATTTTTAGACTTTCTGTGAAACCTAATTTTTTTTTATATTCTTGTTAATTAGATCATAACTAAAATTTTAAGAGCAAAATAAAAAAAATTTGACGGTTTGAATTGTTTTAATTGGCTGTTTATTAAAAATATTATGCACTCTTTCAATTATCCAATTAAAACTAGCGATTTAATTTAAATATTTAATATTTGCATAACTAAAAAAAAGGTTTTTACAATTTTTTTTATATATTTTACTGTTTTGTTGCAATAAACGTTCAAACTTTTAATCTAACCTTTGACGTATATAGTAAATTTAAAAGTAAACTACGTACACGTCATCAATCAGCTGATCGGGCACGGTTGTCAATGTGATGCTAAAATCCTTGCATCAAGAGAAAGTGGTAGTGCAACTACAGGGCGATAGATGGCGTTTACATGAATAATACCAAAATGTCAAAAGTCTGAGTTTTTATAACCTATATGATGCACCGCCAAAAGTATGTTTTTAGCCATTTTTAAAGACATTTTCTGATATAAAACCCAAAAATTTTGCCATCTAAAGTCAGTCTCTGGTATATATATTATTATTTCATGTATCCAACATATATTTTGTTAAATATTCTAATATATAATTAATAATAATCCTATTTACCTCTCTAACAGCTGTTAAAGGTAACAAAGGTCCATTATTATCTCGTTCTGCCTCAAAATAGCGTATTAAGGATGACACCAACTCTTGACTCCGACTATTTAAATGCTTCGGCATTTTAAATATAGGAAACACAAAAAAACGATATATAACAAACACAAAAACGGCAATGAAAACTTAAACGATATAAAATAACACAAACAACAAACAAAATAAACGAAATAATACACGAATTAAATGAAATATTCAAAAACACAACTGACAGCTTCGAAATTCTAAAACGTCAAATTCTTTTTTATGTGTCATTTAAATATGAAAAATTTGAATGTAAACATGACAACATCACAATTGTTGCCAACTTAATTTGATTAAAATGCATTCAAATATTCAATTACAGACTCCGATTTAGTCATTTAGTGTTGGTACCAATGCGTAAAATTTTTGTTTTATTGATGACGTGTACGTAGTTTACTTTTAAATTTACTATACATTTATGTTCCCTTAATTAATATATCCTTAAAGGTTGCCATGAAACTTAGATCTATTAAAAATTTAGTTGATGTTTGAATTGTCATTTTCAGTATACGTATTCTATAATTTTTGTTTAGTTTTTTAAACTGTTTTTTATAAACAAAAATGAAAAATTGTAGTAAAAGTTACGAAGAAATTCATGAAATTTAACTAAGGACCGGTTTATTCATCTTTAGTAAAGTTTATCGGGCCGATAACTTTCATGTCTTGGCAATATCTAGTATCCAAAGAAATTATTCGTCAAATAAATCAAAAATGAATAAATCGGCCCTAAATAAAATGTGGCACCCTTAGAATTATTGTTTAATAAATGTATACTACATTTAACCTTAAATTAAAACTTTAAACGTGTATTACAACAAAACAGTAAAAGATATATAAAATGTATAGACCTTTTTTTAGAAAATTAACTAATCTTTAATCTGATTTAAAAAGTTATGATAATATTTAAATAAAATCGCAAGTTTTAATTGGAGAATTGAAAGTGTGCATACATATTTTTAATAAACATCCAATTAAAACAAAATTAACTGTCAATTTTTTTTTATTTTGCTCTTAAAATTTGAGTTATGACCTAATTAACAAGAATATAAAAAAAAATTAGGTTTCACAGAAAGTCCAAAAATCACCTCTCAGAACAGCACCGTGGAGTGTTTTAATTAAAGGCTTTGTTATCTATGGTTTTAATAATTTAACCTGAAAAAAAAACTGACGGCATAAAAAAGTTTATACCTGGTATTGATCTAGGCGGGCTATTTCTAGACTGCAACCCTCTTTGTAGCCTTTGACATTCCTGCTGAGGGGTTGAAGGGCTCAGTGTCCTTGAACCTCCTGCTGAACCTTCACTGCCCCTCCTTACAGGACTATACCTTTCCTTTTGTTCGCGGCCTAAATTTAAACAATATTATTATTCATTATAGTTTTTTTTTCTAATTAAAAAAAGGTTTGTTTTGTATTTAAACCAACAAAAAACTAGTCACAAAATACTACCACTATGTTACATTTAACTGTGTTAAATACTAAAGTGTGCTTAAAAAATGTGCAAAAATTAATCACAAAATTTAATGTGTTAAAACACGGTATACAAATGTAGACTTTTACACAAAGTACACTCATAAACAATAGTAATGCAAATAAAAAAGTCCACATTATACAGGGTGTCTAAAAAAGGTGTTTAAAAAAACCTAACACGCATTCCTTAGACCAAAATAGTTAATTTTGAGAAATATGTATTATAATAATAATTTGCAGTTGGTTAAAAGCAAGTTATCAAAAAATATATAAAAATTGCACCAGTTTTCCTTTTAAGTGGTTACCATTCTTTGATCAAAAATACCCTACTTTTCGGATGTTTTCTTGTATTTAATAAAAGGAAATTGTCTCTTCAGCAATATGATAGATTAATAATTTATTAAAAAAAAATTAAAAAATCCAAAAAAGCGTTTGGTGGAAACTTATATAACAAAAAACTTTATAGCAGCTTTTTAAATTTTTATTATTAACAAGAGCACGAGGCCCAAAAAAAATCCATAATAAAATCCACATAATTGTATGTATGTGCAAAATTTCATAAACCTCGGCAAAATTTAGAGATATTCGTGCAGTGGCGTAACAAGATAACGTGGGGCCCTGGTTTCAAACCTTAGATCCGGGCCCCCTCTCATCTCTACAATATACATACTAATATAAAAAAAGGTAGGATTTATCATAAATCGAGACAGGAATAATTTCCTGGAGGTATGGACCTTCATATTTTTGGAAAGTATTACTTTTATTAAATATATACAGTGTGACCCATTTGTTTGCGACTCAACCCTGTAAAATCTTTATTTATTGTGCGATTTTAACCGGATTTGTTTTAAAGTGTAGATCTTGAGAAATTGTATTTTTGTAAAAAACGCCATATTTTTACAAAATACAAGGCTATGTCAGTTTTTAAGAGTAAATTTTTAAGAACAAAATCTAAGAATCCTGTGCCGGGATTCACCACCCCTCAAAACGATCCTATACTAAATTTTATTGAAAAGTAGTAAAATGCATTCTGCCAAGTTATCCATGAAAAAAACATTGAAATAAAATTAAACTAATAGTAACATGGTTTCAATAAAATTTAGTATACGGGTGGTGAAACTGATATAGTAAGCCTTGTATTTTGTACAAATATGGCGTTTTTTGCTCCAAAAATACAGTTTATCAATATACAGGGTTTTCATTTTAAAACGAACCACCTTAAATATCTTTTAAATTAAAAGAATTTCAAAAAATCCAAAAAATACGTCGAGTTATATAAGAAGGGGGAACTTCTATCACATTATTTAATTTAATCTAGTGCTCACCCCCCTCGCGCCCACCCACCCCCACTTTAAAATTTCAAATGGCACCCCCCTACAAATGACACCTCATTTTAAAGATATTAAAATTCTCTATCCAATGGTGTGAAAAAATAGTAAATCGGATGGCTATTTAAGGATCTGGAAGATAAAATGTGTGCTGATAAGATAAAATAATAAGGTAAAAACAATATTGTTTTTAGGTATCTTTTTGTGCAAAAGGTAATAAAAATGTCCTTAAAAACATTTAAACTGGCACTTTTATCATTAATTCATTTTCTACATTGCTCCTAGTAAGTTTAAAATTAAGACATTAAAATGGGATACACAAGAGTGTAGAAGTATTTCGTCTCAAATTTTAGCCCGTGTCCGCGAAGAATTTCAAGATCGACTTTACTATTGCCTAGCGAAAAACGGCGAACATTTCGAACAATTTATAAAGTAAAAAATGTATTCAATTTAAAAATAAAAATATACAACCTTTTTACTTTTTTCTATTTACAGCACACATTTTATTTTCCAGATCCTTAAATAGCCATCCGATTTACTATTTTTTCACACCATTGGATAGAGAATTTTATGCTCTTCAAAATGAGGTGTCACTTGTAGGAGGGTGCCATTTGAAATTTTAAAGTGGGGGTGGGTGGGCGCGAGGGGGTGAGCACTAGATTAAATAATAATAATGTGATAGAAGTTCCCCCTTCTTATATAACTCGACGTATTTTTTGGATTTTTTAAAATTCTTTTAATTTAAAAGATATTTAAGGTGGTTCGTTTTAAAATGAAAACCCTGTATACACTTTAAAACAAATCTTACTATAAATAAAGATTTTACAGGGGTGAGTCGCAAACAAATGGGACACACTGTATATATATATATATATATATATATATATATATATATATATAAATAAAACCGTATAAAACGGCAACCGTATACAGTAAATATAAAACGACAAACGATTTAAAAAATTTCAAATAAAGTAGTATCGACGCTAAATAGCTCGTTTCTGCATGGTTTTTAAAATTACCACTAATTATTTTAAGCTCTTTTTGGCGCTTTAACCGAGCCACCGGGCCCCCAATGGCGCGGGCCCTGGTGCCACCGCACCACTGGCACCATTGTAGTTACGCCACTGTATTCGTGTTACCGATTCGGAAAACAATGTTCCGAAAAATACGTTTAAAGTTTGCCTGTTATTGGTGAGTCCATGCTGAAGTACAGGGAAGTAGTGAAGGGGGTGTCACACCTAGAGATGCGACTTGAAAAAAAACGGTCCGTTTTTTTGTTTTTTTTTAGGTTTTTTTTCATTGTTTTTTTTTAAATGGTTTTTTTTCACATTTTAGGTTTTTTTTCAAGATTAGTCCCATTTGCCTAATTTTTTATGTTTCCAGGGACTAAAATTAGCCACTAAATGACAATAATTATTATTAAATGTAAATACAGTCTCGCGTTATGCACTCGCCACAACCACCGATTTGACCAATAAGGGCCGCGCTTGTTTTGATTTGGTCCTAAAAAAAGTAACTACATATAATATTTTTGATTCAGCGCTTGATTTTTCAAAAAGCTACCAAAAGCACTTTTTTCAAATTTATGTAGAGTATGGAATTTTTTTTTCAAAAAACAATAGCAAATTCTTGCAGAACATTTCTTCATTGGTGGTCAGAACATTCCGTGCACCAAAAAAGAAATAAAAAAAAATCGATTTTTTTATTACGGTATTCGTTAGAATTGAGCGTTGCACGTTTTTCATCTAAAAATCTCAAAACTATAAACTTCAAGCTTCAAATTGCTTTTTTTACGGCGCCAATACGACCATTTTTAACAAATATACAGCTATCCGAAAAATCGCAAAAAAAAATTTTTATCCTTTAATTTTTTGTATTAGTGTAGAAGTTTTACATTGCTATTGGTTTTTAATGTGGAAACTACCAAATAATAAGAAATCCGATTTTTTAGTCTTGGTCAAAATTTTCAATAATGAAAAATGTAATATATTCTACATTTTACTCAAAATTTCATTTTGAAAAAAAAACAAAAAAAACCGTTTTTTTTCTAGGTTTTTTTCATGTTTTTTTTCACATCTGAAAAAAAACCGTTTTTTTACATCTCTAGTCACACCCCCCAACTATTCCTGACTCGGTAATTTCCGAGGTTCGGTAGCCGATATTTTCGAAAGTGTTATTAGCTGCCGACTGCAGTTGCAGCTAATTGATTTAAATATAGTAGACGGAACAATCATTCGGCAAACGGATGGTCTTTTCGATCGAAAATCGGGAATGATTTCAAGACCTTTTGTAGCAATTTAAAACAAGAAACAGACAATTTGCAGTGACTTTCCAGAAATTTGGCTTTTTTCTTATTTAATTTTTTAGTCGCAAACTGGCAATATTTTGATGCTGCTAAAGTAAATTTGTGAAATTTTTCAGTTGGGGAAGTAAGTAACAAAGAGTTGAAGGGAAATTCAAATCGTTATTCGTTGTGGAATGTTGTAAAGGCCGCCTTATAAATTTGCATTTTCAAGTGATTCCAGCGTCAATGAAATTGATAGTCAACAAAGTTTTACGATTTTCGTTAAACTTGTGAAAAACATGCATTTGACGGAATTTGTATAACGAAATATTTTTTGCTCCTAGTGAAAAATGCTCCAGCTACAACATTGATCTTGGACAAATTAATTTTATCGCAAATTTGTGTCCCATATAAAAATGTTATACGCTATATCATTGCCTCTGGGATTTTAATTTTGAAAAATTATACAATCAATATAACGTATTCCTTTACATTTTAAAATTCAAGTCGGAAAAATCTTTGAAAAAGTCGGCATTTTAATGATCGGAACCTTCGCTACGCCCGAGCGTAGCAAAAGTTGTCTTTTTCTTGTTTTTTTCAAGAAAAAGTTTTTCAATTAAAAAAACCAGAATAAAATGCATGGGATTTGCGGCAAAATAAATTAAAGTTTAAAAAAATACAGAATAGGACCAAATATTTGTTTTGTATTTTTTTCACAAAGTTTTTATTCTCGTTTTATCCAATTCAATTTTTCTGCAAATTTATCAGTTGTTTCGTTTTAAAGGCTCGGAAAAAAAAACCTTGATTTTTTCTTATTTTCTGCAAGGTTTGAAAAAATGTCTATTTCGGAAAAATTGGATTTAAAAATAAGTTATGAACGACTTTACTATGCAAAAATAAAGCATTTATTCATAAATAACATAAAAAATGCTCATTTTATTGAAATGTGTTAAAAATTCAATTTTTACCAAAAAATAATTTCTCCGGGGAATACACAAAAAAACAGGTTTTACCCCAATTTTTCCGTTTTTTTTTTCGACGCTTTAAAATTTTTTTTTCGATTGGGTAAAAAAAATTGAATAAACCCACAGAAATGGTTTAGTGGATCCATGGAGTATTAGAAAATATCAAAATTTCAAATTTAAAATCAAAATGTCGGGTTCAAAAGTTGCCGTTTTAGCGTAAAATGACCCACATAAATGCTTGTATTACCTTAAATTTTATGATGCCCTAGCTATAAAGACCATTTTTCAATAATGTTTTAATCTAAAAAAAATTACACAGCAATTTTAAAAACAAATTATTTTTTCATTTTCATTTATATTATTGTTTTTTATTATATACCTACCAACAATTCTGGTATCAAGATTTAAATATTGAGCAGTTTTTTGTTAAATAAATTTTCTTTTTAAATTGCTGCAATGCCAATTCCATAGAATCTATTATAAGTGGACTTAACGTATGTTTCATTAGAAAACAATGGTTTTCTAATGAAACATACGTTAAGTCCACTTATAATAGATTCTATGGAATTGGCATTGCAGCAATTTAAAAAGAAAATTTATTTAACAAAAAACTGCTCAATATTTAAATCTTGATACCAGAATTGTTGGTAGGTATATAATAAAAAACAATAATATTCTGTGTGTTTCATGAAATTTGAGCTTTAAACAACAATGCACAGAAGAAAATACTGCAATTTTTGGACTTTTGGACTTGCCATACTTTAGCTCTGAGGTACAGAAATGAGTTTTGTGTTAATATGATACTTCAGTTTGTGCAGTATTTTAAGGAAATGCACAAACACGAATAAAATTTTTTGTAAAAAAGTCTAATTTTTATCAAAAGAACATGGTGCAGTTTTAAATTAATTTTTAATAACTAAGCCCTTTTATATTAAAAATATAAAAAAATTTTTTAGGAAAAAATATTACTTCAAGACCGTATAGCCCCAAAACTGAGCAACTGTATACTTAAATCAACTTATTTTGTTCCAAAGAATATTTGGTAGGATTGTAAAGACGTTTAACAGACACCCTATACCGCATTTTTTCTTTTCCTGTACTCACCTTGCTCTTGTACAGTGGGCAAGTGTGCTTTAATATGCGAATGTCTAGACAACTTTCTTTGCGGAATTATTGAAGGCATATAGTTCCTTTTCATTCTAGCCTCGACCTCCATCACGATTTCGGGCGCAATTACTAACAATCGCATGCGCAAAAAAATAAAAACAAAAAAAACAAAAATAAAAAACAAAACATCGCAGATGTCTACTACAATACAAAAAAATGTTGGGTTAGGGATGTCTTTGAGGTTAGGATGATTCTTTTGACACTAAACTAAGTAACAAAATGTGGTGTATGCAAGCTAAAAAGTGCAAAATACATTAAAAATCGACAACAAACTTTGAAAATACAACAACGAAATGTCAAAAAAACTCACCGGGCGGTCTTTCCATAACGGTCAAGAGGCCAGTTCTTCTAGTTCTACCACCAGAGGCCGTTGGCGATTGTAGGTTATGTACATCTTCTGTGCTGGCCATTGTGTGCCTTTTATTTTGGCCCCTACCTTGCATATACCTATACAAAACAAAAAATGTAACCACCAACTAAAGGTTTGAAATTTGATATATCCTTTTAATTTAATTTAAACTTCCACTAACGATTTCTCGAAAAGGAAAAGATATTTGAAAAATTTTAAAAGGATTTTGAAGAGAAGGATTAGTACTTTTAGATGGAGTTTAGTGCAGAGAAAACCTTCAGCAAGGTTAATAAAGTATGATTTGACCAAATTTTTTACTGACCTAGCTACTTCTTCTAAAGCGTGTTGTTCAAGGGGTTGTGTGGCACCACTGCTTAGACTTGGGTTGCCACTGGAACTGGTTGACATTATTGACAATTGCTCATGGGACCCTGGGGCACCCCATGCCATGTGCAAATTGGCACCACCATCTAAAAAAATATATTTTTTTATTTTACACATTTTATTAATAAAATTTATGTATGCATGCAATTAAAATATTAGTTGTAACTAATATTTTAATTGACTGTATATTTTTGACAATTTGGTGGACAACAAAATTCACATCCTAATCATATACCAAAAATCATAATACATTTTTTTTTTCGAATTTTTGCATTGGGGCAAAATTTTCCAAGTATACCACCAAAACAAATGTCTTTCTCATTTTTTTTTAAATTTTACTAAATTATAGTAAACACGGAATTTCAAACGACTATCATCCTGTGGGCATCAAAATCTAAACCTCCTTTATGGACAACTAATCTAACTCTTGGGTATCACTACAGTCTTGTAATTTTGACAGCGGAAGCAAAAATCACAGACTTATGTTAACATATGTCTGTAAATATTTAACAATTTTTTAAAATTCCGGCCCACTCTGTACTACCCGGACATATTCAAACGAACATCATGTGATTTTCACAAATTTTATTCATACTGATATCATACGGAAGTCACCGCGTAATAAATGAAAATCATACGAACGTCACGTCGTGATTTTCACAAATTTTATTCATCCGGATGTCACTGGGTGAGAAATGAAAATCATGTCGTGATTTTTTATGCCAACGGTTTTTTGTGCCATTGGTCAATCGAATTGAACCCGGACAACATTCGTGATATTCAAACAACGTTTTATAAATTATAACGGAGTACACGGTGCTGTTCTGAGAGGTGATTTTTGGACTTTCTGTGAAACCTAATTTTTTTTTTATATTCTTGTTAATTAGGTCATAACTAAAATTTTAAGAGCAAAATAAAAAAAATTTGACGGTTAATTTTGTTTTAATTGGATGTTTATTAAAAATATGTATGCACACTTTCAATTCTCCAATTAAAACTTGCGATTTTATTTAAATATTATCATAACTTTTTAAATCAGATTAAAGATTAGTTAATTTCCTAAAAAAAGGTCTATACATTTTTTATATCTGTTTTGTTGTAATACACGTTTAAAGTTTTAATTTAAGGTTAAATGTATAGTATACATTTATTAAACAATAATTCTAAGGGTGCCACATTTTATTTAGGGCCGATTTATTCATTTTTGATTTATTTGACAAATAATTTCTTTAGATACTATAGTATCTATATATATTATATATTATATTATATATATATAGTACCTATAGATATTGCCAAGACATGAAAGTTATCGGCCCGATAAACTTTATAAAGATGAATAAACCGGTCCTTAGTTAAATTTCATGAATTTCTTCGTAACTTTTACTACAATTTTTCATTTTTTTTTATAAAAAACACTTTAAAAAACTAAACAAAAATTATAGAATACGTATACTGAAAATGACAATTCAAGCATCAAATAAATTTTTAATAGATCTAAGTTTCATGGCAACCTTTAAGGATATATTAATTAAGGGAACATAAATGTATATGTCAAAGGTTAGATTAAAAGTTTGAACGTTTATTGCAACAAAACAGTAAAATAAATAAAAAAAATTGTAAAAACCTTTTTATTAGTTATGCAAATATTAAATATTTAAATTAAATCGCTAGTTTTAATTGGATAATTGAAAGAGTGCATAATATTTTTAATAAACAGCCAATTAAAACAATTCAAACCGTCAAATTTTTTTTATTTTGCTCTTAAAATTTTAGTTATGACCTAATTAACAAGAATATAAAAATTAGGTTTCACAGAAAGTCCAAAAATCACCTCTCAGAACAGCACCGTGAGTAATGTGAATAACAAACTAGGTTTTAAATTCGCAGTTCGCAGGGCTCATACGCATGCGCAAATTTTGCAAATATCACGTTGTGATATCATCATGACTTCACCAGGAAATCCCGATTGTTGTCCGGGTAGTTTTAACTACTAATCCTGCAAAGGATTTTGCTTTATTACCTTTATTAAATTTGAATATAACACTTTCCAAATAAAATCTAATCTAATAATAAAGTAAAATTATTTTTTTTATATAAAAAAATATACAGTATTTGTCAATTTTAAAACATTTTATTAATTTTTCCAAAAAAATGCATTTAAAAAAAAATTAAAATTAAGCTCATTAGAAAGCTTGATTCTTTAATAATGGGATGGAAATTATTTTTCGAAGTTTTCAACTGTTTGATGAGCTAAAGCGCAGAAGTGTGTCATCAAGCAATACTTTGACAGGTGTCAAGATGACATATAACACTCACACATTTATAAACCAAAACTTAACGTTAAAAACTTCTTGAGTCAAAAATTACCAAAAAATTAATTAAGTAATTAAAGTAAAGTCCAAGCTTTGTTTTAAGACCATTTTCAAAGAAACTTGGAAACCCCCAATTGATTACTAAACTTCTTGTCTTAAAGATGTCGACTTTGAAGAATATCAACTTAAGCCAGATAAAATTTGTGCAATGCATTTAAAAAAAATTAAGATTTAGCTCATTAAAAATGCCATATAGAAACACAAAATAAAAATATATCTGGTTCAATATAGGAATTTGAAACAGGCATTGCACTATTGAACCAGATAGAATTCCATACCTGGAAAACCATATAGAAAAGTTTCTATATGGATTGCCATATAGGTTCATATTGCTCTATCTGGCCCAATATGGTATGGGTGTGAAAAAATTATTACCATATAGATCCATATTTAACCATATAGAGGAATCTATATGGTTTAATATGCAATTTTCGTTTAAATATATATACATTTTAAAATGGAATTCCATATTCAACCATATAGGGAAACCTATATGGAAAGACACATAAAACAGAAACCAGATAAATCCATATAAAAATCCCTAAGTTGTACATTTTAAAATGAAATTCCATATTAAGCCATATAGATTCCAAAGTGTAAACCAGGTCGTTCCATATAGGACATATAGAACCATATAAATCCATATTAGTTTCCTTATCCGGATCAATATGGGTTCTATAGGGCATTTTTAATAGGGTAGAAAGCTTGATTCTTTGACTTTAAAACTATATAAGTTTAATAATGGGATGGAAATTATTTTTCGAGGTTTGTCATCAAGTAATACTTTGACAGGTGTTAAGATGATAAATAATTAACTCCTGCGCTTTTCAAGCAATTTATTATTATAAAAAAAATAAAATTAAGTTTATTAGAAAGCTTGATTGTTCAACTTTAAAACCATTTAACTGTTTGAAGAGCTAAATCGCAGAAGTGTGTTATCTTTCATAAAGTAATACTTTGACAGGGGTCAAGATGATGGTGTCATCAGTTTTTAAATGTTTGATGCGCTAAAGCGCAGAAGTGTGTTATCTGTCATCTGTCATCAAGCAATACTTTAACAGGTGTCAATATGACATATGACAGATAATACACTCATGCGCTTTAGGGCATCAAACAGTTGAAAATCTAATACTTTGACAGGGGTCAAGATGATGGTGTCATCAGTTTTTAAATGTTTGATGCGCTAAAGCGCAGAAGTGTGTTATCTGTCATCTGTCATCAAGCAATACTTTAACAGGTGTCAATATGACATATGACAGATAATACACTCATGCGCTTTAGGGCATCAAACAGTTGAAAATCTTTAAAAAAAATTTCATCCTATTATTAAACTTGTTTCAATATTGTTGTTTGCATTAATTAACAATACAATTTTAACTTTATATGAACATTTTTTTTTTAATTTGGACTCCAAACTACCCAATTCTGAAATTAACTTATTTTCATGCCAAAATGCACTTGTACCCTTTTGCTTCTGACCCCTTCAATTATGCTTTATTAATTATTGTAAAATTCACTCAATAACAAGTATTTAAAAAAATTTCAAATTTGAAAATCTTAAAAAATTACAACAAAATAAATGTCAACTAAAATAAAGTCCAAGCTTTGTTTTAAAAAAATTGGAACCCCCAATTGATTACTAAACATCCTGTCTTAAAGATGTCGACTTTTAAGAGTATCAACTTAAACCAGATAAAATTGTTGTAATCCTCTAAAAACATATTTTATTTACCTGAAGCCCTTCTGCCAAATCCACCGGTCGCACTTAAAACAGTGGGTGGTTTTAACAAATGAGGGTCTTTTCCGCCATAATATTGATTTTGGGCCCCCAGGGGGGGTACGTGTTGGAATAATTTTTGACAGTTTGGATCTTGGACCATATAATGCGACTCCAGGACCTAAAAAAAAATAGAAAGCAATGTTTAGGCGCTTATAATATTTTTGCGCCAAGTTGTACAAGTTTATGATGTGAAGTATTGTTTTAGGTAGTGAAAATAGATTTTCATTATCTCGAGCCGTTTTCGAGATAAATTTTATTTTGTATATTGATGCATTTTATATGGTACCCTGTAATGACTCAATATACCAAAATAAACTTTGAAAAAACTAGAAAATTGGGTAAAATATCAAAAAAGACAAAAAATAAATATATGTAGATAAAAACTTACTTGTTCGTGCGCTGGGTCTCCTGGACCCACGGTATGCCGTCTAACGGTCAATTTGTCCCCCGAAGAAGCATAACTGCTATATCCAGTAGTGGAAGATGATGGAACTGTCAACGATATAGCATCTTCACTTGTGTCTGTATCCATATCTCCAAACTTCTCCAAAAGCTGATTTTCTCCATCCTCAGCCAAATAAACGGCGGGTATGGCAGGCATGGAGACAAACGGTGACCCGACTTCTTCCATGCCGTGTTCATTAAGGGATCTTCTGCGTTCCCGGGCTTCATCTCTGAACTCTCTAAGGTAATTTTCGTTGAAGCTCTCCCTTCTACAATTGAAGGCTTCCTCGTGGGCTTGATTGGGGCTTTGTGGCGTCATTTGGGCTCCAAAGCCGAGCCCGAATTGGCGAGCCTCATTTGCGAGGCGTTCTACGAGTTGTTGTTCGTTGAAAGATTCGCTTCTTTCATTTATTTTGGGAGGTCTTGAGTGTAGATGATGATCATGTGATATTTGTTCCTCCTTTAACATAAATGTAAAAATAAACATTTGGGTACTTCTACAAAAACCGTTTAAATCTCTAAAACACTTGATCAATTTTTAATGGATGAAAGAAAGATTTTAGACATCAATTCCCACGTAGATAAGACAAAGAACCTCAACCAACGCTTCTAAGTCAAAGGAATTTCAGACAAAATGAGAAGAATATGACGACAATACAACATAAAGATTTTACTTTTTATGTGGATTTAATATACAATACTTTTTTAATTTTAAAATTCTATGTAGAACACATTTTTTGTAGTGAAACGTTTTTCTGGGCGTAGAGTACTCTGAGGCTGCAGCCCCTTACTGACACGTGACCACCTATGACCTCGCTTCGATGCACTGATGCCAGATTGGGCGCTTTATCGCAAATTTGTCGATTTTAAAAAGCATTTTGCGCCTGTTTTTTTATATAAATCGTAATTAGAGCGATTTCTGAAAAACTAAGTTACTCTTCAAGTTTTAGCTGTTTGGCTTCATTATTCCCAAAATGATATCTCTTTTAGGTATCGTCGAATTGAAATTATAAATCTACCGTTAGATTGCAGCTACATAATATGTGCTTTTAATGCATTTTTCAAATTGGTCGTCACAAGAAATTGATTTTGGGCTATTTTGACTTTGGCGCTAATTGCATTTTTGTTGGCGCTTTTGGGCGATGTTTCGTTTGCAAGTTGGGGCCTTGACTTTCAAAATATCTGGCAACACTGCCTCAATGCATGCAGTCGATTAATTTCTACCCGGTTATCGTTGCATCCAGCATTTTATTATATTCTGAGAATAAATAATTAAATTTCTTGTTTTCTGCACCTAACTAACATTACTTTGTGCTTTTGTTTTTTTTTACATATTGTGTTTTTCAACGTTGAAACTCTAATTCTTAGTGAAAAATGTGTTTGGGCATTTTTAGTGACATTAAACATAATTTTTGGCGTTTTTCGATTTAAGTCTAGTCTAGTGCACGATACACACAAACACGGCACATTCGAGGTTTGAAACTAGTTATTAAACTTGCTTATAAATTGTTTAATATTATTATTTAAAATATTATTTTTATTTTATGATCGAAGAGAATATTATTATTACAATAATTAAAATTATAATAATTATTATTAGTGTAAGATTCACATTCATTATTTGCATTGTGTTCTTGTTATATTGGGTATGTAGGATTAATTTATAATGCCGAAGTGCGCTGTGGCTAAATGTAAAATGTGGAATAAATCTACAAAATTTACATATTTACTTTTTTCCCTAGTAATAAAAATGTTACAATTTTTATATTTTTTTATAGAATTAATAATATAATATAAGGCTGTTTTAAAGTGGAAACATAATAAAGGATGTGGATCTTATAAGAAATATTATCGAGTCTAACACTTTTTTTAAATAATAGTATATTCTGTAACAAGTTTGGAATACAGCATATTCCGCTCGAGTGAAGAGTTTGTCACACGAGCCGAAGGCGAGTTTGACGGTTTCACGAGAGCGGAATATACAATTCCAAACGTGTTTGTATACTTTTTCTACGTTTCTAAAAAATACCATAGAAAAATAATTTAATTGGAAGAAAGTGAGGTTGGATCAGTCTAAAATTTGTTAGATATTAAAAACAGAGATGTCGCCACGAGTGTTTATTCTGTCATCCGATGATAGAATATTTCATTCTGTAACACTTTACGGAATATATGTCATTCCATAGACAAAAGTGATATTAGAACGGTCAAATTCCGTAATAGGAGTATAAAAATATTTATTTAAAAAAGTGTTAGTCCCAATGACATCTCTATTAGGTTGTCAATTTTTAGCAGAAACACCCTGTATTTATGAGGACCCTAGAAGCCAAGGGATACAAGTGACATTAAAAAAATGTAGTAAGATATGTACAGAAAAATATAATAAATATTATCCAAGGGAAATAACTGAATTCTAAGCTGTTGCATGTTGAAAAAACAAGTAATAAAAGAACAAACAATTTTGACTCCAAATTAAAAGTTTTTTTTAAACATGATTATCTCAAAACTATTATCTCAAAACTAAACAAAAAGTACTTATACCCCTTGGCTTCTAGGGGCCTCTTATAACATTGATGTTTTCCTTTTTTTTAAATATCTTTTGAATTACCTGGTAAAAAGATAAAACACATTGTATTTATATTATAACATTGATATTCTTTTTTTTAATATCTAAAAAAACATTAAGAATTTTTATTATTTTTAAAATAATAATTATAATACAAAACCTATTATTTTTTAAACATTTCTGCCTTTAAATCTGCATCTGCATATATAATATTAAAACCGCGCTACCTTGCGCAATAGCATACCGTAATTGTGTGTAACCCAATTTTTTTCAAAACAAAATTTTTTATCAGACATAATTATTAATTAATTTAACAGATAATGATAGTTTGCACCTTTAATGGCAAATAAACTAAGAAACCCATCAAAAATGCATTTTTGTTTTGTTTTATTAGCTTTTTTATAATTTTAATTAGGTATTTACATATGTCGTGTTAAAATTATTTTTTCTAACTATTTTTTATGTATAATAAAACCGTTGAGTCAATGTTACAACTAACGCGTTTATGTTTTAATATTACTATTTTTGCATTTCTTTTGCTTGCCAATTTTGCCTTTTTTGGATGCCTTATAATATAATTTTCAAGTGCCTAAAAGTCGGGTCTCTAATTTAAATCATTTAATTTATTTAAAACCGGGTAATTGAAAAGTGCCCATTAAAATTAATGTTTTAGGTAACTAATTGAAAACTTCCAGAATTTGAACAAAACCGAGTAATTAAATAATGCTGAAATTTGAACAAAATCGGATAGCTGAAAACTGCCCTTATTTTATTTAAAAGATTTAATTTTAATTTGTTGTCAAAAATGACACTCTAAAACTTTCGTTTCACTCGCTATACAATGCGAACGTATATATACTAATAAAAATATCAAATAAATAAACTTGTAAATTTTCAATTAAAGAAAAATAAAAGGAGAAAATTAATTTCTAAGCACACATGTTTTTTGTATGCATTTTGACAGATTAACTGTAGTAATTATTTATTAAAGAGTTAAAACCAACATGCTTAGAGAAAATATTTTCAATTTGACTGCCAAGTTGACGGATTTTTAGTATATAAATATAAACTTACCTTTTGTATAATATCAGCCTTTCTCTGTTGAACTTTGCACTGAAAGTTTATAGTCCTTTGATGTAGCTTATCCAGCAACAAATTATAAATGGCATAGATGTGATCGAAGCTGTTGTTTTTTATAGAATGTTCTATAACAGCATGATTTAAATCTGGCAGTTGCAGCATGTGGTCTATGACTGTTTTATTTAGATGTATGTCTTTTTCAGGCCCTGTGTCCACTATTGGTACATTACTCAGCCACCTGTGCTTGCCGATTTGCGTTATGGTAAGACGTTTTTCTGGATCCACCACTAGCATGTGTCTTATTAGATGTTCACAATCTGAAAAATGAATAGTCATGTAATCGCCCAAAAAATCACTAATATTTTTTAACTAATAATTTTATACAGTAACTTTTCATTTAACCCTATTTGAGGAATAATAGTAAAAACGCAGTTTATTTTAATTTAAAAAAATACTGCATCAGTACCTAGACCCGTTTATCGTCGTTAATACTGCAAAATGTCGTGTGTAAAAATCGTCGTACCTAAAAGCATAACAAATTTGTTGTACTATATTTTTCTATATTTAATTTTTGTATTCTCCTGAAAATTTCATGGTTTTTGACACTTTGCAGTATCAAGGACGTTATTTTAAAAATTCGCGGGTTTTTAGTTTTATAAACCCAACAATATGTTTTCTAAAAAATAACAGCGAATCTAACGGTAAACGTCAATCCTTATTAGGTAGTAAAGAAATCTTACCTTGTGACATAAAATATGGTATTCTGAATCTCCCTTCAATTACCACATTTCTTAATGACATAAATGGTAATCTACCATCAAATGGTAAACTACCACAAACCAAAACATATAGAACTACACCCAAGCTCTGTAACAACAAAAAAAACAGCATTTTAACAAAAAGTTTTTATTTTCCCTTTTTTTCTATGAACTTACCCATATGTCAGCTTTGGGCCCATCATAGTTAAGGCCCTGGAAAAGCTCAGGGGCGGCATAAGGTGGAGAACCGCACCACGTTGACAGTAAGTTGCCATCTGTATATTGGTTGCTAAATCCAAAGTCTGCCAACTAAAAAAAAACGTATTTTATGGATTTTAATCACAAATTATGGATTTTGATCATTTTGTATGGATTTTAATCAATCATTAAAAACATGGGTTTTATTGACATAGGGCAAAAATTCACACAAAATCTATATATTTTTAATTAAAATTCATAAGTATGGATTTTAATCAAAACACATATTTTTATAGATTTTAATAAAAAAATATGGACTTTGATCATTTTGAGTGAAATCAAAAGTCATGTTTTTAATGATTTTTACAAAAAATCTGGATTTTGATCATTTTAAATGGTTCTGTATGGATTTTTATGAAAAAGTGATTAAAATCCATACTTTTTTTAAAAACGAACCTTAATGTTCATATTATGGTCTAATAGTAAATTTTCAGCCTTCAAATCTCTGTGAACTATGCCTTGCGTGTGGCAGTAACTTACTGCGGACACGATTTGACAAAATATTCTTTTAGCTTCATTTTCTTGCATTCTTCCTTTTGCCACCAAATGGTCTAAAAATAAAAAAACACCGTTTTTGTGAAATTTGCGAACGGACATATACGCAGTCAAAATTTCTCAGAGAGACCGCATATATGCATTCAAAATTATTGTTTTTACCGAATATTTCTCCTTCGCTCGCATATTCAGTCACCATGTAGATTGTATTGTTTGTTTCCATAAGCTCATAGAGCCTGGTTATGTGAGGGTGTCTCAATTTTTTCAAAATGGCGGTTTCACGAAATATTTTCGTCAAATTATCCTCGTCCAGGGCAGTCTTGTCTATTATTTTTATGGCCACCTAGTAAATAATAACATATGCACAAAAATACCAAGAAATTTCTAAAAATACTGTCTTGTTTGAAACTTTATTAAAATTGTCCTAAAATGTTCAAGATGTGCTAAAACTGTCCTGAAGCTATGTAAAACTTTTTAAGACAATTTCCTGAAACTATCCTAATTTTCAAAACTGTCTTAAAATTACTACAGTTTACCTATGTATTAAAAAAAACTGCATAGTAAATATTTCAAACTCAAAATTATCAAGTAAAATTTGTCAATTTATGCATTTCCAATGTTGCCTTTTTCGGAGTTCTTTGACAGAATATTACACAAAAATCATTTCTCAAAAATGTGTTATTACAAAAATAAACAAACCTTATTATATCAGTGTTATGTAAATTTCAAACATTATTAAACTGATAAGAGCACATAAACTTTATAATTATCAAAATTAAAAAATAAATAAAACCATGAATCCTGAACGACGTTAAACTGAATAAATAAATAAATAAAAAAAAAAAATGGGCAAGAAATCGATTTAATCGTTCAAAAATTAAAACGATTAAATTAATTTCTTACCCAATTTTTAATAGTAAGTAATTAACTTTGTAAATTCAGTGGAAATTAACCAAATAGTAGGTACAAAAGATTGTTATTTAGAATAAACTTAATATATTAATTTGGGTTCAAACAATTAAACTGGCAAATAATTACAAAAAACACCTAAAAACGCATTATTTGATAAAAATCAGGATATCTTTGATAAATAACCTCCAAAATACATGTCAAACAGTCAGGGCCACCTATTATATTAATAAATATAAAGATTTTAATCGAAAAAAATAAGAAATTTAATGTAATAAATAATAAAAACGTGACAAATTTTAGGTCTTGTGACAAGATAAATATTAATTAACTATTATATGACAATATTGAAATTAATATGGCCTTGTAGTATGATATTTAAACATAACCTGTAAAATTAGTTGAAGAAATGCACTTTCTAAATATTTTAAGGTGGAAATGTAAAGTTTAGGGTAAAATTTGTCAAATTTAATATTTTTACCATTTTAGTTTATGTTGTATTTACATTCTACAGAGCTATTTAGAGTACTTAAGTACTTTTAAAAGTGTCTTTTAGGTGGTTAATCTAGTTATTCAAGCATTTTCGTTTGTTTTCAAAGCAATCTTGTCCCAAAATTCGACAAAAACAACAATAATAGTCATATTTTGACATTTACTCACTTTTGTATTCGTTACTATGTGTGTTGCTAGCTTTACCACTGCGAAATTCCCTTTTCCTATTGTTTTTTCCAACTTATAGTAACCAACACGCACCAACTTATCAATTTGTGGTATTTTTTGAGACATTTTTCACCCCGTTTCTTTAGAATTTCGATAAACACACACCATTACAAAAAATCCACACTGCCATGGAAAAACGCGACTCGCTACCGCAAGAGGGCACGCTTGCTTACGTCACTAAACGTCAGAGAGAACCATCGACAAGGGAAATTATAGACAGAAACACGTTATATTAACGATTTTTTAATATTAAATGTCATAAAATTGCATAATTAAGATCACAACTGATTAAATAAATAATATAAAGCAAAAGTTTAGGTGCGATCGCGTTCACAGAACAAACCATCCTCAAACAGCTACTGCGCATGTCCAACTAAGAGGGGTCAAGTTTGTTTATTCAAAAAAAGCTGTATAAATTAAGTATTTTGTTATTTTTTTATGTAATGCTCACACGTTTGAGCATCAAAAAGCATTTATTGTTTTTTTATTATAAATAGTTTACGAGATTTTCATGATTAAAGTGGTCATTTTGTCCCAAATAAAATAATGAAAAGACAAAAATTGTTCCTAACCGCCATAGTTTTTTTTTTTTAATATTTGTTTTCAAACGTTTGTTTGCTACTCTTACTCAAAAAGAGTTAGTCATAAAAACTGTCTTAAGCTAGATACAACTGTCTTAGAATGCCTACTTAAACTAAAAATAAATGTTTTAAGAATTTTAATCATCTGTTTAAAAAATACCAACTTCTATAACTGCCAACTTATGCCAAGTTTAAGCTGTCTTCTAAAGTATAATAAGGAACTAAAACAAAAAGTAATTTATTTTATATTTATTAAGTCAAAAACCAGGACATGGACAAAAAAATTACATAAAATTAAACAATATTTAAGTATACTGTGCTATTTTTTACATTTAAAATTATTAATAAATACCACAAAAAATGTTCCTAAATAATTTCACTATGTAATAACTAAATTTTAATACAAAATGGCGATTTTAGAGCCCAGAGACCGGACTTTTATCAAAAAAGACCGGATTATTAAGCATTCAAATATAACCCAAAAATTGTAATCTTAAATTTAAACGTCTTCAACTTTCACACCAATGCGAAAAACACTATTAGGGTCTTGTAGATGTTGTCTTAAATTCACTTCAAATCTTTCCTTTATGCTAGAAAATTCCATGATGTTTTTGGGTTTGCATTCAATCCAAAACCTATCAAACTCATAGAACAAATAGCTATAAAACTGATGGAATAACCTCATTGAAGGTAGGCTACGAGATGTATTGTAAAAATAGGTTTTGGCCTCGCCGTCTTTGAGGAGAACCCAGGCTAAACTAGTTAAGTTAATGCCTACAATGGCAAAACAATAACCGTATTTTGGGTGTCTGGAGTGCGATAAGACGTGTTGTGCGGGACCATTATATTCAGAAGCAAAAAATAATAAATTTTCAAGTCCTAGCTGTCCCATGCCTCTAAAATCCGTTTTGGGGTCATCACCTTGAAAACCAATGTCTTGCCATTGTTTTGTAATACGCCCCTCCAAGTCTTCTTGTGGCATAAGTTTATCCCACAACTCTAAAAGTTTATTTTCATGCTCTTCATTGGTTGAATCGTATTTTGTAGTTCGTAACTCTTCAACTTCAGATATAAGTTGCCTATAACCCCATATCTGCTCAACGCACTTGCCAAAACTTGAAACAAACTTAAAATGTACCTTGGGGTTAATTTTTTTCACTAATAAAACTGTACTAACAGCTCCTCGTAAGATCTCGCGTTCATTTGCCCCTGTAAACCTCTTGTTATCAGAAATATCATTTAAATGTACTATCAACTGTTTTATTTCACTAGACTTCGATAAATTTAATGAATTTTCTACGGCTTTAATCCTAGGGGCCCCGGATATCTCCCCATAACAAATTCGTTGCAATTCGCATAACCCAGTGGTTCTACGCAAAAACCATTTCAATATGGGTCTCAAAAAATTCGAGAACACCCAGTAGAATGGATCAAACATTATTATTTTGCGTTTAAAGCAGTTAAAATTAATAAAAATCAGCGAAATATCATCTTGAAGTTTTTTAGGTTAGAAACTTGTTGACATTTAAATCGCATAGCAACTCAACCACAGACAGACCAAATAGAGAGATAAAATTATTAGATAAACGTGTTTTTAAGTTGTTTTATACATAATCCACATGAATTATTATGCCCAAAAGCTTTAATTTTACCTAAATACATTTTTAAGAAATGTTAATTAGGCGTATATACTCAATAATTCATATTTTTATTGATTTTCTTTTGTGTGGTTGCACTGTATATGTGTAGGTTGCCTATTCCCATGACATCTGTCAAACTGATCAATATAGCAAAATCTTAAAAATCTTACAAATTAATGCCTAAAATACGGCAGGTAAAGTTTGCGGATAAAATGGAAGATATCAGTGATTTTGCCGGTGAAGTGTCTGTGGTTGATGTGTACGATATTGCTTCGGACATAGGGAAAGAATGTGAAAAAATTATTGATAAATTTGGGGCTGATGCTGTAACAGCTTTAATGCCAAAAGTCATCAATGCTTTGGAGTTGTTGGAGAATTTGGCCACGAGAAATGAGAGGGAGAATACGCAGTTACAAGAGTTGGAAAGCAAAATATCACAATTGGAGAATGACAAGTTGGAAAAGCAAGAATATAGGCTTAAATTTGAAAAGGTAGGTAATATGCATGTACAATAAAATACATTTTAAAATGTCAAATACAGGTTGCCTGTAAAACGTCTTTCCAAAAACTTACCACATACATATTCCTTAAATGAGGAGCATCCATGCAAAACCGGCTATATCCACTTTAATAAAATGTTGGGAAAATGGCAAAAACTCTTGGTTTCCTGGCCTTTACAGATAAAAGAAAAAGAGTTTTGTGGGCTTTGTAGTACTTGATTTATAAGACATACTTTTGTTTTCAAAAACTTTATATTAAGGCCAAAATTGTTTTGTATATAGCCGGTTTTGCTCAAAAACCGAATAAAATGTGAAAAAAAACCTTTATTATTCAAAAGTATTAACAAAATAAATTTAGTGCAAACATGAAAAAACAGAACAAATTTTAGTAGTAGTATTACATATCCAAGCCACATGCTTATCATCATTATTATTATTTATTGGATATAGCTGAGTTTGCTATAAAAAGTATTTTTTTAATAAAAACGTGGATTTGGCCGGTTTTGCTCCTAAAGCTACCTTTTAAATGTGATTTTAACAGGGATATAGTCGGATTTAAACGAAATTAGGTATCTAGTTTGTCTACTGAAAAAGTAAATTTGAGTTGTGTACATTAAAGTGTTTTTAGGAATTGGAGGCTATAGAAGACCAGTGGCGGTCGGAAACCAACGAGTTGGTTTGTATGGTGTCAAAATTGCAGGAGGAAAATCGTAGATTAATAAAAAGTAGCAGTCCAACACATACATTTACAAGTTCTGGTTCTTCCATTGAAAATTTAGAAAACGATGGGGCAATTTTGCAGAGATTAAAAGACTCTATTGAGAAACAAAGGGATGATATACGTTTTAAGGAAAAAGTGCTACAGGAAAAGTGCCTGGACAATGAAAATGTATGTTTTCTCATAATATTTTAAATCAAAATTTAATTATTTTTTCCAGCTTAAATTGCAAGTTGACAGGCTGTCAGGAACCAATAGGGAGCTAAGAAGAAAACACAAATCTAGCCAATCACAAGTCAGGACTTTATGTGATGAAAGGGCGGATTTTTTGGTCCAACTGCAGGACCAACAAAGAGATATAAACGGTTTAAGACAACGTTTGGGCTTGGCGCAGAAAGAAAATGAAGATTTAGTCAAGGTAATAAATACATTTTTCTGCATTCTATTAAGGCTGAAATAGGGTTATAACACCTTAAGTCTAAACCACACCCCCTCTAACTACCTTTCTTTTCAGAGTGACCAACCAGCGCCCATTAACAAAGCCATATACGATTTGGATGATCCAAATAGGCCTAGATTCACTACGCAAGAATTAAAAGATATTTTGAAGGAAAGAAATGAATTAAAAGCCAGGGTTTCCGATTTGGAAGACGAATTGGAAGGGTATAGACCCAAAAAGGCGGATACGTATGTAGTTTACATTTTAAAAGTTTTTTTTTTATTTTTTTATTATAGGTTTTTAAATTTAATTCCTTTAATTGATCATATTGAAAACGCATGTCAGAGTTTTTTAAGTTCCGCTAAAACATCTCCTGTAGAGGAATGCTCGTGAGTTATTTTTTATTTTATTTTTTTTTCAATTTTTTGCATTTTTTTAATTAAATAAAATTTAGGCCCATCGATGAAGACGCCCCTGTGCAGGGCCCGTTACCATACGAACCGGACGATGCCCCTTGGAAAAAATCGTCAGAATCCGGAATTCGTAAATTGTAAGAACGATAAAAAAAAATTCAGGTTTTTAATTTTTCCTATTGCAGTTTTCGGAAGATTTTCTCCGAGAATAGCCCAGGCAGCAGTTTTCCTAGGCGTAGCCTTTCCACTCTATCGAAAATGGCCCTTTCTTCCACAACCAGCGAGCCCATACCGATATAATGTCAGCTACTTATCACTAGCGACACCTATCGGCGTTTTTGTCGACTTGGCTGGAAACCTGAATTGCGTATGATCTGTCTATTGTTTTCTTACTCTATGGGTAAACTTTAAAAACTAAAAAGTCAAGTTTATTGATTTTGGAGGATTTTTTAAAGTTTTTCTTTCTTTTTATCGCAAGCTTTACGTATTTTTTTAGCAATCAGCTTTATTTTTTGTGATCAAAATAATAAAACAAAAAATTAAAAAATCATTAAAATATAGAAAATTTTGTATAGACTGTTCCACATAGAATATTGACCAAAAAAATTAAGTTGTTTGAAATTTATTCAATGTTAAAAATAATAAACAAATCGTATAGCACAAATATTTATATCAATTAATTAGATATTAAATAATACATGTAGGGTAAATATTTTTTTGATATAGAATCTCTTTTAATTTTTTAGTGAATTTACATAGAAAATTATTACAAACTTCTACCTAAGTAAAATAAAAAATAACTAAAAATATCATTATGAATATTTTTAGTGATTTAAAAAAAAAACCGTTTTCTTCCAAAAAAGTCTTTTTTATTTTAGCTGTGATATGAAAGATATTAACAAAATAATTTTATTTTATACTAATTTTTTTAAATATTTTAAAATTTTAATACCTAAAATTATAATAAATATTCTTTTTTTAAGTAAGTACTAATTTTTGATTTTATTTATATAGTGTATTTATAGACTTTAAATAAGTATAAATTAAACATTAATAGGTACTTATTTTATAATTCTAGTCAATATTGTAAATACACTATATATATATATATATATTATGTTATAGGTACAGGATGTTATACTCAACCCTGTATTTTTATTATTAATTTTTATATGTTACTCTTATGATTTTATTGAAACATAATCTTTATTATATTATATAGGATGATATTTTTCAGTATTAAATGACATATACATCTTTTTTTACTTTTATAAATGATATTTAACACTTGCACACGAAAAAAGTAGATGAAATTAAAAGAAAAAGTGCCAAAAATTAACAAAAATAAAAGTAGTTACTAAATATATTTTGTTTTTTTTACATGCTTTGTTATAAAGTTTAATTTTTTTATTCGGAATTTAAAATTTTAATCATGTTGGTACTATTTTTAAATATACTTTGGTTTTTTTAATATTTAAAATTGGTACTTCTGTTCAGTTTTCCTATGACAGTTTTGTTTAAATGTTTGAATTATAATTAACAATGCCAAAGATAACAGAAAATTCTAAAACCAAACCGCATTTTCATGAAATAATTAATTTGTGTCGCATAAATTATAAATTTAGGGTACCTAGAATTTGCCAACTAAAGCTTAATTTTCATGTATCCGTTTGTCCGTCAGTCCGTTCATCCGGGAGCGCTCTTATTGGTCCAATTATAATTCGAAAATTATGACATTTTATCGGTCCGTCAAGTTTCAACTTCGTACGTCTGACAAAGAAAGGTTAAATAATTTTAACTCATCCGTCACTAAACATCTGTTTTTGACACCTAACGTTATTTTAAGATAATTTATTTTCAAATATTTTTATATTTTTTCAATAAGATTGTAAAACGAAAATATTACGTTCGTTATGTGAATAATGTTTTACTGTTAAGTTTTTATTTAATAGGAATATCGGAAAAAAGAAAGGACAAACAAAAAAAATTAAAACTATAGAACTAAAAGGACCTGCTTTTTTTAAACTATACATTTTAATGTATATTAGGGCTAGTATATTCTTTTTATAAGGTATATTTACCTACCTTTAAATTTATTAGACAGCTAACTGTTAAAGTTACAATTGTTGACATAATTGTAACTATGACAATTAAGCATTAGGTAAATTTAGTAAGTGAATATACTGACACTTAATTTCTATTTGTCGCAAAATCAATCCGTTAAACGTCATTAAAAAACGTATGCATGAAAATTAGAACATTTCTTATCGGACGATTTTATTGAAAAACTGACATACGGATGACGGACAAACGGATACATGAAAATTAAGCTTTAACCCTAAAATTTTTGACGTCAAATTCCGAATAAAAAAATAAACTGTATCTTTACTTATAACCAACCTTAATATAGATTCCCATATACAGGGTGTCTCAGATTTTAATCGAGAAAATTTAATAGTCAATAGAACTCGCAAAAATAAGAAGCAAAGTTTATATGCTTTGTTTTTGAGGTATAGGGTAAGTTAATAAATAAATATGTTTAGTACTTGAAAAGAATATGAATATGTTTAGGTTGAGCAATTAAAAATACAACTTTTTTATTTCCTGCATTTTTATCTTGCTTAATTCTCAAGAAAAAAGTTTAACTTGTTTATCCTCTTGTGACCATACTTTTTCCAGAGGTGAGCATTCGCTCAAACGAATTTTATTTTTTTCTTTAAAATTAAACAACATAGAGAAAAATATTGTATTTTTAATTGCTTAATCTAAAAATAATATTAGATATTTAAAAAAGCAGCAGCATACAAAAACTTTATTTATAAATATTTGGTTGGGATGCGCCAGCGCCCCCTCTGGATTAACTAAATTAAATTTTTTTACATTACTGAAAAATCAGGTCTAGGAGTTTTTAAAATTTTTGAAAAAATAAATATTTTTTTAATATCACTTTATGGTGTATCTCGAAAACGAGGCTTTAAACATACGTTCATATAAACTTCTTATTTTTGCGAGTTCTATCGACTACTAAATTTTCCCAACTAAAATCCGAGACACCCTTTATGTAACAAACTATGTCCTCAAATCTAGGAAGTCGACTTTAACCTACTTTCACCTAACCAATTGAGCTGAAATTTTAAACACACTTTCGGTGCTTGTTGAAATGGCCGCCGCTCCAAAGTAAGTGATGTCATACTAAATCCAATATGGCGGCAAATGTAAAGGTTTGTCAAGCAGAATACATGACGTCATTCTAATTTCAACATGACGCGTCATGTTGAAATTAGAATGACGTCATGTATTCTGCTCCGTCATGACGGAGGTAACTAACAAATTATATAACTAAATTTAAAGACTAATAAGTAAAATAGGTATTTGTGTTGAAAAGCGACTTTTTCTTGCGATTGTTCAAGATGCTCACGAGGCCGTTAGGCCGAGTGTGCATTAACACGAGCTTGAAGAAAGCTTTTGAAACACAATGTTTTTTCTACGATCCTTTTATTTTTTATTATATTCAAATACAAAACAAAATAACCTAAAAACGTGTTTATTCTTTTAATTTTTAAGATATAAGTTACTTAAAATCAATAAACTTACCTTCTCAATTTAAATAAAGGCAGTAAAAAAAATAATTCATTATACAAACACAATTATTTGTATTCTAAATGATATTTAGACATACATATACAAGAACAATACATATTTTGAAACGAATGTCAAACCAAGTCTTTTATCTATGTGTCAAACGATGCTGTCAATTTCTTTTCACACAGACCTGTCACTTTTCACACAGAAATGTCACGTTACATTCGTGTTTTGCCTTGCCAAATAGACCAGGGTCGATAATTTTTGAAACCAAAAAAAATAACAGTAGGATGAAACCCATTGGAAAAGGAGAAGAATATAATAAAAATGAAAGGAAAAATAAATTACGGGCGATCTGACTTCGGGAAGTGGGAGGAGGGGGTTTAAGGGTAAAACATGGTTTATCTCGATTTCCGGCAAAACTACAAGTCCTATGGAAAAAAGTTAAATGGCAAAGTTGTAGGTAATAAAAGGTTCTACAACTTTTGTAATTACAGTTTTTTTTACATAACCTCAAAATTTATGTGAAAAATTCAAAAAACCAAGTTAAACCAAGTTAACATTTACCATAGTAATGTATATTTTTTTTACACCATCAGAAAGTAGAGAGTTCATCGAACAAAAAGCACACCGACTTTTTCAAAAAAGCTGATATTTTGACGCGAGAATTTTCGATTGAAAATTAGGGTGCTTTTTCAAAATAAGGCGAAATAATAAATATTTCAAATCAAATAAATTACAGTGTATTTGGGACATAAAAAGGTAAGTTTTCACCAAATAACGTGGAAAAAATTTTTTTTTTGAAAAATATAAAAATAAAAAACCAAAAACTTGGTTTTTTGAATTTTTCACATAAATTTTGAGGTTATGTGAAAAAATTGTAAATACAAAAGTTGTAGATCTTTTTATTACCTAGAACTTTGACATTTAACTTTTTTCCATAGGACTTAGTAGTTTTGCCGGAAATCGAGATAAACCATTTTTTACCCTAAACCCCCCCCCCCTCCCACTTCCCGAACTCAGATCGCCCGTAATTTATTTTTCCTTTAATTTTTATTATATTCCCCTCCTTTTCCAATGGGTTTCATCCTACTGTTATTTTTTTTCTCTTTTTACCATTTTTAAAAGCTTCTGCACTGGTCTAAAAGAAAAGATTCATTTTCCAAGCAACGATGCCAATACGAAATGTGACTTTTACATTTAGTGGTCATAGAAAAAAGAAATAATAGTTCAAAAAAACTAAAAACACGCTTTAATGCACTTAAAAGTATAAAATAATGTAATTTACTTAATATACCTATGTTGTGCTGTTAATATTAGGTACTATAGTCCTATAAGATTAATTTTTAGTGCATTAAAGCATGCTTTTAGTTTTTTAATTCTGTTATTTTTTACTTTCCTTGCATATTTTCTTATGATAAATGAAACATTGTTTATATCAGTTCAATTTTTATTTATTTATACAGATAGGAATTATTACACATAGGCGTACTAACAAATATTGCAGTAATATTAAAAAATATTTGCTCAAAAAGAAAATCAAAAAACATGTTTTTCGAAATTTTCAACCCCTGACAGTAAAACACTAAATAACAAAAACGACGCGACTCAAATAAAAAACGAAAACAACTTGGCAACGGGGCAAAATTTCGAAAAAATCACATATGCCAAAAAATGTCTAATATTCTTTTTCCATTTTTAAATCTAAATCTTACACTAATTACTGAGTATCAGCGTATACGTCACGGAAGCAAGAATTTTTTTGAAAATTTAAGCCGTACCTAAATGGCGTTTTTGGAAAAAAAAATTGAGAGACCGGGTTTTTATGCAGTCAAATTATTTTTAAAGTCCGGCAAACATGCTCTCAAAATTTTCGAAAAACGCGATTTTTTTTCATTTAATCGCGTGGCCCGAAAATTAATTCGAGAGACCGGATTTTTATGCAATTTATAGATCGACAAATATGCAGTCGAATTTTTCAAAAAACGCGATTTATTTTTATTTTAACGCTTCATCCTCGCTTTCGAGCAATCGTTTTATTTAATTTTATCACAGACCGACAAATGCAACTTAACGCAACACGAATTTTTTGCGATTTTTTTTCGCACCACCTTTTCGATTTTTTGATATCAGAAAAAAATGAGCGCGAAAAATACATCGCAAAAATCTTAAAACTAAAAATGCGGTAGTCAATAGCAACTATGTATGCAATTTTTATTTACATCGTTTTTTTATTTTATTACGTATACAATGGAATGTTTTTTGTCGATACATTTAACTACACAGTGTCAAAAAAATTTCATTTTTGCGTTTTTTGTATTAGTATTAACTAAAAACATATTTAGTTAAAAAATACTGAGAAGAAATTTTTTTGACACCCTGTATATAGATACAGACATCAACAGTCAAAAAATTAATATTCTAAACAGTTAATTTTTAATCTAAATATTAATATATGGATGGAAATTTTCAGATATTTATATCTATTCATTTTTAATTATTATTATTGTATAACTTTTTTTTACGTATATAAGTTCCAAAGTTAGTATACATTTTTTTCGCGTAAAATTATCGACAAGTTCGATTTTTTAAATCGTATATATAAAGGTAACTGTTTTTTATAATATATACTATATTCGTATACTGAAAACCACAGTTTTTTTATTGTTGTGGTATACATATATTGCACTGTTTTTTTGCATTCATGAAACACAATGGTGGTACTAAAAATACTCAATTTTCGAACTTGTCAAATAATTTAGCACATCTTACAACTAATACTGCACATTTTTTTCAAAATTAATCATAAAATGCCATGGTGAAAAATAAAAAAACAAAATATAACGACATTTTAAAAAAATCAACAATGTAATGCTTGAAAAAATGCCGCCATATTTTCCTGGTATTTAAAAATGACCTATTCATAACAATTACTGTTGCGTCTTTTTTATTAACTTTATTTTTTATCGTAATTATTATAATACATATACATATTTTGTAATAATACTGATGAGCACAAATTTTCGTTAACGCGTATACATAAGTTAAAAATTAGGACTTAATCCTTAAGTCCTAAAAAATTGAGGTATATTATTTACGTATACAAGTTCCATGAACAAAAAAAATACAATTAAAAATAGTAGAGATGAAAAAATCAGCCTTATTTAGTGACTTTTACAATTAATAGAGATTCTATGCTCTATATGGCGAAAATTATTCGACAAAAAACATAAAACAACGGTTTCTTTACCTTATTACAAGATACATGTCAAAATACAGCCCTCCTATTGGTTGTCGGCCTCCCCTGGATTCGTCGCGTAGCCAATGGCTTCGCTCTGGTGGCCATTTTGTGTGACGTCATTCCCCTGCGCACCTTGATCTATTACTAAGCTTCCCTCCTCGCCGTCACTGCTAAAGGAGTCGCCCTCGTCGTCGGAACTCGACAGCATGCCTGCCAAAAATATAAATTTATATGGGTCATTACACCAAATAATTAAGTTTGGCGCCAGCGAATTTTTTTTAAATTTGTGGATTTATTCTCTACATTAAAAGAATGACTAACTGAATATTTGAGCTCTAAATATTAAGTTCGAATTTTGACAGTAATATTTGTTTTACTTTTTCGTTTATTGTTTTGAATGTAAATAATGTTTTATAAAAAATATTCATTCTTTATTATAAGGGGCGTAGCTACCGCGGTATCAGCCGTATCAGTGATACGGGGCCCCCGGCTAGGGGGGGGCCCGATTGGCTTTGACATACAAAAGTTTATATACAAAAGTGCTCTTTTAGTTCCACCCTTACTTCTTAAGAAGTCCCATAAGCCAACTGAATGGCTTGTGCGGGTTAGGGGTAAGCAAAAAACATATTACCCACAAGTTAAAAAAATTGAGGCATGAAATTAAATAAATAATATTATTTAATTGTTAATACTTCGATTTATTGAATTACAATTTTCCTGAATACCCTCCTGTTCCAACGAAGCCGTGAACTCATACGAATTGTTTCTGCCCGCACCTTTCCGCTATGCGGCGCAGTCTGCGCATATTGTTCTGTGCTCTGCGCCGCGGCATACTGAGTCTGCTTTGCGTGTTATTATCATAGGTTATATTAATAGCAAATTAGAAATAATTAATTATAAAAAATTGGTAAATGCAAAAAAATGATACCCTAAAAATTTTTTTTAGTTTGCCCAAAATAGACTTTAGACGTGACACCCAGAAATTTTTTTGCCAGAAGCTTTTCCCGTATAAGGGCCCCTACCAGATTTTTGATACGGGGCCCCCTCGAGGCTAGCTACGCCACTAATGAAGAATTTTAAATATGCTGTCCAATTTTTATTTCATATTTTTTCAAATAATTGAGGCTATGGATTTATCAAATTAACGCCAAGTATTTCTTTTTTTTTTATAATTTAATGTTTTTGTAACATAAACTAAGAAGTTTGTACAAAATTACGTATATCTATATAGGTGCACGTCATCAATGAGATATAATGACGTCAGCATTACCAACTTTGAATTGTAAAGTTACTGCCGTTAAATTTGCTTTTTTAAGGCGTAATTCTGATGTGTTATTAAAAAGAAATCATTCATTTGCGTTTTGTTTACCAAGAACTGTAACAATTTCCTTGTTTTAAAACGTTTTTTCACGAAATTATCAAAATAAAACCATTCACTTAGTAATTTTTGTGTGTGCCAGTTGGTAATAGCTTAAGGCTGGCGCGCACCGTTCAATATTATTGATGGGTCGCTGTCATTTTATATTTGACGTATTTTTGTAATTGTGACATTTCGTCCGGAAGCATCGTTTGTTGCAAATTATTATAAATAATATTATACATTATGTTTATAAGATTCTATCCCTGGATTGTGCAAACAATGATATAAGGCTTGTTGGCAACTAGCCGTTATTAGATTTCGAAGACATTGCGCCCTTAATAATAAATTTGGGGAAATAATCAGACTTCAATTCTGACCTGGTTTGCTCTGATGACAAGGACGACTGGTAATTTATATATTTTGTGCTTCTGATAATTTAGAATTTTTTTGTTATCTGCATATGTAATAAAAATGTAATAAACTCCGTTTGTTTTCTCTTTAAACACATTTAATAAAAATTTGCCTGTAACAAACCCCTAATTAGTTAGTGCAGAAGATTATAACAAGGACGTTATAATTCCATCTTAATAACAGACCCCACCGCTATAAACAGTCAACAATACACGAGCGTTAGATTGTGTCTGGGCACGTATGAATAGACCTTAACGCTGACGTCATATGCCGTTGATGACGTGCACCCATACAGATTTGGCCGTGACTATAATTTATTATTTTTAAAATTTATTATTTTTAATGATATTAAATATTAAAAAAAAAATTATTTAAAATTACTTTATCTATTTTGAGTTCATAATGACTTCTTTATAACACCGCTTTCGGTGCTGTAATGAGATACTTTATCCCACCCAAAATTTTGATTTTATAGGTTGGCTATACTTTAAACATCATAATATTTTGCATATTGGTTATATTTTTATGATTTTTCTAGTACTTACAAGACTTTTCTGGCAATAAATTTTGTTTAACACCAAAGAAAATCCTTTTTTTCTTCTTTAATATTAACAGACGCTTATTGTAAATAAGTAAATTAAGGACGGCATGGCGAATCGATATTGACATTAACTGTCAAACCAATGACTGTGATACCAACTATCCAAAGTAAAATTCAACCAAATTTAATTTAAGGTATAAAATAAATTTTTTTATCGAATTGATAAAATAGCACAAAGAACTCATGTCATAAGACCTTTTATCGCACTCGTCCATTACAAAACGTTTTATAAATTGTCTGCGGGCGACAAAATGACGTCTTATGACATTAGTTAAAATTAAAACATCGTGAAAATTACATATTTTGTGTACAAAATTCTCAGCTTTCAAAAAAATATATAAAATTTTGAATAAAAAGGCCAGAAAAATCGTTTTTTTTATTTAATTTAATTTTTGATGGTCAAGATCAAAGAATGAATATTTTCAATAAAAAGCTAAGAATTTTTCACAAAAAACAGTACTGTTTGTATTTTTACAAAACAATATTTAAACAAACAAAAAATTAACAAAAAAATGTAAAAAAAAAATATCGTAAAAGTTCGAAAAATTATTACTACGAAAATACTTAATATTAAGAGCTTAAATCTTTAAATAACACAATATATACCTATTTTATTATTAAAATATCTAAACCTGATCATATGATAAGGTTTGAATATTTTAATTTTATTTTAATAATTAAACCTTATCATATGATGTGATATATCATATATGCAATGCATATTATGCATATTATAAGGTTTGCATAAATTAATATTATTAAAATATATTTAAATAATAAAATATATTTTATTATTTAAATGTTTCCGTTATTATAATAACGTTGCAGGTACTATGCTCCACAGCCAACGTTGACATTTTAATAGAAATAATAAGGTTATCTATCTGCTACTTTAAACGGTTTAACGTTTATTTCGTCCTATTTTCTGAAAATAATACAATATATTTATTTTGTATACAGGAAGGTCTTAACTTAAAACACAAAAAAGGTATATTGTAATATTTTTGGAAAATAAGACGAAATTAGCGTTAAACTGACAGTTAGGTAACCTTAATTTTTTGATGAAGATAATACCACCCCCCCATATATTTTTTAATTTTCTACATTAAACTTGTAAAATTGTCCGCTAAATCCGAAAATTCCGCGACTTCAAATCAGTTGGTAAATGTGAGAGATAAAAGCATTTTAGTTAAAGAAATCGAGTACAAAATGTGAGTGTAGCAAGATGTAAAAAAGTTTGGAATAATAAATTTTAGGTTATATCTCACCGCTGTCCAGCTGTGGCTGCATATTCGCGAAGTCCTGCGGCCAGAAGCGCCTGTTATTGTTCTGGTTCTTTTTCTTTTTGTGACTCGGCGAGTTGGTAGCACTGGAATTGTCCCCAGAGGGAGCGCTAGCGTCCAACATCGGCTGTAATATTCTTCTGCGCGCGTTTATGAACCAATTGTTTACTTGCAATAAAGTAAGGTTAGTTTGCCCGGCTATGTGGCGCTTTTCGTCTTCGGTTGGATAAGGGTGCTAAAATAAAATAAAATTGGTATTATTTCTTTTGATTGCATATTTTACGGTCTTTCGTTTTGGTGCATTTGTGAACGGATAGGTATGCATTCAAATTAATGATTTTAGGTATTTTTTATTTTTATTTAAAATCTTACCACAAGATGTTGGAACAGCCATGATCTCATGACGCTAGTGGCATGTTTTGGCAATACGCCCCTTTTTTGCTTGCGCCCGCCGCCCCTCGAGGTAAAATCGCTATCGCAGTCATCGGCTGATCCTCCTGGAGTGGTGGGGGCTGGAGAAAGGGGCCCCGAACTTTCGCTGGGGGGGACCGAACAAATATTCGCCCCTATTTGCGACAAAGGGGTGGACCCATGGACTACCTAAAAAGAAATGTTGTATTCTGTGTTTTTTATATGGGTGGTAGCATGTATTATATTATTTATTTAAAGTTTGGTTTTCTGCACCTAAATATGGTGTTTTATATTAATTTATGTCGTCACGCGTATATTCGGGAATATTCGGCTGTTTTCGGAGTGTAATCGGTTAATAAAAAAAAATATATATACACTGCCCCTCAAAATTAACGCATAATAAGTAAAAAAATTCTAACTCTAAAACGCCTTTACCAATCTTTATAAAATTTTGGTTAAAAATACTTTAAACTTATATCTCAGTTTGCGTTTTTAAGGGATTTTCGAAAAAATATCCTTAAAGCCCTTTTATTTAATATTAAAAAAAACGCTCGAAAAAAACTTTTATAGGGAATTTGTTTTAAGTAAATAAAAAATATGCTGTTAAAGACCGTATTTTTGTTAGTATATATAAGGAGCAGACTTTCTAGATGCATTTTGTCAATTTATTTAAACCTTCAACGGAAGATGGCACTGCAAACTACATTTTTCGCATGTAGAAAGAATATTTGCATAATTTTTCATCTATTTTTTAAGTATAAAAAACTTTCAGTTAATTGTTAGCCAAACGCGTAGCAGTTTTTCTTTATTTTTCAAAATTACAAAGAATGAACAACAGGCATTTGGAAAGTCTGCTCCTCATATATAGTTTTCTTTCGAGCGTTTTTTTAGTATTAAATAAAAGGGCTTTAAAAATATTTCTCGAAAAACCCTCGAACACGTAAACTGAGATATAAGTTGAAGTATTCTTATACAAAATTTAATAAAGATTGGTAAAGGCGTTTTAGAGTTAGAATTTTTTTACTTATTATGCGTTAATTTTGAAGCGCAGTGTATTTAAAACACTAATAAGTTATTAGGAACAACTAATTTGGGTCTGGGTCTTAAAAAATTACCAAAAGTTGACATTCTTACGAAAGTCCAATAAAAGACATTTTTATTTTGAATAAAATATTCTTACCATATTATCTTGCGGTGAATGGGTATTTTGAGGCTGTAGAGGGGGGGTTGGCCCCCCGTATTGCGTCATTGGGTAACTAGGCGTTTCAATGGGCCTTTCCAAAATTGAGTTATTTGGGGGGACCACCTTTAAAAAATAAGCAATGACGATTTTTGTTTAATTTAAAAAAAATAATTGTTACCGGTTGTGAAGGACTTATAGAATACTGAAGGGGGCTATTTGACTCAGAACCACTCTCTGAATTTCCATGTGACATCATACTATTATTATTGTTACTTTCAAGGTTGTTTAAAAGACCAGTTGCTAATACATCTACAAAAAAGACATTTTATTAAAAATAAATATTTTTATCTCCACGCGGTCTATAATTTAAACTTTATTGTTGTCAACATTCGATAAAGAAACAACTTGTTATGGCCTAGGCCGATAAAAATTTTTATGAGGCAAGTAATTAGTTCGATTTTTTCTCGCTTGGGGTATTGTTTTGACAAATTAATCCTTTTCTAAGAAATTAACGTACTAAACTGGTTTAATTTATTTATAATAAGCACTAATTTGTTTGTTTTACTGTTAATGTTTATTATTTTTCATTAAATTATTGTAAAATTAAATATGAATAATAAAACAAAAAGTGAGGTTAGGACATTGCAATTTGACGTTTCTGTGGATTTCACAGTTGTGTTTTCTTTTTCTACGATTTAAATTATCTTTAAGTTTTAATTTGCTTTAAGTTTTCAGTAAAATTAAATGTTAAACACAGCGTAAACATTCCAAACTACCTATTTTTTTTAATAAAAATGCAAACAAATTGAAATAAGATACCTATTAATTAAACAATTAATTGAATTCAATGTAATAGCAAGAGGGTAAGTAAACCGTTTTCTTACAAAAATCCATTTCTACTTAAATCATGTAGCTAGGTATTGTCAAACTATTACTGCTTCTAAAAGGAATAATAATTATTGTACATTTAATGAAATCTTTAGCTAATAAATAAATGAGATTCTAAAAAAGTAAGGTTAGGCCGCTTTCATGTTGAATTAAATTGACCTATATAAAGTGCTTTGAAGATAAAATGTTGTATGCCATTCGGCCAAGAAGTGTCTTTTTGTGCTTCGCTCAACTTTGAGCTTAGCACAAAAAGCCTTACTTCTTAACCTAATGACATAAATAACTATTTTGTCTAAAAAGTATACTGTATGTACTAACCTTGTGGGTAATCAGATCTAAGCAAATTTTCTGACTGCATTTTTCCTTTCAAACATGTTATATACCTATTACAAAAGTCTTTACATAACTCTTGGACTTTTTCAAGTTCCAACAAATGTATCCTTAATACTTGTATAGCCTTTATCATCTAAAAAAACAATAATATTGTAATAAATATATTTTCAACATTCTAAATGCGTTGAGAACATACTAGTCCGTCCACTTCCGGCTCGTTAGCCAAAAACGGTTTCCGGTCCCTCTCTTGATGTTGCACGAAAGCTTGAATGTCTAAATTAAAAGCGTCGCTAGATTGTGGATCTGAAGACTGTGTTGCCAGCTCGCACCTTTCGAAAAGCAGTGCCAACAGTGGAAATAATGGATGTCTAAAAAATTTTTTATTGGTCTCCAAAAATGCATTTAAAAAAAATCGTAATTACTTGTAGACCGCTCGTTTGTCGGCCTCGAACTGCGCCTGATCGGTGTCGGGCGGCGCGAACAGGGCGGCGGGCGGAATGGCGGCCTGCTGGATGACGGCGGCGGCGTCCGCCCCCACTGGTGGCACGCTGAGCATGGCGCTTTGAACTCCGCACTCCATAACATCACCTGAAATTAGTAAATATATAAATCAACACTTTTTCAAAAATAATCGCAAAGTTTGTTTCCGATAAAAATATGCATTTTGAGGCTATAATCAAAATCCATAAATTTTGATTAAAATCCATACTTTTAAAAAAACCATCGCAAGGATTATTTACGACAAAATAATAATAAGCATTTTGAGCTTATAAGCATATATGATCAAAATCCATACATTTTTAAAAAATCATCTTAGGTCTGTTTAGAAAAAAACATCGCCTGAAATTAGTAACAGTTTAAATCCATACTTTTTCAAAAATCATCGCAAAGTTCTGGTTGATCAAAATCCATTAATTTTACGATAAAGTAAGCATTTTGAGGCTATGATCAAAATCCTTACTTTTTTATTAAAATCCTTACTTTTTCAGAAATCATCTGTCTGTTTCAGAAAAAAACATTACCTGATATTAGTAACGATTTAAATCCATACTTTTTTAAAATCATCGCAAAGTTTGTTTCCGATGGAAATATGCATTTTGGGGCTATGATCAAAATCCATAAATTTTAATTAAAATCCATACTTTAAATAAAAAATCATCGCAACGATTGTTTCCGATGAAAATATGCATTTTGGGGCTATGATCAAAATCCATAAATTTTGATTAAAATCCATACTTTTAAAAAAATCATCGCAACGATTGTTTTTGCATTTTGAGCTTATAAAAACAAAATCCAACATTTTGTTTAAAATGCATACTTTTTCAAAAATTATCTGCCTTTTCAGAAAAAAACAAGCATTTAGACTTATGGTTAAAACAATGTTTTTTAATTCAAAATCCATGCGTTTTATATTTGATTAAAATCATCACGTTTGTTTAAAAAAAAAACAAGCATTTTAAGTGTAATAATAATAATACAGGGTGTTATGTAATTAATGTTATATATTAAAATGGGTTGTTCCTTGGGGTCCATAAAGAAGCACCTGAAACTTTTTTTTTCTAAATTCCAAAGACTAAAAATAATTTATAATAACCTTTATCCTACCAAAAAGTACGCCACTGACCGACTAGGAACTTTAGGTTGCCTAATTTAATTTATTATGTTACGGTTTGTAACCCTGCCCTGGTTGGTAACAACAGAGTTTCCAAATTCTGTCAAAAAAGTTGACAAACATTGTTTAAATTTAGCTTAATTACAAAAATGATAAAATTAACAATGCAAATTGTCAATTTGGCGTTTTTATTAATTGTTGGTTATGTCATTTTTGTACTGAAGGTAAATTCAAACTAAATCTGACAACTTTTATGACAGAATCTAGTGCATTTCTTTCAAATTTTAGGTTATGAGCTCAAATTGTAAATATTTTAACTAAGGGAAGTGCTTTTGGATTTATTTACACAAATTAAATGTTTAAAGTTTAACCTGTGAACTGGTCCCAATTTCATCTGAGTAAACAGAAAGAAAAAAACCGAGGAAAAAATTAATTTTGTGGTTATGGATTTTTTAAAATAGGTACTAAATTAATTTTCTAATCATTGCTTAAGCTAATAGCTGGATGAGTAAAGGGTAATTAGAGCTTTAAGGGCATAAAACTTGTATTTATTAAGTTTTTATTTATTTTTTGCAAGAAAAATTTTTAGTAACAATTTTTTACATCTGGCAACGCGCAGCTACTTTGTTGGTTGGTATCTATGTACTCACAGAACACAAGTGTGCAGAGATAAACCAAGTGTGTAACCAGTGGCGTATCACAAAAAATATAAAAAATTTCTAATGCCTATTTTTTCTTTATCTTTGGAAAAATATTTTTTAAATATTTTTCCTTTACTCCTTATGTCAAAAGGTATTCAGTATTTTAATATATAACATTAATTAGGTACATAACACCCTGTATAATACTCTTTATTTTAAAAATAATTTCAAAAATACAGATAATTCGTGCATTGTAAATTAGCAGGAAAAGATTTCTCATAAAAAACTATACGAAGCCAAAAACCAAATTAATAAAAAATTAATAACTCAAGCGGGTAGAGTCGGCCATGGATGGAACAGAAAACCCGGCTTGCTGCGACGTCCATAAAAAACAGCCGGTCCGACGATATTTGGTTAAAATTAATAAAAGCGACGCGGCATCGAAAAACCCGAATCAAGCGAATTCCACCCCTATGCCTTTTCGACTGAAGGACGCCAGACGCGTCCCGACGCCGATGTTTAATTCATCCGGAAAGGAAGTGCAGGCAGCACACAATTATTGCAGCGTCCTCCCGCAGCGACACTTGTTCCTAATGGCCGTATCTTCTCGCCGCTCTCCCGGACTCCTCACCCAGGTCCCTTGCAACCGCCCCCCGATGCACAAGACGGCATATTGTCTTTTACATTTTCTACAAGCTCTTAAAACATTCCAAAATTTATTATTCTATACTTTTATGGATTATAAAAGTTGTATGGATTTTGATCACAAATTATGGATTAAAATCATAGGTTAAAAATGCTCGATTTTGTCGGAAACGAGCTTCGCGAGGATTTTTGAAAAAGTATGGATTTTGATCACACATTATGGCTCTTAAATTTACCCTTTAATCATAGGGTTAAAAGGCTAGCTTTTGCCGGAAATAAACTGCATCAATATTGGATATTTTGATCCTAGGGTCAAGTGTTTTTTTTAACTGTCTCAAAATGTTTAAAATGGCTTAAATTTGTAAATGATATTATAATTAGGCATATGTCTTATACAAGGTATTCAATAGTATATTATGTATCAAGTTTGAGAAACGCGAATTTAATTTAGGCACGAGCGAGCTTGCGAGCGAGTGCTTAAGTTAATGAGTGTATAGAATAGTTTATAAACGAGGTGCATACTATACTTTTTCTACGAAAAATACTTATTATTATCTTAAAATGATTTAAATCAAAAATTTGTATAGAGCGCCATCTATGAAACAAAAGGGAAATCTGTGTTAACGTCAAATGTGTTATAAACACAATTATAAAGGTTATAAATCGAAATGTATTTCTTGAAAATGGACAGTTTTTCACAGTGAAAGTAAAGAAAATGTTTTATGAGCACTTTACAGTGGAGTCCGTGCCCGAATTTAAGTTATAGTTTACTGCCGGCGAAATTAAAAGGTCAGTACAATGTTCATATAAACTTTTGAAATATTGGCGTTGAGAAACTATTTAATACTTTTGTATTTTTGTATTGGGATAATAAAATAATTTTCACATTTAGTATTATTTTACAAGAAAGGTACTTTATTTTAACGATTGTTTGACATTTGATAACTGTCAACTAACTTCTGCCCGTGACTAAAAACCTGTTGCTTACTTCAGCCCGTGACTAAAGCGCCATAAAGCCACAACTTGTCAACGTGTATTTAAAAGGTCGTTTAGTGTCATGGAAACATGTACGATAAAGGGCGTTTTAAAGGTGGGAGTAGAAAAAATAATTTTCAGATTTAGTATTATTTTACAATTGTAGGGCTTTCTGACTTCTTAAGAAGGGCACATTATTTTAACGATTGTAGGACATTTGACAACTGTCAACGAACTTAAAACTAACTTCAGCCCATGACTAAACACAATGTGTCATGTCATGTTGCTAACTTCATCCCGTGATTAAAACGCCAAAAAGCCACAACTTGCCAATGTGTGTTTAAAAATATCTTAATATGTATAAAATGTTTTAAAACTGTCTGAAAACTAAAATGTTTAAACAGTCTAAAACGTCTTCAAACTGTATAAAATAACTTAAAACTGTCTAAAAATGTTTAACTGTCTTTCAGCGATTTAAAATGTCATAAACCAGTTTAAAATTTTCCTACAGAATCTTTTAAGTGCATCATTTAAAACATTCTAAAATTTATTTTTCGACAAATAACCCGCATATTTTTTGATTACCTACTTAGGTATGGATTTTAATCACAAATAAAAATTTTAATCATGGGCTCAAAAGGTTTGCTTTTGCCTAAAACTAAGTTTGCGATGATATTTAAAAAAGTATGTATTTTTAACACAAATTATGGATTTTAATCAGTCACAAAAAGCTTGTCTTTGTCGAAAACTTACTTTGCAATGATTTAAAAAAAAAAGTATGGATTTAAACGATATTATGAAATCATTGTATATCGTATTTGAATTATAAATTAAAGGGCTTGAAATAATAAGATTATGTAGGTAGAGTAGGTATATTAATTACATTTTTACAATTTTGGGCTTCCTTTACTAACATTAGATTTAAATTGAGCGCGTACAGTACATACATAATAAATTCGTACATTGGTAATCAATACAATATTTATTTATTTATATTTATGACCTCAATATTAAAGTATTGGCATTGAGCGCGATATGGTTTTGGAATCTTTAATATGCTTAAGAATTAAAATGAAAAAGTCTCGTGTCTTAAAACTTTGTTTAATACAATTTTTTTGACCCAAAAACTAAACTAGTACGAAGTAAATATACCTACGAAGGCAAACTTCAGCTGAAAGACGTAATTTAGACGTTTTCCTCAGTCAGCATAGCTGAAAACAAGGAAAACTATAGGAAAAACCATCCCCAACCCCCAGAAACACCCCCTTTCCATCTCCTTTTCACTCCAACCCCCTCAAATCGCATCTTTCCTTGTGCTCTGTCTCTCTTTGGACAACAAAAGAGCAGAGGCAACGAAGTTGGCGGTGCACTCTTTCAACTGTTTCTCGTCTACATGTTTGCCATGTTTATCGCTGTTTAGATACAGTAATTTGAATAAGCAGCAGTGACTTATTGCATAAAGCCGATTCTGCATTAAAATAACCTTAAATATTTTTGTTACAAAAATCGCAATACTTATGTCTACGTTAATATCAGAAAAAAATGTTCAAAACCTTTGTTTAATGATTATGCATTAAAACATTTAACATTAAAATTACAGTTTTATTTGTAGATATGGAGGTATTTTGAATTTAAATGCATAACTAATGTTGATATCAAATTTTAATGATCTACTTATTAAAATATAAAAAAAACATGCCAAAAAAAACCCTCAATTATTCTAAAATGTTTAAGAGCTAGGTACTTAGTATACCTACCTATTTGTATACAAATTAATCATACTGCCCTATAGGGATGATTAATTTGTAGTAGCTCATTAAAACATTTTAGACAGCTCTAAGCTTAGAGCTGTCTAAAATGTTTCAAAAATTTATAACATTGCCCCTATATAATTTGTCCAAAAACCCTTTTTATATAAAATGTTTTAAAATTTTTAAAATGTTTAAGAACTAGAACTGTGAATAATATGTACCTATCCAAAACTGTCTGTCCTAAATACTCACTGGTATCTAGCTAACTACCTTGGTACTAAAAATGACAAATAACATTTTAGCCCTAATTATTTGTTGCCACCCTCTGGTAATTGATATCTCGTTAATTTTTTCATCATTTAACGCATGAACTTTTTACTTCCAAAAATACATTTATCCAAATTTGCGGAATCGATTTAATATCATAAAATCATTAGGGAAACACTCTAGGGAAGGCATTTGCTGCAATTAAATTTAATTTAATTTAAATCTGCAATTAAATTCTCGCCACTTCATTTCGCCCAAGTGTTCTTGATTCTTAAGCTAACAATTTTCTTATGGATTTTTTCTGCTTGTCGGAAATTTACCGGGAATGCGTTTAATTGGAGTTTGAGGGTGAATTGGAAGTACAAGAAAATAACGAAACAAGGAAACAAGTTTCGGGGAAAGTTAATTTGAGAACAATGACAATTTTAACGGTTTTGGGGTGCATAGAAAATTACATTTTACGTAGGTTCAAAAACAATATTAATAGCCTTTTCTACCAGAAAATGTTCTTCCAAACGAGGCGAAAATGTCTGATAATTTTTAGTTTTATGATCAAAATCCATATTTAATCAAAACCTGTGCAAAGTTTGTTTCAGACAAAAACAAGCATTTTGTGCATATGATTAAAATCCATAATTTCGATCGAAATTATGGATTTTAATCATACGCTCAAAATGCTTGTTTTTGTCTGAAATTAACTTTAAGAAGATTTAAAAAAATATGGATTATGATCAAAATAAATGTATTTTGATTTTAATTTAAAAACGCTCAAAATTGTTGCTTTTGTCTAAAACAAGCTTTAAACAGGATTTTAATCATAAAACTAAAAAATATCAATTGCAATTTAGTTCCAGTTTATGATTTTTGGAAGACTTGGCCAAAAAAACAATACTTTATTAAATTATGAAAATAAATATTCACATAAACTTAAGTAAGTTAAGTTTCTCTGCAAAACTTCTACAACTCCAATAAAATAACTCATCTTCAAGCTAGTGCATATAATCGGGGATTTTCCGTCCGAATTGGAAAAGTGCACAAGAAACCGGAAGCGTCCGGAAGTGGAAAGAGACCCCGCCGATTTCCGGATGCCGCAAAAGTTTGCCTGAAGTTTCCCAAACAACCAAACCGACCTGAATATAAAAGAAAAAACACGTATGCTTTTTATGGCGTTTGTTTTGATGCTGAAATTGGAAAATATTGTTTACGATCAAATTCCATAATAATACAACAATCATGTTGAAGTTTGTTTCGCACATAAACAAGTATTTTAAGCGTAAGATCAAAATCCATAACTTTTCAAAAATTTTGTTTCCGTCAAAAACAATGATTTTAAGCATGTGATCAAAATCCATAATTTTGATTAAAATCCATACCAATACAAACAATAAGTCGGAGGTTGTTTTTATAAAAATTAACATTGTATTCCGGGCAACTAAAGTCCGTGAAGCGCAAAGCCGTAATTAAATTAACTTAAACAGGTGTATTTCACACTTTTTTAACGAGTGATAATTACACGGTTTAGGAACACGATAATTAAAATGGTTTTAGACGGGACTTGTGCATTAAAAATATAAACAAAAGTTAACCTAATGTAATGCAAGGTTAAATCAATTGAAACAAATAAAAATAGACTTAAGTCATGTAAAAAGAAAAAAATTGCTTACAGAATCATCCTGGCCTTCTCTCTTCCACAAATCACATCACCTTTTAAAACAAAACACAAAAACCGGGCCCGAAACGAATTGCGAAAAAAAAGGTTAACAAAATCACCCGAAGAAAATTAAACACGCACGAAATCTTCGGAAATCAACACAAAAACAATTTCAACGTATAACTTTTTATTTACAGCGTGCGAAAATAATTTTTCACCGTATTTTCTATGTTTACATGTCACTAGAAGGTATAACAAATGACTCTCGTCTAGACACAAGAGACGTCTGTCAATATTCGTCAAAACCAAAATGGCTACGCCTCAAATCACCGAACTAAGACGTACGGTTCGCTCTCTACATCACTCTGATATTTATTACGCTTGCAAATCTTACTGAGACGCATGTCTGTGATTAGAATTTTAGAACACGCCCAAATAAGAACGATTTTTACTAATTATTCGAATATATCACCTTAATTTCCCCCAAACCCCCCTATAAATCATATATTTATCTTATTTAAACCTATTTTAATGCGTAAATACAACATTCAGATGATTTAAACAAAAATATAACAAATATAAAGCATCCCAGTGGAGCATGCGTATATCCCCTCGCAAGTTTTTATTTATTTTATTTTTAAAAACTAATGATTTGCAATTTTAACCCTCAAAACCCATAAAATACCCACGTAAACATAACTTAAACCCATTTTTGACACCCAGCAACATTTTTAAACGCAAATTTTACGCATTTTCACAAATTTTGCGGTATTCTTAGCTCCTCCCCTCTAATTTATTACATTTAATTGTGTGGCGCCATCTCACGGTCCAACACGCAAGTTTTAATTTAAATTTTCGGAAGGTTTGTCAACTTTATGACATTTTCAAACAATTTTAAGACATTTCAGTTTTTTGACAATTTTAGATTTTCTTTGTTTTTTTATGATAATTAAGACAGTTTTAAGAAATTTTATACAAATTTAGGTGAAGAAAACGTGTAAAAACGAATTTCAAATAAAAGCTGGCAATAAAAATGATAAAATTTATTATGTATTAAACTGTCTAATAACAATTTCTACAGGTATAAATAAAACACTTTTTACACAAAATCTTTATTAAAAACCTATGATACAAGTTTAGACCTAAAAGTAATAGCATAATATGCTATAATAATCGATAGTACAGATGCTAGTACTTCGCAGCTAATCATAGGGCCTTTATATATCCCAGGATGATTTATTTCGACTTCAAGTAAATGTGGAATGGCCTTTATGTCTTCGTTTAACCTCAGAGACCTTTTAATTTGTGTATAGCCAGCTTCATCAAACACCTTGATTTTTACAATGCCTATTTTAGCTGTTTTTATGTCTTCAGTCCAGCTTAGTTGGTATTTCGACGGCCCTACATTGGCTATGGGTGATATAATATTGCCAAAAAGTGCATAAAGACGTCCAGGGTTGGAATTTTTACACTTTACATTAAATTCACTTATATAGGCGATTTGTTTTAATATTGTTGCATCATTTGTGGTGTATGTTTTCGATATTACTACGGGCTCGACACATTTTTCACTTTTTACGACACTTGATAAAGTAAAAATAACAAAAATTACCGTCAAAACACTGTAGTAAGACATTTTTTTACTTATTTTAGCACATGGATCAATAAATGCATAGTATGCTGTTTCAAGGCACGCGCGCTTGAATTGTTTACCCCTCGTAGTTTAAATGTATCAACTATTTAAACTACTCACCACGTTTAGCGGTAGGTCCCATATACAAGCAATTTTAAATGATAAAAATGAATACCGAATTTAATTTTTGATAAGGAATCGATATAAATAGTGCTATTCTAGAAGAATAATGTTTATTAAGTCTACAATCTGCAATTGTTAATAAAGTCGCGAAATTTTCCGATGCACCTTTAACCTTATTTTTTCACGTGTATTGTGGTAGCGTTGCTGTTTCGTTTCCAAAGCCAAGTTGATTTATTATTATTTTGATATAAATTAAGTAAAATAAAATGGAGAAGGGTGAAGTAAGGGTTCCCAATACTTGGGAAAATAGAAAAGTAAATCGCGGGAAGGTAAATAGTGGCCTAACGCACGAATGTGGGGTTTTTGGGGCTATAGGTTTGGAGAATTGGCAAAATAATTCTGAAATCGCCCAAATTATTTGTATTGGTTTGGAAGCTTTGCAACATAGGTAAGATTTTATTTATTTTATTAGTTTTTGTTGTGTTTTAAGGATTTTTACCACCTTTTGAATGTTTTCTTTCAAATTTTGTATATGTAAGCATTTTGTTTGCTGAATTTATTAATTTATTACTTTGGTTGCTTATCGAATCGGAAATTTGTAACCAGACACCTATTTTTGTCATATCCTACCTACCTATAAGATTTTTAGAAAGGTTTTAAAAACATTTTCCTTAAGTAAGTACTAAAATACACAAACACTTTGCTAAAATATGAAAATTTTTATACATTTATTTGGACATTAGATCTTAGACGTTTTTTTTTAATTTAGACAATTTACATTTAGCCCATGCATAGAAAAAGTAATCCTTTCTGATTTTCAAACAGTTCTTATTGGACATTTCAACAACAAACCTACCTAGGTACCTACCTACTTTATTATTTTTTATTTTTGTAATTTAGTTTTATATTTTTTGTATTACAAAATTGGACAATTAAAAACTGCTCTTACAGAAAATTTATTTAAAACTGGCTAATTAAAAACTGCACATTAAAATTTTTGTTTCGGGTAATTAAAAATTTCCCAAATTCGGAAAAAATTGGACAAAAGGATTACTTAAATTTAAAAAATGGTAGGAAAAATTCGCACATTGGCATAAATGTAAAAATTTTGGGACAAATTTACAAGATTTTTAAAATTCCCAATTTTTTAAAATTTTTAAAATTCCAAAATTTTCGGAATATGTATACCTACAAAAAATTTAAAATTTTCCAAAATTTTTAAAAAATTTATTTAATGTCTTTCTTCAAATATTTTATCGTTATGCTTAGCTGCCTTATTAAAATTGTTTCCATGGCAACCATGCTAACATAATTGTTACCTATTATATACCTAACAATTTTAGCTTTTCCCACTAACAGTGTTGTCAATTTTTTTAAACTTTATAAAAGCTTAAACTCAACAAGTTGTTTTACAAGAACTACCTAGAAATAATTTTTCATACTATTTTCGGGACAACCAGTATACTTTTTTTAATTAATTTTTTACAATAGATATTCCATGATTTTTTAATTTTATAAAATATATTCTTATTTTAGCAAATTTTACTATACTTTAAAAGTATTACTCTCTCTATTTTAATATAAAAAAAACGTACAATTAATAATCTTTTAACGCACGAGTTTCCAAAATTTAATCTGTCCTATTTTAAGCAAAGTTCACGGAAAACCCAATTAACCCAGTTATTTGGCACTATAAAAAAACTATAAAATCTTTACTAAATACTATCAAGGTCAACACATTATCAATTAAACTATATAGTAATTTAAGAAGAAATTGTTAATTTATTATCTAAATAATTACAATTTTTTTTTATTACTTCCTGTAATTAATATGTGATATATTATTTTGTTTAAAATGTCTTTATCTTGTTTAGCAGAATTCGTTAAAATAATTTATATACAATATTGTGTGTTAAAATAGTGGAAAATTTTGAGTTTTAGTGTAAATGCTTTTATCTTTGCTATTTGTTAATATATTTTTATAAAATTTGGTGTAAGTACTTCTTGGGATTATTACTTGCAATAAAGTGTATACACTTTATTGCCAGTAATAATCCCAAGAAGTTGGCACTTACGCCAAATATTATAAAAATATATGTAGGTTAGGGTGATTCATTTCCGCAAGATTTTTTTTTTCGGTGTTTAAGCAAAATATAATAATATATTAATCTGCATATAGAAAAAAAAATTCCCACCAAGTTTGAGCTCTTAATATCAATTTTAAGTACTTATTATTTAAATTTAAAGTTTTACCGTTTAAAATGCATGTAAAAAATATTTTTTTTTCAAATTTTTAATGCTTACCCAACTTTTACAATATTAGTGTTTTCGCGGAGCTAATCCCGAACTAGTCCGGACATCCTAGGCATGCGCATTTTAATATTTGCCATGCGCACTTTACATTTTTAACCCCAAATTTTAAAAAGCGCATGCCTATAGGATGTCCGGAATTAGTTCGGGATTAGCTCCGCGAAAATATCTATTGCAAATCGGTTTGATGGACCTTGTGGGGAATTTCACGCTCTTCAAAATTGCTCTGAAATTTTTTTGTGTAACTCGCATTGGTTTATCCGTAGGATTCGTCAAAGTACAGTTTTTGAAAAATATCGTTTTTTTTTAATTTCGAGCAAACCGCGAAAAGTAGGGAGAAAAAAAGGCTGTCTCATAAAAAAAAAGTTATTCAACCAATATTTAATGAATTTACAGCCATTTTTATAACTTAAAATTATTATGATTTCTCACTCATAATGAATATGAAAACAACACCTTAATTCATAAAAAAACAACAAGAATAAAATTGTAACGTGGATTTTGCAATTTTTCAACATTCATATAGCAAAAAAATATAAATAATTAATTTTTTAAGTGAAATTTGGAATATGTTACATAATAACGTAACCTTCTGTATATTTTGATGAAGGTTTGTTGTTTTTTATGAATTTAGTGTTGTTTTCATATTCATTATGAAATATAAAAAATCAATCTAAATAACATTATGGGTTGGTATTTATCAAATTCTTACGTTTTCAGTTATAAAAATGGCTGTAAATTCATTAAATATTGGTTAGATAACTTTTTTTTTTGAGTCAGCACTTTCTTTTCCCTACTTTTGGCGATTTGCTCGAAAAAATAAAAAAGAAACGATTTTTTTCAAAAACTTTCTTTTGACGACTACTACTGGTGCCCAATGCAAAACTCAAAAGCAATTTTGAAGAGCGTGAAATTTCCATCAAATCGATTTGCAATAATATCAAAGGTGGATAAGCATTAGTTTTTTGAAAAAAAAATTTTTTTACATGCATGCATTTTAAACGGTAAAACTTTAAATTTAAATAGTAAGTACTTAAAATTAATATTAAGAGCTCAAACTTGGTGAGATTTTTTTTCTAGGTGTACACAGATTTAATATTTTGCCTGAGCACCGAAAAAAACCAAAAACTTTGCAAAAATGAATCACCCTAATGTAGGTATTAACAAATAGCATAGATAAAAGCATTTACACTAAAACCCATGTTAACACACTATATTTCCCCCAAAAAAGAGGTCAGGAATCCACCGGGCTGGTCACCACTGAAGGAGGCAATGATTTTCACATCCACAAGGGAATGGGTTTGGTCAAACACGTTTTCAACAACGATTGCATATCAAAACTCAAAGGAACACTCGGTATAGGACATACGAGGTATTCAACCAGCGCGAAATCAGAACCCATTAACTGCCAACCTTTCGTGGTACACTCCATGCATGGATCTTTAGCGGTCGCTCATAACGGAGAGTTAGTGAATGCCTCAACCTTAAGGCAACAGGTGGGTGGTTAGATTTTAGGGTATAAAGTACGTGGTGGAGAGGTAAAATTTGTCGAGCGTTTTAACTATATTGTATGCAAATTTCATTGCTGTAGCTGTTATGGTTTTTAAAATACAGGGTGTTAAAATTCGTCTAGAGTTTAAGGTCGTGTTTTGCTTCATAGAAAGTTTAAGGGGGAATGTCTCAATTTCTAATAATGATGAGGGGTTGTAATTTTGGTGTGTTTTTAAGGTTATTTTTGGCTACCCCTGTGGAAATTTTTCTCTGAGGAAGTCTTACTTTCTCTTAAAAAGTCTGAATAATTATTAATACTATTAATACTTAAGTCGGAAAATGTCAGAATAAGACTTATTAAGTCGAAAATAATAATAGCAAGATTTGGGAGTCTTCTGGAAGAGTTAATAAGACTTTTTAAGACTTAATAAGACTTTTAGTAGAGAAATGGTAGGTACCTATGGCGATAAAAATAAATATCCGAAATAATTCATAGAGGTTGTATTTGGTTATCGTAAAATAAAACACATAGAAAAGTATTTATTAACATTTTTGCTGTTGTTATAAGCCAAGTTTATTGCATAATTACCTATATAATAACATAGGTAAGATGTAATAATTATAACAATTATAATTTTATACATAGGATGCGCTTGACATGCTTTCATTGTTTCCACCATAGAAAAAGGAGTTGCCGCAGTAGGTACTTTTTATGTTAATACTTTCTTTTGATAAACGCAAATATTTACCTATCTAAACATTGTTACAAACAAATCTTCTAGACGACGGTAATATCGACTTGATATTATCAAGAGACCAGCTCAGCTAGTTGACCAATTAGAGCACAGCTGACCTGTCAGTGGGACACAGTGTTGCCGTTTGCGGGTGAAATCGGGTGATTTGCCAATTTCCATCAAAATAATAACAAAAGAAATTTTTAGTAAATAATATTGTATATTTACTAAATATGCACAATTATTTTATTCTATCCTGTTACATTTTTATTATTATTTTAGTATTTTGTAATTTATGGTCAGGAACTTTTATGGCAACACTGTACGTAAACACGAAGATCAACCATGATACACGAAGATCAACCATATTTGTCTTATGAGTCTATTGAAAATATCATGTCTATAGACATGATATTAACTTCTTTTTCTATGGTGGAAACAATGAAAGCATGTCAAGCGCATCGTATGTATAAAATTATAATTGTTATAATTATTACATCTTACCTATGTTATTATATAGGTAATTATGCAATAAACGTGGCTTATAACAACAGCAAAAATGTTAATAAATACTTTTCTATGTGTTTTATTGTATGATAACCAAATACAACCTGTATGAATTATTTCGGATATTTATTTTTATCGCGATAGGTACCTACCATTTCTCTCCTAAAACTCTTATTAAGTCTTAAAAAGTCTTATTAACTCTTCTAGAAGACTCCCAAATCTTGCTATTAGTCTGACTTAATAAGACTTATTCAGACTTTTTCCGACTTAATAAGTCTTATTCTGACTTTTTCCGACTTAATAAGTATTATTCAGACTTTTTAGGAGAAAGTAAGACTTTCTCAGAGAAAAATTTCCACAAGGGTATAGTAACACCGAATTTGACACTTCTGGATTGTATAGTTCATGAGATATAAGTAAAAGAGTTTTGCTTACTCTTAAAAATATACTTAGCTTGACAACATTTAACTTAGTATAAAAGTAATAACATTTAAATTTTAGTACAATAATATTATACTCTAAAGTTCATTTTTTTTTATCTGGACTGCGGCAACGTTGTAAATTTAGGGTTTTGGTTGGTAAATACAGTTGTCAAGTTGGTCGCATTGATTAAAACAAACTAAGCTAGTTATAAATCTAATTGTGGTTATGTATAAATTATTGTAGGTTACATTGTGCAGTTGTCAAGTTGAGTTGTCGAAATTCGTAGTTAAAAATGCAATTAATTTGGCTTTGGTGGTGCTTGGATGAGTAAAATCATATAAAAAAGTAGTTAAATATAGGTTGCTTTACGGTCCAGAAGAGAAAGTATTCCTAGCGGATAATAATTTTCGCTTTGAAAAGAATTTATATAAAAGAAATTAAAATTTTTTGTGAACGTAAATGTTGTCCAATGGTGAATAATGTGAAAATAATGTGTGATGTAATATATTATTATTATAAAACCAAATTCGTTACTTTTTTACTCCAAAAATGTCCATAAGGCGATGTACTTTTTCTTCTATTGTGGCATTTGGCATAATTTCATCAAAATGAAGTTTTGCCCTCAAAAGGGCTTTTACATTCGGATTCGTTGCAATTATTTTTGGAATCATTATCTTTTTATTTATATCACAGTGCAACAGCAAAAAAAAATATGGGGTTTTGAAAGTGGTTTTCGTTTCTCCTATTCAAAGAATGCCTTTTTGCGTTTACAGAATGTTTAGATTGATTCAGGTTTTTTTTTAATATCGATTTTAAGTTTTATTAATTTTAGAACCCGAAAACCCGTTATTTATTAATTTAAACCAAAACAAAAAAAATGATGGGGTTCTGAAAGTGGTTTTCGTTTCTCCTAACCAAAGAATGCCTTTTTGCGTTTACAGAATGTTTAGATTGATTCAGGTTTTTTAAATATCGATTTTAAGTTTTATTAATTTTGGAACCCAAAAAACAATTATTTATTAATTTAAACCAATTAACTGGTAGGAAATTGTTGTCATAACAATAAATTTAAAAGAAATAATAAAAAATAAAACAAATATTAAAAATGGGGGTAAACATGTCACTTAAAATACATTTGCTCCATGCACATCTTGACCTGTTGGAAAATCAGCTGTCCACTGAATCAGAAGAGCATCAAACAATAATGGAAATGGAACATCGTTATAGAGTTAGCAGATTTTTGTTGGTCTATGGCAATGGAAATTTTGGCATAAAATTATTAATAAAATTTGTTATATCTTTTATGTTGATTTATTCTATTTGTTAAAAATAATATGTTTTTAATAATTAATATAATAAAAATAATTACCATAATTATTATTATTGTATAAGCGAAAGAACTAAGAAACTGCACTACAACATATTAAATCCAGAAAAAGGTTCATGTTTTTAAAAAAGTTGCATTTTATTGTTCTCATTATTTTTTTATTTAATTATTTTTTTCTTTATTTGATTGTTATTACTTTATAAAACAATATACAAAACAAATAATTATATTTTATGTACTAATTATTTATTATTTTACAATATTTCGGGATCCAGAATTACTAAAACTTTAAATTGATATTAAAAAAAAACCAGAATCAATCTAAACATTCTGTAAACGCTATAATTCATGATTTTGATTGTAGAAACCGAAAATACTTTCAGAACCCCATCATCTTAATTTTTTTTTCGAAAATGTTGCACAGTGTAATTCCTAAACAAAAACAAAAAAACTTGTTTTTATTTGGGGTGTAATTGACAAGTAAATTATCAATAATAAATATTATTGTCAATTTTACAGTGTCAAAGTATTTAATTAAATTTTTTAGCAGAAGTACCATTTTTAAATACTAAAAATACTAAGTCAAACTGGCATAAGCCACCAACCTAACAAAAAAACACGAGTCCAGATAAAAAAAATGAACTGTATATACTCTATATACTCTAGGTCACTCTCATAAATTTTAAAATTCTATTGTTATTATTTTCGATTTTTAAGGTACTGAAAAGAGGTGTAGGTCTATCAACTCACTCAGACAGTGAGCTTATAACTCAAGCTTTATGCCTAATACCGCCAGATGGCGAAGTAAACGGCCCTGATTGGCCGGCGAGAATAAGGCACTTAATGCAGTTGGCACCACTGAGCTATTCGCTCGTTATAATGTTGAAAGACAAAATATATGCTGTTAGAGACCCTTATGGAAATAGGCCGTTGTGTCTGGGTAAAATTGTTTCAAATGGTGGTGATAAAGGTGAGGAAACAACTGAAGGTTGGGTTGTCAGTTCCGAGTCATGCGCATTCATCACTGTGACGAGATATGTCAGGGAGGTGTTGCCAGGTCAGTATTAAAAGGATTTTATTTGAACATTACAAAAATGTTGTTTTATTAAAGGTGAAATTGTTGAGTTAACTAAAAATGGCCCTAGAACGGTGGATGTAGTCTCCACTCCTGAAGGAAAGAACTTGGCATTCTGCATTTTTGAATATGTATATTTTGCTAGACCAAATAGTATTTTTGAAGGGCAAGAAGTATATACAGTAAGAAATATTTGTGGGGCTGAGTTAGCCATTGAACATCCTGTAGAAGCCGACATGGTTGGGTCAGTACCGGAGTCAGGAAATTCTGCTGCCTTTGGATATTCAAAACAAGTGAGTTTTGGCTTTATAAAAAAAACTTGTGTTTATTTAACACCTATTTGTTTTAGTCACAAATTCCATATGGGGAACTTTTAACAAAAAATACATATGTTGGTAGAACTTTCATCCAGCCCTCCAACAGATTAAGACAAATGAACGTCTCTCTAAAGTTTAGTAAGTAAAATATTTGGGGGTTTGTAAAAAAAATTAACCAAAAATATTTAGTTGGAAATCGTTTTTTGAGATAACTTAAAAACAGTATTATACTAAAAACATTTTAGGCCCAATTTTACATAATGTAAAAGACAAGAGAATCATCCTAATCGACGATTCCATAGTACGCGGCAACACTGTAGGGCCCATCATTAAGTTATTGCGCAGGGCCGGGGCAAAAGAGGTTCACATTAGAGTGGCAAGTCCTCCCCTGCGTTATCCCTGCTATATGGGGATAAATATTCCCACTAGGGAGGAATTGATTGCCAATACAATGACGTCAAAAGAACTCGCCAAAAAAGTCGGTAAGTATACTTATACAGGGTGTTACTTTTAACTTGAGACAGCTCAATATCTCGAGAAATACGCATTTCACGGAAAAATGTCTTAAATAAAAGGTTAATGTGACCAAAGGGGAAATTATTTGGTGCTACCGCTAGCCACCCCCTACCCCTCCTTAAAGGTGAAACGGGGGGTAACTTTGGAAAGTCAAATGGGATGCCGATTTTTTTCACAGATTTTGATAGAAAAAAAAACTTTTATTAGAAACTTTTTTCAATTTATCAACAGATGGCGCTGTAATTCAAAATTTAAGAAAAATGGATTTCCTTGTAAATTGTATTACACTCACAGGCAAAATAATCGATCCACACAAATTTTCGATGAATTTCAATCGCAAATAACTTTTTTATTTGATGTCGGATTTAAACGAATATTAAAGAATATTGTTGATAAATTAATGGACAATCGCTCACATTTTAAAAAATTACTAAAACATAGACGTACGTTTATAATGTACAGGTTTAAACAAAAATATATTTTTTACCATAAGTTTAAGACACTCTGTAGAGTGGCAAAACCGTATATTGTTCTAAATTAAGTTTTATTTATCAAGTCACATCTATTCTTAACAGTTTTGTTTTTGGTTCACCTCGATATATTTATTTTTGTGAAAAAAGTGATTTAAAAAAAAACATTGCAATTTCCAATATTTTTCTGTATAAAGAGCTATTGTCCATCCATAGGCTATGGAGAATGACAGTAACAGTTTTGTTGAATCATCCCATACTTGGACATGTCATACACGGCTTTCAAAAGCTATCAAATTGTTTTTTGCAAATTAATGTTTAAATTTTGGGGTGTATTAGGTGGCAAGTGTTTTAAACGTCACAAGAAGTAAAGTACACTCATCCTCCATAGGCTATGGATGGACCATAGCAACCTTAGTTCTTCATACAGGAAAAATATTGGAAATTGCAATCTTTTTTAAAAAAATCCATATTTTCCACAAATTAAATATATCAAGGTGAACCAAAAACAAAACTGTTAAAAATAGATGTGACTTAATAATTAAAACTTAATTTAGAACAATAACGGTTTTGCCACTCTACAGAGTGTCTTAAACTTATGGTAAAAAACATAATTTTGTTTAAACCTGTATATTATAAACGTACGTCTATTTTTTAGTAATTTTTTAAAATGTGAGCGATTGCCCATTAATTTAACTAAAATATTCTTTAATATTCGTTTAAATCCGACATCAAATAGAAAAGTTATTTGCGATTGAAATTCATCGAAAATTTGTGTGGATCGATTATTTTGCCTGTGAGTGTATTTGAAACGTTTGAAAAACAAAAATTAACATTAAATAATAATAATAATAATGATAATAATAAATCTTTATTTCCCAACAGATTTACAATCCAATTACAGGAAAATATACAATAAATAGTAATACAATTTCATTCAATAAAACAAAAAATAAACAAATAATTAATTCAAGTAGCAATAAAATAAAATCAACATAAAAAAACAAAAAAAATAGATATCAACCAAATCAATTAAATTGCATTTGGCACATTTTACAATAAAACATATATTATCAAAGTATCACATTTCAAATCAACTCTGAAAACAATTTATAACAAATGTTCGAAATGTCGTCCTTCCATTTCATTGTTGATTTAATGTTAATTTTTGTTTTTCAAACGTTTTAAATAATACATTTTACAAGGAAACCCATTATTCTTAAATTTTGAATTTCAGCGCCATCTGTTGATAAATTGAAAAAAGTTTCAAATAAAACATTTTTAATTTTATTTATGTACTATCAAAATCTGTGAAAAAAATCGGGTCATCCCATTTGACTTACCCCCCGTTTCACCCTTAAGGAGGGGTAGGGGGTGGCTAACGGTAGCACAAAATAATGTCCCCTTGGTCACATTAACCTTTTATATAAGACATTTTTCCGTGAAATGCGTATTTCTCGAGATATTGAGCTGTCTCAAGTTAAAAGAAACACCCTGTATATAGAGAGTACATGTTATTGTTTTTTATGCTGTTATCTTGTAAACGGTTGATTTTACAAAAAAAAGTAAATTACATTTTTTGTAGGAAATTTCCCACAATAAAGGTCATTTAAGTCAAATCTCTAAAATTAAAGTTTTAAGAGATAAACTTAGTCATCAAAATTTGTGTTTTCAGAAAAACATTCTACAGGATGCCCCATGTATTCTTCTATGTATGGGTATCTTTTTTTTTTGAAAAGCTACAATTTCGGTTAAATAGAGAACAGTTGCGTAATTACAAGTCACAAGGCATTTAAAAATTGGACAAAAATCAGCGGTTCTCAAATAATTTAAATAAAAATTAAAACCTGTTAATACCAAAAATAGTTCGTTATTTTTGGGAATTTGAAGGAGAAGGGAGTTTTACATGTAAACATACACATTTAGATATATTTTATATAGAAAACAAAATAAAGAAATCCAACTATGTATTAAGGTTGTCCTGGAGTGAGTGTCGAATGATCAGGATTTGATAAAAATTTACAAATAAATTCTTTATGATGCTTCACATCACCCTGTTTAATTTAATAAAAATTCTTGTCGTTGGAAGCCGAGTAAATACATTTCAGTTGAGTAAAAATACACGGGTTCTTATGGCAGCACGTGGATTTTTACTCTTTTCTCCTGCAAAATAATTATTGGTAATGATAGGATTGCAATGAAAAATTAGTATATCGTGGAGCGTAATTTCAAACCATGATACGTGAAGTTTCATAATAATCATGTCGGTAAAAAAAATTTGACGCCTGCACTGGAGATTCATGGCAACGTCGCTGACGTCAGATAGGAACGCTCTCGCCCGGTGCTGCATAGGTGTGAGTGAGAACGTATGTAGCAAGCGTGAAGGGTGAAAGAGACAGAGAATACTACGTTGCCAAGCGTTGCGGCTGTTATTGGCGAAATTTTTAAAAGCGATGTTATAGATTTTTATTCATTCACATACACTATAAATTCAAATTTATTCATCATCATTAGGGTGTACATAATAACAAAGTTTTTTAATAATAATAATTTCTAAATAAACAAATCATTTAATTCTTGGAAAGCACCTAGGTTAGCTAACCATAGGATGGTAGAATTGTGCATTTTCCAAGAATAAACTGGATTAAACAAATAAATTAATAAAATTATTTTTAACATTTTTATAAAGATATAAAGATAAAACAAAATATATTCATGTACAATCAAGAAAAAGAAAGTCAACCAAAATTAATAAAATAAAGTTTATGATAAACAATGAGAAATAAAAGAAACAACGCCTCATGAACTAACAATGCAATTACGTTGCAAAATAATAAAAAAATCGCCAAAAAATGCATACCCATGGGTATGCATATTAATTTTGGTTGCAAGTAGTTGGCAACGAATTTTAAATCTAATGCTGTAGGATAGGACACAGTTCTACCACGATCCAAACACACAAACTCATGCCCGGACAACCTTAAACAACATAAGTTATGGCCAAAAGATGGTGATGGTACGTTACCATTGGTAACTCAAAATATAGTAGCGAAAAAAATGGATAAAAATGTAGATTAATGTGCATGTTTACATGTAAAACTTGTTTTTTTCTAAATGCCCAGGAATAACATTTTTCGTTTTAATAGATTTTTAGTTTTTTCTAAATATTTTGGCTTTTTTTTAATTTATAAATTCCATCTTAACAATATTGCATATGCAACTTTTTTCTAATTTGTAGCTCCTCAAATAAAAAAAAATACCCTTATATATTTGGTGCACCTTGTATATCACTTATTACTTATAACTTTATTATTTTTGGCATGATTTTAAAAAATTAAACGCCATTTTATTAAATTTTTATAAAACATTTTTAGGTGCTGATAGTCTCGAATATTTAAGCGTTGAAGGTTTGGTGAAAGCCGTTATGAAAAATCTCGATAAAAACAACGGTTCAAGACACTGTACCGCGTGTTTAACAGGGGATTATCCAGGTGGAATTCCCGACGAATTAGATTGGTAAAATTTGCACAAAAAAAACAAAAAACAGTATTATTGTTAACATGGTAAAAAACGGTGCTGGTTGCCTATATTTAGTTAAATTTCTTTATTGTAAACTATCTACTTAATAAATAAGTATATTAAACTAATATTGTTTTATTTTGTAAAAAGTACTAAGAATGACTTCGTTATATAAATAACCTAGGAGCAACACTCTATTTAATGTCATTATTAAAGAAACCTGTTTTAAGTTGGTTAAAATTTTAACAGATGGCGCATTAATAGATTCAATATAAAATCGTTAAAATATTGTTAACTAGTATGAATTTCCAATGAACAATTAAAAATACCTGGATTTTAAGTTATATTGCGTGTTTTAAACTGAATTTAAGGTTTTAATTGCACAAATTAAAAATTCATCGGCGATCGGTTTTGACCGATAATTTCCGATTGTGCACGAGCTTGCATTAGGTGTGTTTCTAAAATTTAATATGACAACAATTTCGTTGGATTGATTAGTTTATTTGTTGTAATAAAACGTGAAACAGTGTTATAATGTGTGGGAAATAAATATGTTTACAGTGTGTGATAAATAAGTTGGTATTTTGCGAAAAAAGTGTAAAGTTTACAAAATGTCATCCCTGCACGGATTGTCAAAGTTAAAAAAGAAACATTTTCGCGTAAAACACCAAAAAGTCAAGTTATTCAGGGCAAATGAGCCCTTCTTGTCGGTTTTTATGTGGGGAATAAACCATACAGTAAGTATTTACAGTACTAATTCTATTATTCCAGTGTTTTTGACAGAAACATTACAATGCAGAAAAGTTTAAATTTATCAGTATTTTAGCAATTAATAGCTTTACCGGCTTAAATTCATAACAATTAAAACAAGTACTTTAATGATATCGCAATAAAAGTATAAAAAATGCCATTATATTGCATACAGAGCGTCCCAAAAAACTATAATAAAAAAACGTGTATTTATTCAAATTAGGTAGCAAATAAACTACCAGATTTACTAATGAAACAACCATGTCATTACTTTGACAGCTACATAACCTTATTTTTTGCATTAATTTGTCAAACTCATGTCTCTTATTTTCATAAAAATAACAGTGTTATTTCTATCATTATTTTATTTTTTGCAGTGTTGCCATTATTGCACCACCCTGTATATCACTGTGTAAATATTGTTCTAATCTAAAAATAAACCATGGAAAGTCCATTTTTATACTGTAATTACATTATAAACATTTAAAAATATTAAAAATAAATATTGATCGATTATGATTACAATTTTAGGTAGTATGATTAATATTTTTGTTTTTTTTTCCTTTTAGATAAATGAACTTATGCATGTCACAATACCGGTAATGTTATTACCTGACGATTTTAGAGCCTATTCAAAAATAAAAATAGATAACCATCTATTTAATAAGTAAGTATTTTTTAATTTTCAATGAAAAATCGGATTCATACCTAGATCATGTTATATTTATTTGGCTGTTAATATACGTGCATTTTTTTTTGTTTGCTTGCAGAACCTATAGGTTATTTTACCTTATATTTTAAATTATTTTTAATAACTAAACTAGCTTATTTAGGTACGTAAAATTAGAAATCAGAAATAAAGTATCATTATTTTAAAACTAACCGTTTCTGAAATAATTAATAAAGACCTGATATTGCAAAACAGTTAAAAATGCCAGAAGGCATTTTCGTTGTTTATCAACTTTTTATTTTATATGTACTTGTAGAATCACCTCTGAAATATATGAACGTTATTTCCAGACACCCTGTATTGGAGAATCAAAAGATACCATTGACAGTGCCAATTTGGCACATGCTTAAAAAATGATCTGTTTCAGATTTAGAAAAGTTTGAAGTTTTGAATTTTTAACAAATTCAAGATTTTGAAATTTTTCAAATTTTTAAATTACAACTTTAATAAGGTCTTTTAGCTCTGAAACTAAGCATTTTTTGAGAATGTGACAATGGTTACTTTTGATCATTGGGTCATGTTCTACAACAGGGCTGTCCAATAGGCTGGGTCAAAAAATTTATTTTTAGAAATCTTATTTGGTATAGCTTAAAAATGTTGTTAAAAGGTTACACAAATAAGATGTTTTTTTTCAAATTTTTTAAAAATGTTTTGCCGCGCTAAAAGTTTTAATATGCAACTCTTTGATTTAAAAAAAACTAGAGCTGTGGGGCGCGGCTTAAAATTAAAATATATAAATAATTTTTTTTTTATTTTAAGTGAGTTTATAACTAATAGTTTTTTAATATCCAAATCCAAAATTTAACTTTAAAAAACATTTTTTATTGAATTTTATGAAATATTAACCCCCGGGGGCGCGTCTAAAACTGTTTTTAAAAATTTGAAAAAAAACAGCTTATTTGTGTACCCTTCTCACAACTTTTTTTAACTATTCTAATTGAGATATCCAAAAATTTAAAATGTCCTTTTCGACCAAGCCTACTGTCCAAGGGCCGCTGTGAATAAAATCGCCGCGTCATAGAATACTTTATCAGTGATTTGTAATAGGTTTAAAATTGTTTGGATAGTTATTTTTATTTATTCAAAAAAATAACAAATATATAAAAAAAAATAGTGGGAAGTTTATCAATATTAACTTTAATATTTGTTGTTGACAAACAAAGAAACTGAGTCAGTGACTTATCAGACAGGGAACACCTATATTTTGATTAAAAATCCTCCATTTCTTGTCCCACTGTGTCGGACTTCTCTTTATTTCTAAGAAAATTGGGAATCCTCTGCGCTTAACCAATATCAGTGTCAAGTAGGGTTGTGGAATTGACCGGTCAAATTGTTTTTGGTCAATTGACCAAAATAAAATTAAATAAAATATCAAAATAAATATTACTGTGATTTATTTGTACTTAAATAGGTAATTAAAATACGTTACCAATTTTTTTATTATAAAAGTTATGTCCATCTTTAGAAACGTTTGTGCGGCTTTAAAAAGTTATGTTTCGCTATTAAAAAAGATATGTTCCGCTTTAAGGGCAAAGCGCCGAGTCCGGCCTAGCAACCCCTCGACTCGGGGAACCACCAAATTGTAAATGATGTCGTTATTGCACGATCGAAAAAATTTTGAGATTCACGGGTAATTGTTGATACCTAAATTAAATCTGCAAAAATTAAATATATTTTGACCGGGACCGGATAGGTAGCGGTCAATTGACCATCCCCAACTCTAGTGTCAAGTAACAAGTCCCACAAAACTTTTTGTGACTCAATTAACAACCACTTTCATCACTTTCATTTGACATAAGGACTTTTCAGTGAAAAGTTTTCACATAATATATGTATATATACATTAGGGTGTTCCTTATTTAGGGGTCGGAAAAAATTTAACAGAGGCGCCCCCCAAATCGGTTCCAAATCATAAAAAAAAAATTCCTATAAAATTTTAGGTCAACCGGTCAAAGGAAACACGTGCCCCACAGGGGTTTTTTAATAAATAATTGAGAAAATTCGGAAGGCTGATATAACTCCGAAACGGTCCATCGTAGGAAAAAAAAGTGTATATAAATTTTATGTGTTTTTTTTAGATAAACAACTTTCGTAATAACAGTCCTGCGTTAAAAAAATTTATTCGGGGTCAAAACGCGATAAAACGCTTTTTTGTGTACTTTAGCGCTACCTACTTTTTGAATTTTCTGTCCTAGAGCATCGACCCAATGACATAAATTGTAGGGGACAATGCACCCTACATTTTTTGTTGACAAAATTTTTTTCTTAAACTAACCGATTTTGAAAAAAAATTAAATCCAAAACTTTTTGAGTTTTCACCAAAAACACGTAGTGCTCCGAAACGGTTTATCGTAGGAAAAAAAAGTTAAAATATATTTTGTAGTTTTTTTCAAGCTAATCAACTTTCCCAATGCCTTTGTCACAATAGTGATAATGTTAATGGTAATGATAATAAAGCATAGACAAATGCGTATATCAACGTAACCATCAACATTACCATCATTGTGAACGGATACACGCATATTTCTATGCTTTGGGTATTAACATTAACATTACTATTAACATTAACACTATTGTGAGGTATAATAATAGTGCTGCGTTAAAAAAAAATCGAGTTCAAAAAGCGATACAACGCTTTTTTTGGTACTTTGGCCCTACCTACTTCTGAAATTTTTTGTTCTAGAGCATCGACTCAATAACATAAATTGTAGGGACTACATATTTTGATTAAAAATTTTTTTCTAAATCTTATCGTTTTTGAGTTTTCTCCTTAATCCGGAGTAGGATAACGCGTTTTATCGCGTTTTGACCCCGAATAAATTTTTTTAACGCAGGACTGTTATTACGAAAGTTGTTTATCTAAAAAAAACACATAAAATTTATATACACTTTTTTTTCCTACGATGGACCGTTTCGGAGTTATATCAGCCTTCCGAATTTTCTCAATTATTTATTAAAAAACCCCTGTGGGGCACGTGTTCCCTTTGACCGATTGACCTAAAATTTTGCAGGAATTTTTTTTTATGATTTGGAACCGATTTGGGGGGCGCCTCTGTTAAATTTTTTCCGACCCCTAAATAAGGAACACCCTAATATACATATATATATATATTTTTTTTATTTCTATATTTTTTTAACCGCGGGCCTCATGTTGGACCGGGACTCATTTCCCATAGAATTAGTCTGGGGTCCTATGTTTCGCATATTTTTGTAAAATGTGCCTCGAAAATTTCTAAAATATTTATGAATTTAGAAATAAGTATTCAAATATTTAAAAAAAATAATAAAATTAGTGCCACATTTTATTTATTTTAATTTGACAATAAAAAACATTTTTTTTTAAATGGAGAATTTTTTAGAGAAATCGATTCCGAGCCTTGTAACCTAGACCATACGGGATATACTTTATAAACTAAGCTCCTTATAGTGATACATGAATCTTCGAGTCCTGAGCACAATTCCGCGCGCGAGGCCCCAAGGATGATGTCATTCTACATGATATGAAAGACATTTTCATACATTTATGCAGATATGTTTGGAGGGTTTACTATTTAAAAACAACAAAACTTACAATAATAATAAATTTTGCCAAGGGACAGAAAATACAGTATATAAAATTTACATTTTCAAATTTTCCGAGAAATTTTTTAAAAACCAAACAAAAACACCTGGTCCTTTCAAACAATTGAAAACCAACTACCAATTTCACACTTGCATTTTTACTAATGCTTTTTTCCACTCGTTTGTTGCACTACAAAGAAACAGGACAGAAGGGACAAAAAATGTTGTCAAAATTTTAATTTGTTCTAAATTTAAAAAAATATCCTATGTTATTTTATTAAATTACAAAAAACGTTAATGGGACATTTTGAGTTATGCTAATCATTTTAAACATTAAGTTTAGGAGATTATAATTTATAGAAATTCAATTTTTATCTATTTAAAATTAAATGCCATGGGGAAGCCATTTTTTTAAATTAAAAAAAATGCCCTAAAACTACATAACCTTATTTTAATTTTAGGGAAAATATGCCATCTCATTTCAAGGTCAAAGAATATTGTCCTATGGTTTTTAGAAATATCCGTGAAAGATTTGGTATAGATGATTTAGATTACAAGGAATCTTTAACAAGGTAATGTAAATAATATACTTTTTTTTATTTATAAATTAATAATAACATATATTTTATCAATTTTTAGATCCCAACCATTACCTGATGATTCTTCAGGCAAAAGTGGAGCAAAATTCTATTTAAGCTACGACAAAATTTTCATAATAAAGACTTTAACTTCCGAAGAAGTTGAGAGAATGCATTCATTTTTAAAACAATACCATCCTGTAAGTATCATAATTAAATACTCTTTTTATTATTATTCTTATTCTTCTATACCCTGTATAATAAAAGGGTTTTTATATAATCAACTTCTTACGTAATAATTTCTTTTAGTTTATCGTAGAGCGCCACGGAAAAACGCTGTTGCCGCAATACCTCGGAATGTACCGACTCACCGTCGATAATGTAGAGCACTACATCGTAGTGAGTCGTAACGTTTTCTCGAACCATTTGAGTACACACAGAAAGTTCGATTTGAAAGGTTCCACAGTGGACAGAGAAGCTTCGGAAAAAGAGCGGGAAAAAGAATTACCGACATTAAAAGATAACGATTTCGTTAACGAACAGATGAAGGTGAGTTTTGGGGGATAAAAATGACATCTGTCAGATGTTTATGACGTTTGACGTTTATGTTTTTCATTTATTAGGTTTATATTGGAGAAGAAGCAAAGTCTAAATTAATGGAAACTTTGAATGCAGATGTGGATTTCTTGACCAAATTGCATTTAATGGACTACAGTCTTTTACTGGGTTAGTACTTTTTGTTTTTAAAATTTAAAAAATTAATATTTTTTTATTTTACTTTCAAGAAAATATGTTAATTTAATAGTATATTATTTATCAAGTTTGATAAACGCCATTTTATACACGAATTTAATTTTGCTTAAATTAATGAGTGGATAGAAAAGTTTATAAACGAGGTGCATACTATACTTTTTCTATGAAAAATACTTATTATTATCTTAAAATAATTTAAATCAAAAATTTGTATAGATCGCCATCTATGAAACAATAGGGGAATCTGTGTGTCACCGTCAAATGTCAAATTTTTATATTTTATAAACACAATTATAAAGGTTATAAATCAAAATGTATTTCTTGAAAATTGACAGTTTTTCACAGTGAAAGTAAAGAATATGTTTTATGAGCACTTTACAGTAGAGTCCGTGTCCGAATTTTATAGTTTACTGCTGGCGAAATTAAAAGGTCAGTACAATGGTACAACTTTTCAAATATTGGCGTTGAGAAACTATTTAATACTTTTGTATTTTTGTATTGAGATAATAAAATAATTTTCTCATTTAGTATTATTTTACAAGAAAGGTAATTTATTTTAACGATTGTATGACATTTGACAACTGTCAACTAACTTAAAACTAACTTCAGTCCGTGACTAAAAACCTGTTGCCAACTTCAGCCCGTGACTAAAGCGCCATAAAGCCACAACTTGTCAATGTGTATTTAAAAGGTCACTTAGTGTCATGGAAACATGTACGAAAAGGGCGTTTTAAAAGTGGGCGTAGAAAAAAAAATTTTTCTACCCCCACCTTTAACATGTACATGTTTCCATGACACTAAGTGACCTTTTAAATACACATTGACAAGTTGTGGCTTTATGGCGCTTTAGTTACGGGCTGAAGTTAGTTTTAAGTTAGTTGACAGTTTTCAAATGTCATACAATCGTTAAAATATAGTGCATTTCTTGTAAAATAATACTTAATGTGAAAATTATTTTATCATCTCAATACAAAAAGTATTAAATAGTTTCTCAACGTCAATATTTAAAAAGTTATATAAACATTGTACTGACCTTTTAATTTCGCCGGCAGAAAACTATAACTTAAATTCGGGCACGGACTCCACTGTAAAGTGCTCATAAAACAATTTTTTTACTTTCACTGTGAAAAATTTAACAGTTACCTAACTGTAAATTTCCAAGAAATACATTTCGATTTATAACCTTTATAATCTATGTTTATAAAATATAAAAATTTGACATTTGACACACAGATTCTCCTATTGTTTCATAGATGGGGCTCCATACAAAGTTTTGATTTAAATCATTTTAAGATAATAATAAGTATTTGTCGTAGAAAAAGTATAGTATGCACCTTGTTTATAAACTTTTTTATACACTCGCAAGCTCGCTTGTGCCCAAATTAAATTCGTGTATAAAATGGGGTTTATTAAACTTGATAAATAATATTCTATTAAAAATGCTCAACAAAAGTCAGCTTAATTAAACAATTTTAGAAGGTTTTTTTGAATTTTCAAAATGATAAGAAATTGAGTTTTCTTTGTTTAATTTTGTTCTCGTCACGCCATTACTTTTTACGTTTAAAATTAGAAATATGCTAAAAATGTATAGAGGTCGTTCAAAAAAACGCTGTGGCTCCCGTCCCGAGTAACGTCATAATTTTAAGATTTGTTATGTTACGATAAAACTAAAACAAACCAACCAATCCAACCCAAAACTTTTTACAAATTTATAAAATAAAAAAATAAAAAAAAATTGTCAACTTCTAGTAGTATCGAACCCGGTACCTCTCTCGCATGCCAAGCGACCGCCCTTCCATCTGAGCCATCCAGCCTAACACAAATTTTTATCGCTCGGGGAATAAAAACGGACTTACACTGTGTGACGTCAGTCGGGATCGAAGTTGAGCCCGGCCTCGGGACGGGAGCCACATCGTAAAAAAAATACCTTCTAAATTAATAAATTGACTTATTGAATAGGTATTTATAACTTGTTTATCGACTTTTGAAAAATAACCAATTATTGGTAATGATTTAATAGGTACGTTATTTTTACTATGTACATAATAACTATCCAAGCGGCCAAAAGAATAACGTGATAAAAAAATTGAATACCGCATATTTATGTAAAATAACGTTAAATCTACTTCATGTCTGTTCTCTCTTTCTAAACCTTTAACATTTATATTTTCCTTGTCTCTTTAATTTGTATTTCAAAATGGTATACCTCAAGTGGGTAATAAAGTTTACCGTGTAGTAAAATTTCTAAATATTGACAAACTAATTATATTTAGCATTAAAACTCAAACGCATCTTATCTTATTTATGAAAATAGCTATGATACATCATAAAAAATCTATGCCCTCTAAATATTCTAGTGTTTAAAATATATATATGACTTAACATCAATACACTTATGGTAGCCCTAGACTAGATTCTTTAATTTTCCGCGGTGAGATCCAAAAGGGTCTTTGAATTTGAGGTTAGGTCATCTGTCAAATTAATCTTTTCTTTTATAAGATTTGCCTATTTTCTTTCAGAATGTTATGGAAAGCTTGGTGAATGTTGCGGTTGTTTTTTCGAAATACCTACTTACTAGGACGCTTAAATTTAGGTTCCATTTTCGGAATCGAAATCGGAAAATATTCTGACAGTTTTTTATGGCTGTTATCAAATTTTTAAATTGAATCAGATACCAACTTTGTGAAAAAATTAAAAACGCATTGTAGCCAAGTTACCAGTTAGTTTGGGCTACTGTACGTAAATTTATTATGTAAAAAATACATAAATGTAGAAAACTTACATAATTGTATAATCTCTAAAAAAAATCATTTTATTTGTAATAAATGTTCATCTTTAATAATTTAATATGGCGTCTTTCAGAAAAAATTACCCTTTTAGTTTTTCACTTAAGTTATTTTTTTAAGCCATTATCAATAGTTCTTTAAACCTTAAAAAGTTTCCAGTCAAATAAGAAATATTAAGAAATATTTACAGCAATAAAGTGGTTAAATAGTAATTAAATTAAAAATATAACTTATGAGTAAAATTTAGTTTAGAGTGAACTATTTACGTTAAATTTACCTTTAATAATTATAATCTCTTAAAATAAAATAACCCATAAGTAATTATTTTTCGTAAAAGTTACGTTAAATAAACAATAAAATACATCAGAGTTGTGAAACTTTATGTTTCTCAAACAATGTAAAAAATTCATAATACAAACTTACTATATTACTATATTACTATATTACCTAATACAAACTTACTATATTACCTACTTGACAAGATTTTGTACTTTAATGACAGTTTTGAATGTTAATTCAATTAATTTAATTAAGTAATAAATCCGCAAAGCTCGACTATTTTACTGCTTTGTTTAACGTAGAAAATTAAACAAAATAATCAATTTCTTACCATCTTGAGATCAATTTAAATACAGGGTGTTGTACAAGCTCTATGACAAACTTTGGCTGGGTTAATTCCCTAAACATTTATTTATAAATGAACATGTGTTCGTAAACGCGCACCGCCCGGATGTAACTTTGGTTGTAACCATAGTAAATTCCTAAAGTATCTTACCTAAATTCTATTGTCAGTGACAGAGACCTAATCTAAATTATACTCTAAAGAAGCATGGCTAGTAGCGCCACCACGTGGCAGTTATCATTATTAGTAGGTATGGTGGAACTAAGTAAAACTCGGTGATTGTAACTTTATCTTTTAACTTTATTTAAGAGCCTTAATTCGTATGTCTTTGACTGACCACTAGAAGGCTAATATGCTCTTGACTAAATATTTATAAAATGAATATTATTTTTGCATTAAAACCAACAATCATCGTAACCAGAATTCAGCTTTTAAAAATATCGAGAAAAAACCTTGGCTTGATTTGTTGTGTTGTTGGGTGTATTTCGAGATAAAATCCTGAGTTGAGTTTTTACCGGTTTACCAATAAAAAGTTGAAATCCGAATGAAGAAATAAATTGCATACAGTCCCTGTAAATTTAAATTGTACCTATTACATAGATCATAGATGATAAATCATTAGTATTAGATACAATAAATACACATTTTAGTAATGATTTACGTGAAAGTTGTAAACATCATTGAGTAAAAATCATAAAACAAAGAAGTCGTCTAAATTCAAACAGCAGGATCCTTTGGCAAAACATGAAAATGCAACGATTTAGTTCTTGAATTTTATTTATAACTATAAACACAATCATTCACCATGATTATTCACCATGATTACTTGGATAAAATACAAACACTAACAACTATATAAACATATAAGCATTGAGTTTCAATGATATAAGGAATCATAAATCGAAATCGAGTACTAAACCAAAGTATTTTAGTTTTTACTTGGAACGCGAAACACCAATAACGTGAGCGATTTGGCTGTGCAATTGAACAAAATTCCTTTCTCTCTTTTGTGAAATAGTATATTAAAGAACTAATGTCATAAGACGTCATTTTGTCGCACGCGGACATTTTATAAAACGAGCGACGAAGGAGCGAGTTTTATAATGGACAAGTGCGACAAAAGGTCTTATGACATGAGTTCTTTATGCTATTTTATCTATTTTGCAAACATTTTATAAAACAAATTAATTGTATACCTTATATTTAATTTGGTGGAATTTTACTTTACATAGTTGGTATCACAGTTTGAAGTTTGAAAGGTCATTAACCTTTCAAACATTATCACATTCTTTCGCTATGGCGTCGTTAATTTACAATAAGTATTTACAATAAGCGGCTGTTAAAGAAGAAAAAAGGATTTTTTTTGGTGTTAAACAAAATTTATTGCACGAAAAGTCTCGTAAGTACTAGAAAACAAATCATAAAAATATTATAACCTATAGGTATTCAAAATTGTATTTTACCAGTAGCCAACCTATAAAATCAAAATTTTGGGTGGAATAAAGTACCTCATTAAAGAACCAAAAGCGGTGTTATAATGAAGTCATTATGAAACCAAAATAGATAAAAACTATTTATTTATTTTAAAATGATGCAGTTTGTATGCTTAAATGTATTAAACTAATTTTAGTAATATTTCTATTTCTTCACCAAAAGAAAACACAAAGTGCTTAAATGTATTGGTCATTCCTTGAATGCTATCGAACACCACCAGATGACGCGAGCGTTGCGAAACCCGATGCTTCTTTAGCGTATACTGGGAAGCTAAGAAGAAAAAAACAGAAAGGAGCATTTAGTTTGCGTCGAGAATGGTCGTTGCATAAGGCGGTAGTTACGCTAGCTGTCCTTGCCTTACGCATTGTTTCGGACGTCTCTGATAAATAATAAATATCCAAAAATCAGTCATACTTGGCGAATGGCGACTGTCGTCGCACTATTTAGTACGGCCAATAAAATAATAAGACTCCTTTCTGTTTTTGCTGGATGCTCCCGTGTACGAGTTTTGGTTCGTCCCGCGCATGACGTCACTTGATGAGTAGTTGCCGTGAGAATACACGAATAATAGTAATATTATTAAAGAAAATAGAGAAATATCTAGACATAGTGCGTTTTTATTAAACTTAATATTGAAAAAGTTATAATATGGATAATAGATGCTTTCAGTCCTTGATAACATGTAGGGCTGTAGTTTTGCGTTGGTGTTTTCAATTAAACTTATAGTCACTGTCCAGAAAATGTTTATAGGAAACAGAAGCGGTCTTAACGTTAATATTGTCTATTCTTTTTGTGGCATTTAAACACTGTTTCCACAAACCAAACTTTTTCGGGAATCGATTAAATTTAATATTTTTATTTAATGGGTTTTTCTTGGACTGGTTGTCCGAATTGCATCCAAATATGCCATACCGCATTTTAATAAATGCAAATGGCACGACACAAACTAAAACACAAACAAAACAAGTTAACGCAACACAAAAACAATAATAAACAAACTGAACAGGTTAACACAATGCAATAACAATAATTTGAAAACTGAAAAGTAATTCGAACCTTACCGAACACAAAAACAACAAGTTAAACAAAATAATAATTAAAAAGCACGTTAAAGATTTAAAAACACTCATCAAGTGACGTATTTAAGCCCCACCCAACATGCGCACCATCCTATCTTAAGGTGTAATAACACAACAAATCGATCCACGGGTTTTTTTCCGATATTTTTTTAACATTTTCCGGCTTTATTCTCAAAAAAACTCGTTTGTAACCTAAGCGTTTGACAGCTGATTATTAAAATTGGTACTTTTGTTACGATGATAACAGCCGAGTGGTGGCGCTACTAGCGTATAAGGCTCTAAGTTGATCAGGAAATTTAAAACTAAATTACAAAAACTTTTAAAGTTTGTTGTAGTAAAAATTTAACTACAAACTGTAACAATCAAAACATTTTTGGCCAAGTTATCGCATTTTTCAAGAAATAATAAATAAAAAGAGAAACGGGTGAACAAAACAAAATTAAGCAAAAAGAAAAAATAAAGGTCTTATCGATTTCGGTAGAGAAACTGTAAAAACAATTTCGTTAAAAAATAACGACCTACCCGTTTTTGCCTGTAGAGAAAGGCCCTATATTATGGGTGAAAATATTTAAATCTGGTCGAGTGTTCCGCCGGCACCTGCCGCCTACGTCAAAAAAATCGTACCGAACATTTCGTAATTTTTTTCCAGGTATTCACGAGGTGGAACGCGGCGAGCAGGAGCTGCAGCAAATGCGAGAACGCGAAGCGGAAAACCCGCAGGATTCGGACGAGAGCGAGAGCGGCTCCGGTCTCGAGAGCCGGAATTTCGGTTTCAACACCCCGCCCGACTCCCCGAACGCGGTCGCGCAATTCGTTCGCGAGCACAGTCTCCAATACGAAGGTAAACTTCAAATTTACCAATATCTTGATGTGTTACAAGGTACGAACGACAAACTAACTCTCTCACTAACCATCTCGATGCCTAAACAAGTCTGCCTCAAAGTTCATCTCTCACTAACTATCTCGTTGTTGAAATGTCAGTTAAACTTCATAGTGGCGTTTTACTGTCAAAGTTTGTTTTACAGTATTTTAACAAAAAAACGATTTTGAGGCACCTTTTTTTAGTTTTTATCAACAAGTTGATAGATTTGACAATAATTTCATAAATTCTTTGTTATTTATCGAGCTTAAAAACGTAAAAATGATCAATGTTATCAAATCTACAAGCTTGGGCGTAAATTGGCATCGATTGTAGGCAACCACACCACGCAGCTAGTAGTAGGTCGGTAGGCACTATATTTTTTCATGTTGTTGGAAGTTGGTAAAATTCAGTGAATTACAGAAAAATGTTTTTGTTAAAAAATTATAAAAATTCCAGAATTTTACCAAATAATTTTTTGTTTTAAATTTTGCCTTTTGTTTTGTTTAAACTAACTAAAACAATTAATATACAGAGTGTTTAAAAAAATGTTTTGCATGATTTTTAGCAGTAAAAAACAATACAAAATTGATTTTTTATACATTTTTCTCAAACAAAATTTTTTGGGTAAAACTTTTAAGGCTTATAACTCTTTTACTTCTTAATTTTTAACTGAAATTTGGTGACCTTTTATATAATAACGTTCTCAAATCGCAAACCAAATTTCATACTACCAACTAGGGTTTTAAAGGCTCGAAAAAAAGGAAAAATTGTCTTTTTTGTGAAAAATTGAACTTTTTTTGTAAAATATACACATTTAAAAAAAAACATAATTTTAATTAAAAAAGAATATGCTTTATTACAAAAACAAACATAAACGTGAAATATACTGTCGGTTGTTTTTTTTGCAAAAAGCAGTCCAATAAAAATATCCAACCACAAAATAATGAATGATTTATGAAGTTAAATTACAAAATTATAATTTTATAAATCGAAGTGTAAAAAAAAAGTTGTTTTAATACTTACATCACCAAATATGTTTTTTTTGCGTCCCGGTAGAATATTCTTACTAAATTAAAATAAAAGAAATAATTGTTAGAATCATAATATTATGATTATAATCAGCGTCGGAAATTCACTCTTTTCTCAAGATCAGTGTAGGGATATTATCCGTAAAATTTGGAAATTTTCAGAAAAATTGCCTTTGCATATTTACGATTACCCTTTGAATAAAATTAGTAATTTTTTCTGAAAATTTCCAATTTTTTCGTCTGCTTAATTTTTCAGGAAATTTTAAAACCCTACTACCCACCAGTGTTGCAAAAATCCTAATGTAAAAAATATTGCATTCGTCATTTATTTAATGGAAATGTAATTCTAATCCATTTCCCATTTAAAAAAATTTAATGTAAAACATTTTCAATTATCATTAAACAATTCAATAAGTAGTGTAGCAATACATTACACATTAAAAAGTTTGCAATAAGTAATGGAACATCTTACATTACTCATTAAAAAAAAAATGTGTAATGGGTAACGACCCATTAAATTTTTCTTACTTCAGCATACAAAAAATCAAATTTTGGTCTTTTTTGTCGATGTGAAAAAAATTCTAATTTTGACAATTATTCAAAATTTGAAAAAAAAATTGAAATTTTTCAAAATAATTAAAATTTTCAAAAAAATTCAAATTTTAAAATGATGACATTTTCAAAAAAATCGAATAAAAAGTCTAATTGAAAAAAATTCAAATTATGACAAAAATTCAAAAAAATTTCTTAATTCCAAAAGGGCGTATGTCTCGAGATACGCCATTTTGGCGTTAGTAATTCAAATATTTTTTTACAGATCTTGACGTTTTGAACGATTTTAAGTTGAATGGCTCTGAAACATTTTTTTATCCGCCCTTTTGGCACAAAACCCTATCTAACTGCTGTAGTACGCCCTTTTGGCATTTAAAACGCGATATCTTTAAAAGAAATATTTCCCTAAGTTCCAGTGGCGGCTGGTGGATTTTATGTATACCAATATCTCAGTTATTAGACATGGGACCCACACCAAATTTATAATAGTTTATAATGACATTAAATAAACAAGTTCGGCGCAAACAGAATTTAAATTGAAGTATGCGAAAAAAAGGTAATTTTTCCTGTCGCCTCACCTGCCTCCAGGCCCCCCTATTTGAGATAATTCAAATTAAAGTGGTGCAATTTATTATCTACTATAATTTATCTATAAATTTAAAATTTTATTTAAAAAATCCAAATATTACAGATTTTATTTGATTTTAAATTTTTATTATTTATTTTAATAAAATAAAAAAATATTTAAAATGGTATAAAACCTGTAATATTTGGATTTTTTAAATAAAATTTTAAATTTGTCGATAAATTATAGTATATAATAAATTGCACCACTTTAATTTGAATTATCTTAAATACGGGGGCCTGGAGACGGGTGAGGCGACAGGAAAAACTAACTTTTTTTCGCAAACTTCAATTTAAATTCTGTTTGCGCCGAACTTGTCTATTTAATGTCATTATAAACTATTATAAATTTGGTGTGGGTCCCATGTCTAATAACTGAAATATTGGTATACCCAAAATCCACCAGCCGCCACTGCTAAGTTCCATACAACCTATATTCGTTACAAATAATTCCTAGATATATTATTATGATATCCAATGCAAATCGTGCGAATAATAAAAAACAAATGTTATCTACAACAAAAAATAATTTCCGTAACTGTTAAAAATGAGCAATAAAATACTCATTTTTCCCCCATTAAAAAAAATGAATAATGAAATAAATCCACATTACTCATGAAAATAAGAAATGTAATGTAAATTCTTATATTACTCATTAAACATTTTAAAATGAGAAATGTACAAGTAATTCTCCATTACGAAAAAAAATGAGTAATGTAAATTAATTTTATTACTCATTATGATAAAAATGAGCAATGAAATATCATTGCATTAAAAAAAATGCGTTTTTTGCAACTCTGCTACAAACATTTTAATAACAAAAGTTACAAGCCTATAAAGCTAAATCCGACGTTTTCAAAATTAAAAAATGAAGCTTTGCTTCTGTATCAATTGTGTTTTGTATTTTTTGTACGTACTTGCTATACTCTTTTTTTTTAAACTGAAAAATTCCGGGTAAAACTTCAAAGGTGTATAACTTTTGCTTTCTTAAAGATTTTTGGTTGAAATTTAGACTCCTTATCAATAACACCATTTTTCTAAGCACCAGCCTTAAAAGCACTAAAGTTAAATGCCGTCAAAGTCACACCCGGCATTTTTTGCATTTTGAACAGCATATACGTTACACCCTGTGTCTTTCGTTTTTCACAGGTGGTATTATTCCGGAGCTGGATATCTACGCTATACCCAGCTGCGAATCGGCCCCCGTAAAGGAAATTTATTTTGTTGCCATTATCGATGTTTTAACGCATTACGGCGTCAAAAAACAGGCCGCCAAGGCGGCAAAAACCGTAAAATATGGCAGCAATGTCGACGGTATCAGCACGTGCGACCCCGAGCAGTACGGTAAAAGGTTCATTGATTTTATGTCGAAAGCTATAGAGTAAAAACAATTTTTTTCTCGCGACGTTTTTTTTTACTTTTAAATATTCTGTCAAATTTGTGGCAACGTCGCGTTTTTCTTCGATGGCCTAAAACGACTGTCGAGTCCGTAAGTTTGCAAGGTTGTCAAACTGTGCTGCGAGTCAATATTATAACACTTTTTGTAAATTAAGGTTTTTCACTTTTTTCCTACCACAAGTTAATCTGGCAACCCTGCTCTAACCTTGCGAGCCGTATTTAATTAAAAACATATCTAAGGACTTTTGGCAACTTTGCCTTTATTAATCGCTATAAAAAGCTTGCCAAAATTTTTATTGTTGTCATTTTTGTACGGGGTGTCTCGAAAATGGCGCATTTATTAAGTCGCAACTACATTTGGCCACTCTGTAGTTATTTGAAAAGTAACCTCAATGTTTTGCACAGTGTTGCCGTGTTTATGAACATGGAGTTTGTGCAGCAATTTTGCGACACCTTGTATATTATTTATCTTTTTTAAATCGACTATATAGCAATAATTTCTAGTCTCTGTAAATTTTTTGCAATATATTAAACCAACCATAGGTATTGTGTAAAGTGTAGTATTATGTATAAAAAAGCTCAATAATATTGGGAATATTATTCTCTTTTTTTCTATCGTTGGCAACCACTTTCGACGTTTTATAAAACTAAAATAGTTGCCAATTTCAACTACTGTACTCTTTTTGATGTACCATAGAGATAAAAAATTAGAATGTATTTAAAAAAATTATGCATTTAAAATGAGAATTTTGCTTTAATATTATGATTATTTGTATATAGTTAATTTCGGTATGTGATTTTATATTTCAATAATTAGCTGGTTTATTGTGATTTTTTTACATCCGAGTTTTAGTAAATCCAGACTTAAATTGTTGAGGTTATGTCACATAAGCTCAACTTTTAAGTTTTAAGGTTATGTTTTTTTTACTTGAAGCAGTTTTTGTTATTTCCTATTAAGATAAATGTATTTCAATGTATAGATAGATAAGGACTGAATCGCCGATATATTAAAAAAATTAAATAAAAAAATGTAGGTTTAAAAACACTTTTTTGGAAAACAGGGCTTAAGTATCTTTAATATTCCCGAATTAATTTTACAATAAAAAAAATATATAGGGAAAAATTGTTATTTTTAGTTGTGTAAATAAATTGCCTAACTTTTTAACACACTTTCAATTGTTTTTAAACAGCACAGATAAAAGTAAATAATATATAAAAATTTTGTAAATATTTTTTCCAAGTTTTCTATTTTCTATAAAATGAATAGCTTTATTGATTGTTTTTCTTCGCTATTATTTGTATTAAATGTAATAAATTAGTGTTTTAATAAAAAAATGTTTTATTCCTCTCTATTCTACCTAAGTCTATGGCCCAGATCATAAAGGTCTATAATGAGAACATGGCAACGCTGCCTTATCAGTATTGATTTATTGTTGACCAAAGCGCCGTTAGATGTCGCCTTTAAAAAAATAGAGCAGCCGTCTTGATATATAAATAAACGAAAGAATAAATTTAGAACAGTAAACAATGGAAGATCAACAAAATATTTGCAGAGTATGCTTAAAAATTGTTAACAGCGGATGTTTTAAGTATTTAGAGGAAATATTAGACATTAGAAAGGGTGAAACTATCAGGGATTTACTGCATTTTTGTGTACCAGAAATAGTAAGTCTTTTTTGTTTAACGGTGTCAAATTTAAAATGTTTTTTTAGGACTCCTATGTTTCTGCAAATCCCATAGTATGTTTGGGTTGTTACGACAACATAGTCAATTTTTACAGCTTTAAACTGAAATGCATGGATAGTGAAAACAAAATCAAAGAATACATAATAAAAAACAATCTGGTGGAGTATAACCATGTAAATTTAAACTGTGTTTTAAACGATAAAAAAAATACAAACAATTCATTTTCTAACAAAATTATTTTGGCAAAAACTGCAGCTAATAATTTTGTTATTATAAATGGTTACCAAAACAGTTTAATAAATGTCAAATCTTCAGGGGACAGGTTAGACTTTATTAATAATTATTATTTCACAAAAACCACATAATTCCTCAGACTATAATAGTAGGTATGTGAAATATTCATTCAAATTTGCGGATAAAATTTGAATTTTTGACATCAGTGGGGAGTGGTACGTTTTTTGACAACCAGTGAGGGGGGTGTCAAAAAAGGTTGAAAATCTTGTTATGTTAAACCCGAGGGGTCACCCACACCTGGGAATCCCTGGACATTTTAGAGGGGGAATACCATAGGAATACAATGGAAATACATAGGAATAGGTACAATAAAATATAATGGGAATACATGGGAATCCCTGGACGTTTTCCCTTTGGGTGGTTGACCCCTCGGTTAAACCTATTAGGTTTTAAATGTACTTATTTTGGTCTAAGGAATATGTGATGGATTTTTGTAAAGCCCTTTTAGAGACCCTGTAAAAATATTTTTTAGCACAAAATTGGAAAATTCCGATCTATTGTTATACTGCAAAAAATGTCCATTTATATCCACAGATGCTCTAAAAATGTCCCAACACAAATGTGATTTTTCCTTAAAAAAAGAAGAAAAAGATGACTTATTAAAACTTACAGCTACTGTGAAGTCTGTTACGAAACCCGTATTTTCTTGCGATAAATGTCCGTTTCACTCCACTAATTTCCCAAGTTTAAAACAGCATATTATGTCAATTCATGAACAAGGTGAGATTTTTGCAGTTCTAAAATAGGATTAATTTTTAACTAACCGATTTACAATGCACGGTGTACAAAATAAAATTTTTCCTTGGACAATTTTCGTTTTAGATGAATTCAAATACTGCTCGCAATGCGAATACAAAACCACCAACAATTTATTCCTTAAAAGACACATCCTAAGCCATTCGCGACCGTCAATAGTAAAATGCCCGCACTGCAGCTACGAAACCAAAGACCGCAGCAATTTCAAAAAACACGAGTTCATACACACCAACAAACCCAACCAGTGCAATTTTTGTAAATACCGTTGTGTATCCCCGTATCAAATGCGAAGGCACATAAAAAATATGCATAAAAAGGAAAGTAGAACAAATGGTAATAATTTTGATAGTATGTTTAGTAGAGTTGATGTCGAGGAGAAATGGATTGGACATTCCATGTAATGTATTGTACTTATAACCCTGTGATTAATTAATAAAATAAACATTTAATACTATCTATGTTTTTCAATGTCTGTGGTAGTTTACTTAAATCTGTGCTTAAATCTATGTTTTTCAAAAAACTTTCTTGGTCCATTTCAACAACTCTAGAGAGCATAGAAATAATACTCCATTATTATTCTATCATGGAGCCTAGAGCCTGTCTAGGCTTCATGATTTCTATCAGAGATATCTCGGTTTCTATCAGAGACTCCCTTGTCTCTATTTTCTATGATGTATACAAACTTGGTCTATTTGAACTACCAGACATGAAGTTAGTTACGTATTATGACGTTTGTATAATTTTGTAAATATTTACATGTATTTTCGTAAATATGGACAAATCTAAAGCACAAACATACATTTTAAGTGTCGATGATTTTGGACAAAAAATATGTACACCACAATCGGACTCCAGTAAAAGGTAAATTGAATAAATAAATGTAACACATAACCTTACTTTTACAGGCTTTACGATGTCAGTGTACATTTTGCGTTATTTTAGGTATATTTTGGATGCAGAGGAAATATGTTAGAATATCAGCCCGAGAATACCTGTGGAGATTTCTACGCGTGGGATAATGTAGAAAACAACGTTCTTTTGAAAGATTACACTACTTTTTAAGTCAATTTATTACAAATTCTGAAACATATCCATATTGGGCAGTTGTCGTACTATTTATACGATTGTATAGTAAATTTCTTGAATTGGATATGCCACAAGAGTTTCACTGTCCCTATAGATCTCCATTAGCTTATTTTGATCCAACAAAACCACACACTTGGAATGTAAAGTATATTGATAAATACCTCACTACTACTAGTGGATACAATGGATAATGTGGTTGATGATAGTGAATTATAAAAACAAGATTTATATATATATATATATATATATAGTTTTATTTTTTAATTACAAATTTGATGCCAAAAATATACAAAATATACATTTTCTTGAGTACATGCCAAATTATTTATATTATGTTTACCACAATGGTGAGATTTAAAAACTCTACAATACTCTTCTTCTACATTTAGAATATTATTTGAAATAATTTTTTTCAAACATTTCGCTTCAAAGGGTGATCAAATTTTAAAAACTTGCACACTTTTTCAAATTCCAAATCATCATCAAAACAGCAATCTCCATTATCCATCCAATAAGGGAGGTGAGTTTCTTCTTCTCCTTCTTAATTCCCATTCCAGCCCATGCATATTTTAAGTTGTGTACGTGAGATGGGTTAGTAACCTTAGACCAAATGAGTTGATGTTGATTGGAAGTCTCAAAAACTTGTGAACAAATTCCTTAGTGTTGGTATTTAGAATTGATATTTCCTTCGGCCAAAATGACAACCCTTCAGATTGATATTCAATTCCCTCGTTGAGAATAAACATTTTGTAGCACACGTTTTAACGTTTAACACACAAGTTGTAGTTAATTTCAATGCATTTAATGTAAATGAAAACATCTAATTATCATTAATAAGCAATATTGGAAATACAGCTAATTAAAATGTATCATTAGTAATCAATTAAAAATTGTAACATACGTCAATAGATTTAATTGCACATTATGATTTATTATCTATGATTAAATATACACATCTAATAAAAATTTATTTTATAAATTTAATTGCACATTACCTAATCAAAAAACCGCCGTTTTCGGTGAGTTTAAATTGTGGTCGATCGCGCGCTATAAAACGGCTTCCACAGAATTTGCCATGCATAAATTAACAAAAACATTAACTTCTTCTTCTTCTTCTTCAATAATTGTTATTCTCTCTTTCGAGAGAATAGACCTATCCCATAAAACAGACTTTTGGATAGCGCGTGCGTGAAAAGGCACGTCGTCTTTTTTTAATTATATAAAAGAGAAAGAGATACCACTCTTCTTCAGGCACGCGCTATCCAAAAGTCTGTTTTATGGGATAGGTCTATTGGACTTGAGCTTGGCTCTTACTGCCCAGTTACAAGTTTTAACGTCCTTGAGCTTCTCGAAGCCATCCACTCACGGACATGTGGAATTTCAAATCTTGAAACATCCACTACATCAATTGCACAAATCACAAAATTCCTCGCTGAAAGGACAAAGCTTGCGATATTGTCGAGAAATACAGGTATATTTCTATACCGGGAACCCCATTTTATCCCTCCTGGGTCAAAGTCAACTATTTTCAGACTTTTTCATGGAGCGATGTACACACGATGAAGGATAAAATCGAACTCCAAAAACATTAACAAAAACAACAATACATTTGAATACGGGAAATGGCTAATTATTGCATTTGTTGAGTTGAGTTGGCATTGCTGCTACAGACTTGGTCTATTTGAACTACCAGACGTGAAGTTAGTTACGTATTATGACGTTTGTATAATTTTATAAATATTTACATGTATTTTCGTAAATATGGACAAATCTAAAGCACAAACATACATTTTAAGTGTCGATGATTTTGGGCAAAAAATATGTACATCACAATCGGACTCCAGTAAAAGGTAAATTGAAAAAATAAATGTAACACATAACCTTACTTTTCCAGGTTTTAAGATTTCAGTGTACGTTTTGCGTTATTTTAGGTATATTTTGGATGCAGATGGAAATATGTTAGAATATCAGCCCGAGAATTCAATGTGTGTGAGTTTGGAAGGTCAGGGAAATGAAGATGAAAGTAACTCAAGTACCATAAATGAAAGTCAAGAAATAACACATTTCGAGGATACTTCGCAGTTAGGTGGGGGTTATTTATGTTGGATTTTGTGGTTTTAATGTATTTTATTGTAACGCTTTAAATACATCAACATAATAAGAAATATGTAAAGATCAATTTTATGATGTTATAAAAAGTGTAGATTTTTAAATTCTCTACAAGAAATCTTTGTTACATTTCTTATGTGTTATTAACCCTCTAGGGTTAATAAAATAATGGCATTTTAAACTATTGATATATTTTTTTAAAACTAGTTACAAAAAATGTTTTGGGCCTTTTTTGTAGAGAATTTAAAGATTTTTGTTTTAACAAATTTTTATTTAAACCAATAAAAAAGAAGATAGACACAAAAAAACAAATAACATCGTTTGACCAAACATTTTTACTTATTTTAGGTATAATTAACACATTTGACAGTGTGGGGGAGTTTGATCAAAATCTCATGAATGAATTGGATACTGATTTCATGAACATGGTCCCTGATCCTCAGTCACACTATATAATGCAACATATGGACATACGAGAACCACTTACAAAGCTAAGAAAGCTTTTGGAAAATAAATTATGTGTTAATTTACCGGATTATGCTTTTGTTTTGCAAGGAACACAAGCAGTAGGTTTTTTGTTTAAATATTTCTCCAATTAAAATTTTTTTTTACAATGTAGATTTTTTTTAATTGTGTTTTTAATTGCTTTTGATGTTTTACATGTGTAAACAACAAAATTAATCATATTTTATACATTCAGGTTGTTTAAAAATTAAAAATCAAGTAAATTAAACAAAGTTTGTGCTTTAAAAAATGCACAGTGCACCAAAAATATTTTTTAGGTGGCTTTTTTTCTTACAAAAACATTTTTAGCTTGAAGACCATAAAAATCTTGTGGATCAGTGTGTACAAGGTGAAGGTTTGGTTCAAGTCAATGTGCAAATTCAAACAAACTTGAAACGTATTAATATTATTGATGTTCTTAAACCTGCTGAAGATTATGTACATGTTGTTAAAGATGAGAGTGAAAATGAAGCTGAAGAGGCAACTGAACCAACTGAAACAGCTGAAGATGAAAGACCCAAGAATATTGTTCAATGGCAAGTTGATTTAAACTATAAAAAAGAGATGGAAAGGCTGAAAATACCATCAAACCCTGAGGAATGGTACTTAGAGAAAAATAATGTTATTTTATACTTTTTATGACATTTTTTTATACAGGACTGTATTACACGTACGCCACTGGGTACAGTGGGCGGTCCGACAGTTTAACTTGCCCAATATACGCCTCTCTGATTGGTCGATGACGGGAAAACAATTGCATGAACTTACCATGCAGGATTTTCAGGAAATTGTGCGTAGCGATCCTGGCGACATCTTTTGGACGCACCTAGAACTACTAAGACAAATGAAAGTTGTCGGTAGGTGGCTTAATGTCAAAATGTGACGTATGACGTCACAAAATGGCGGAATTCTAAGATGTTGATTTTTTGTATTTTTTAGCTACAAGACGGGTGGAACTAGTTAAAAAATCTCCCAAATTGATGAAACAAACCAAAGTAATTCTGTTTTAAACAATACAAATTTATTTTAGTGACGAATTTTTGACTTTTTTTTAGTCTACAAAAGTGATGCCAAACTATTATTACACAGAAGTAAAATATTTCGAAAATAATACGAATTCCACGAGTGGAAATAGGAATAACAGTAACGGTCAGATACAGTTGTGGCAATTTTTGTTGGAACTTTTGACCACTAATGAATATAAATCCATTATACAGTGGATTGGTAAGACATTTTATATGTAAATCTTAAAATTACATTAGAATACAATTAATTGAGGTTTAACGCGAATTTCGTCTTATATTCAAAAAATAATATAAGTAAATCGAGTCCATACATTGTATAATTAAACAGGGACTCAGATTTTAATCGGGCAAAATTTAGTAGTCAACATAACTCGGGAAAATAAAAAGAAAAGTTTATATGAACTTGGTGTACGCAGAAACGTTAATTTATTTATATCAACTGATTAACGCATATCCACTGATTTAAGTTTGAACCAATTTGACAACATAGCAAATTTTAAATGACAGTAGTATCTTACATATACTTAAATATGTGTTTATTACATTACACAGACTGTGTTACATTATAAGAGTGATACATTTTTAAAATGTATTATTAAATATACACATAAATACATTTATAACTGACTAAACCTTATTATTGACAAAAACGGCAATATAAAACACAACAATTGGGTTATGTTCGCAGTTTGCAATGTGTTTTGTTAAGCCCGTATTACAGTCTGCAATTCTACGTGCAATAATCTTGCACGTGCAAGTTTATTGCCGTTTCAAATTACACTGTAGGTAAATTTTCAACTCTTGAAATATCACAGCTAAACGCTCGGACACGTAAACATAATTTTTAGTCGTTGATTCCAAATCCGTGCTCAGTTTAGCTGTATCAGGTCTAAAAAAGTTTTTCCTGTCAAAAGTCCGATCCAGGGACTCACTGTATACTGGTATATTATAATTTGTAAAATAATATATTCATTGGCGTAACTACGCTGCCCCCCCCCAGAAAAAGGCTGACTTTTATCTGTTACAATTTTTTGTTATTACCAAATTTTCAATAGAAATATGTATTTATCATTTACAAATCTTAGGTTGTATTTTATCAACTTTCAAAATAGGAGTAGGTACCTATTTTAAAACCGCCTCTGCAAGCTCGCAACTAGCAATCAGGCTGGATGCTCCCGTGGACGAGTTTTGGTTCGTGCCGCGCATGACGTCACTTGATGAGTAGTTGCCGTGCGAATAAACGCATAATAGTAATATTATCAAAGAAAATAGAGAAATATCTGGACATAGTGCGATTTTATTAAACTTAATATTAAAGAAAGTGTTATGATATGGATAATAGATTCTTTCAGTCCTTGATAACATTTAGGACTGTAGTTTAAGAGTTGGTGTTTTAAATTACACTTATAGTCACTGTCCAGAAAATGTTTAGAGGAAACAGAAGCGGTCTTAACGTTAATATTGTCTATTCTTTTTATGGCATTTAACCACTGTTTGCACAAATTAAAGTTTTTCTGGAATCGATGAAATTTAATGATTTTATTTAAAGGGTTTTTCTTGGACTGGTTGTCCGAATTGCATCTAAATAGCACGACACAAACTAAAACACAAACAAAACAAGTTAACGCAACACAAAAACAATAATAAACAAACAGAACAGGTTAACACAAGGCAATAACAATAATTAGAACACTGAAAAGTAATTCGAACCTCACTGAACGCAAAAACAACAAGTTAAACAAAAAAAATAGAGCAAGTTAACATCCAACAGCATCGCAAAAACAAGAATTTTAGCATCAGATAATTAAAGATTTAAAAATAATCAACAAGTGACGTATTTAAGCCCCGCCCAAAATGCGCACATACACTTAAGGTGTATGTATCTTGCTAGCAATAGACCTATCCCATAAAGTTATAAAGTTATAAAGTGCTCTTTTAGTTCCACCCTTACATCCAAACTAAGATGTATCTCTTTCTCTTTTATAATTAAAAAAAGGAAGAGGTGCCTTTTCACGCACGCGCTATCCAAAAGTCCGTTTTATGGAATAGATCTATTGCACAATCCACAATGTTGTGTGTATTGTGGTCTATTGTATCTTTTCATAACAACAAACTGTCATGCGCGGTACAAACGGTCATCAATTATTTTTGGACACGTCCTCAAGATCACATTGTAGTAGGTACTTACTTCCTTTCTCACTGAAACTCTTTGTTCAAAAAATTGTTATTTGTGCCTTTTGGAGACAACATTTGTTTTACTTACCCCCTGGGTCAGATGGCTAGTTACTCCAATGAATATATTTCACCTCTTGTGCCAACATTGCTATGCTTTTTATTTCAATAAACATAATATCCTCAATTATACTCAATAAAAAAAAAGTTATCCAAAAAACATTTTCAATTTTTTAAACTATCTATAAAAAACTCTGTTCCTTTTGATCAATTAACTTAAAATTTTGCAATAATTTGGAACTGATGTGTAGATCCAGCCAATTTTTTTTTTTTAATTTATTTAGGATCATTCAGTGATAAAGATAATTATCATTCAGTCTTGCCAACATCAGTTTCAAAAAACACCATGTAAAACTAAATGTATAAATGGCACAATTTTTCGTTAAATCACATTAAATTAGGTTATAATAATATTAAATTCTGGCTAAATCCACCGTAAGACGAAATCAGCGTTAAATTGAACACAGTGACTAGAGGCACGCTAACGTACCGAGATTGAAAATGTTAAAGGCACGTTAGTTACGTCATAATTATAATCCGTTTTTGTTCCCCGAGCGTTTAATATTTGGCAACAAGCTAGGTAGCTCATTTGGTAGGGCGGTCGCTTGGTATGCGAGAGGTCCCGGGTTCGATACTTAAAAATTATCGAACTTTTTTTATTTTTTTATTTCATAAATTTGTTGTTTCTTTGTTAAACAGTGTTCGGTTGGGTTGGGTTGGTTGGTTTGTTTTAGTTTTATCGTAACATAAAATCTACTAGAAGTTGTCGAACTTTTTTTATTTCATAAATTTGTTGTTCCTTTGCTAAAAAGTGTTTTATTTTTATCGTAACATAAATTTGCCCATTTTAGTTTAGTTTTTTTGCTCAATGGGGCGGGGTCGGTTGGGTTGTGTTGTTGAGTTTGGGATGGTTTGGGTTTATGACGTAATTAACGTGCCTTTAACATTTCGAATCGCGGCACGTTAGCGTGCCTCTAGTCACAGCGTAAATTGAAATACATATAACCTCAATTATTTTACTGCATTCCTTATTCAAATGTCAAAGTGGGACTTTTTAATGTGAAGCTTTAGCAAGTATACTTGGTAATGTTTACTGGACGACCTTGTAATCTTTGCATCTTGGTTTACACTTAAAACGTCACTTTTGACGTTTCTAATACTCTTTTCCTTTTAAGGGGATGAGGGTGAATTCAAGTTCACCCATCCGGCAGTGGTGGCCCATTTGTGGGGTCAACGAAAAAACAAACCCACAATGAACTACGAAAAATTATCTAGAGCGCTTAGATATTACTATGATGGCGACATGATTTCCAAAGTGCATGGAAAACGTTTCGTCTACAAATTTGTTTGCGATTTAAAGCAACTTTTAGGTTATAGTGCAGTTGAGTTAGCGAATTTGGTTAAATTTAATGATCCTAAAATCGAAACACCCACATTCAGTTTGAATGATGAAACATATGATTAATTTTTTTGAGTTGTTTTAATACTGTGATACGATTAATACGAGTTTTATATTAATAAAAAGAAATGTAAAATTAAATTGTGTGTTTTATTTGGTCCATCTATGGTTTATTTTCTGGTTACCAGACTCTGGTACTTGACAAATAAAAGTGAACAAAACTGAAACAAAAAATGGCGTAATTTAATTATCATTGTGAATGAAAGATTTCTTTATTTAGGAACTGGTTAAAAATAATAAGATTTTTACCTGGGATTAACTATAACAGGCTGTGAAAGGTTATTTCAGGTTAATTCTCGATATTATAATATAACTTCTACAACCCAACCAACAAACCACCATTGTATTTTAACAAAAACACTTAACAAACTTGTCGCTTTGAGGTTATGACAATGACATTTAGGTTCAGTTATAACTTCACTTCAATACACTCTTTTAATATGTCTATGCTCTGGTATAACATGTTTGATAGAATAAGATTATAAGATTAGTTTATTTAATTATTTAGTTTATTCACTAAACTTAACAAACTTGTCGCTTTGAGGTTATGACAATGACATTTAGATTCAGTTATAACTTCATTTCAATACACTCTTTTAATATGTCTATGCTCTGGTATAACATGTTTTATAGAATACAATTGTTATAAGATTAGTTTATTTAATTATTTAGTTTATTCATGTTATGTTTAAAATTGATTTAATACCTTTTTATGAATTAAAATATTTAATTTATATCTACCTAAAGTTTCCTATGTCTATGGTAGTGAACTGATCGGCTGGTAGTTCGTTTGTACCGGCAAGTGCTGCCAACAAAATGCACATCAAAACGACAGTTTTTTGTTTTCTTACAGCGATTGGTGTCATTGTCATTTGACATTTACAGTGACATTTCGACATTTTGTTATAAAATGTCAAAATAGTTTTTTCGCGTTTTTTCACAAAATATCGTGGGAAATAGAAAAAAAAACATTGAAAATGACGAAAGTGTGTCGATTGTGTTTGATTAAGCTGCAAAGGGGTTCGAAATATTTTAATATAAACGCGGTGGAGAGTTTCTCTGGTTTTATGCCATATAGGGATCAGTTAACGACATGTATACCGGAAATGGTGAGAATTTGTACATTTAATGTTTACTTTAACAAAAACACACATTTTAGGCATTGGATTTAATACCAAACCCAGTTATATGTAATGTTTGTCGACAAGCTCTTCGGCTTGCATACGACTTCAAAAATAGGTGTCTTAAAGTCGAAGAAAAAATACGTAAACATGTTGAAAGTCAACCCAGCGGCAGCGAATACGATTTATCAGAACTGGGAAATTATGATCATGGTCGAAGTCTTGTTTTAATAAACTACCCATCCGTAAATAATTTGAATACCCAAATACAAAAACCTGAATATATAGACATAAAGCATCATTATGTAAAACAGGTATTTATTTACATGGTTTTAAATAGTTAATGTTTACACTGAAAAGTACTTTTTTGTTCTGAAGATAGAAATTGGGTTGGGTTTGTTGTATATTATAATATATAGTATAGTAGATTAGGACCAATTTTTAAGCTTTTTACTTTCATTTTACCCACCTAGGCAATTAAGGTTTATTAAGAGGTGTTGAGTATAGTAGATTAGGACCAATTTTTAAGCTTTTTACTTTCATTTTACCCACCTAGGCAATTAAGGTTTATTAAGAGGTGTTGAAAAAAAGTGACATTGTTTTTATGTACTATAAAAATCCCTTGAGATAAAGCCAAAATTAATTTTTTTTTTAAATCCCAACTCTTAAATTCAATTTTAACAGGGTTTAAATATTTAAATCATAAACCTTTTAAATATAAAGGTTACAATTAAAAGGAAACAATTCTATAAGTAATTCCATTTATTATTTTATTGCTATGTAACTTTTTAACCTATCATCAATGGTGGGTCACACTGTATTCACACCTAAGTAGTTTTTTCTAAGGCTGGGAATTGATTATGAATAATTCGAATATTCAAGTATTTAAATAGTGGTGGAAATCAGTTATAAATTATTTGAATACTCAAATATTCGAATATTCAAATACTCGAATATTTTTTATTTATTTTTTATTTTATTAAGGTGCGTCTACTCGAATATTAAAACAATTTGAATCAGAAAATGTGCGCAAAAAAACTTGTTTTGAGTAATATTAACCCATTTGTTAAATTTTTTTATTATCAAAACATGAGTGATGAATTTTTCTAATGATTAAATAGTTTCGATTAACAGAGGTTTTTGCTTATTTAAAATGATTAAAGCGCTATCTATTGCATAAAATTTAAAGCTTAAACAGATTCACGGATGATGGAATCAATTTTTGTAACACCTATTGAATGGTTAAAAAAATTATTTCTTTTAATTTTTAATAATATTTTATATTTGATTCGATTGCTTTGGATGTGTTTAATTTACTTGAGTGAATTGATATTTTTAGTATGCTTTTACTACCTAAGATATTTGAAAACATATAGGTTAACTTATAAAAGTAACAGTCACGGAGGATAGGTTTTAGACTTAAAACATTGAAAAAAATAATTAATTGCGGTTAAAAATCTGGAACCTGATCTGTAATATCTACTTAATTATGAAATATCAAAACACAATAAAAGTGTAGGTCAAACTCATTTAGTTTTATTAAATATCACGGGGTAGCACCATCGGGGGACATTTCGTGAGATTCACCCACACAGAAACAAGTAATTTGATTAAAATGCGTTTTTTACCTATTTTGCAATTATTCCACAGAAACCGTGATTTTTTTTAGGGATTTTTGTTATAAATGGCCAAGACTCAAAAGGTAAAAAAACAAAACAAATCGAAAAAAGTATCTAGGCTATGTCAGTCTTTTATCTCCGTATAAAATTTTATCAAAATCGGTTCTGCAGTTTAGGTGTACAACATACATTCGCATTTATAATATGTATGGATTGAAGTAGTTATAAGATACATATGTACCATTTTCTAGATAATGGTATGCAAGCAAGAACCTGAGTCGGGTACAACAGTTAAACTAGGTTTAAAAGAAGAGTCTGATTTATATGATCCAGAAATTTTACCGGTAGAAAACAATGAACTCGAAATTGAGGCGATTTACAAATGCCCAATTCGTAAATGTGGCTTGGAATTCGAGGACTTGGAACAACTGCAAAACCACAAGGAATACCACTTGCCTAGTTTTGCCAAAGGCGGAAAAAAAGGCAAAAAATTCGCATGTACCATCAAAAATTGTCCGGAAAGTTTCGAATCGGTAGCTCTGTTGTCCTGTCACAAAATCGAGTGCCATGCTAACGTTATGGACGTTTATTTGTGTAACTTCTGTAATATGCACTTTAGAAGCCTACAATTGCTCAGAAGGCACAATTCACAATGCCAGAAAGGTGAGTTTTTTGTTTGTAACATTTACTAAAAATGTATAAATGTATTAAGTTCATTTTTTTATCTGAATTGCGGCAATGTTGCAAATTTAAGGTTTTGGTTGGTCGCATTGATTAAAACAAACTAAGCTAGTTATAAATCTAATTGTGGTTATGTATAAATTATTGTAGGTTACATTGTGCAGTTGACAAGTTGAGTTGTCGAAATTCGTAGTTAAAAATGCAATTAATTTGGCTTTGGTGGTGCTTGGATGAGTAAAATCATATAAAAAAGTAGTTAAATATAGGTTGCTTTACGGCCCAGAAGAGAAAGTATTCCTAGCGGATAATCTTCGCTTTGAAAAGAATTTATATAAAAGAAATTAAAATTTTTTGTACGTAAATGTTGTCCAATGGTGAATAATGTAAAAATATTGTGTGATGTAATATTTATAAAACCAAATTCGTTACTTTTTTACTCCAAAAATGTCCATAAGGCGATGTACTGTTTCTTCCATTGTGGCATTTGGCATAATTTCATCAAAATGAAGTTTTGCCCTCAAAAGGGCTTTTACATTCAAATTCGTTGCTATTATTTTTGGAATAATTATCTTTTTATTTATAATTAACAAGTAAATTATCAATAATAAATATTATTGTCAATTTGACAGTGTCAAAGTATTTAATTAAATTCTTTAGCAGAAGTACCATTTTTAAATAATAAAAATATTAAGTCAAACTAGCATAAGCCACCAACCTAACAAAAAAACACGAGTCCAGATAAAAAAAAATGAACTGTACTTAATACCTACATATTTTTAAATCTGACAACATTGTAAACTCAAGTTCTGTCAATGAACTTTATGGCAGTTTTAACTGTTGACAGTTTTAAGCCAAGTTTGCCAAATTTAACATATAAATAAATTTACATATAAATAAACATTTGGGTGATTAAAAAAAAATTGAATATTTTTGTTTACTTTCGACCCTGAAAAAATGGTTCTTAGGCACCTCTAGGAAGTGGTCACCAAATTTGAGCTCTTAAAATTAATAGGAAGATACTCCTCATCACAGTTTTCCATTTTTTCTTTAGTCCCTTATAAAAATACCCATATTTAATTATTAATTAATCGTTTAATCAAATCTTTATGCATATTTGTCTTTAAAATTGAATGCTCTACAAAAAAAGACTGATGTGTTTAAGGGATTTAAACCATTTAAAAGATACCCAAGCTTAAAATTTGAAGAATCTATAAAAAATATTAATAATAATTTTATAACTTATTTAATACTATAGTATATTATTATACAAGAGATAATGCGCATTGTTTCGAGTGTAATACTATGCTTTTTCTACTCCAATAAGTTATTTTCATTAATAAAAAAATGTATTATAACCTCACTTTCTCCCGATTTTAAAGATCATTATAGTCGCCCCTTGTATATATTGTGTATAAAAAATCAGACATCTGTTACATTTTTCCAATTTAAAACTCGATTGGTTTAAATAACAGTGCATATTGAAATCAGCCAATCACTGATGCCTAACAACGTGAATATTGAGTATATTATTCACGTTGTTAGGCAGGGCATATTGCTTACCATTATTTACGAAAAAAAACAAAATAATGTCAATAAAATTATTGTCAAATAAGTATGACATATTTTTGTAGGAAATTTGACACTTAACAAAAAAGGTCCCAATCTATTTAATTGATTACTGTAACCGTTAAAAAGATATTCGTATTCAAATCCCAATGCGTACTGAACGAATATCTTCAATAAAATATCAACGGTTAGAGTAATCAATTAAACACATTAGACTTTTTTGTAAAGCGTTAATCTTTCTTCAAAAATATGTCTTACTAATTTGACAATCATTATTTTTTAATGAGTTGTAAATTATTAAAAAAGTTTCTTTAAATAAATTCTTTAAACTTTGATCTTGAATATATTTTAAATGGTTAGAGTTGAGTTTGGGTTGGTTTGGTTTTATTACGTAACTAACGTGCCCTTAACATGTATACAGGTACAATTTATTATTATATTATTGTTGTGCCGCCAATTTTAAGTTAAGCGGCACGGCAGTGATGACGTTTTTTATCTATTACGTCACTAGCGTGCCCGTAAAAAATAAATTGCGGGCACTCTAACGTGCACCTAGTCACGGCGTTAAAAAAAATTCAATCACCCAATTTGACGTTTAAATAACCTCAAATGTCTTATTGTGTCGTTAACAATTTCAAATGTCAACTTTGACGTTCTAGATTCTAAACCTGACGCTATAACAACAATATTAACAAAGAGGCCTCATTTACCGACAAAGGCTAAAAATCACCTTAAAAAATGGCTTTTTAAACATACAGATGTAAGTAATAATATTTAAAATAATGATATTTTTTACATACCTACAATAATTTTCAGCATCCATACCCAACTGATCAAGAAAAACAACAGCTGATGATCGAAACTAACCTCACTTTATTGCAAGTAGAAAACTGGTTTATAAATGCCAGGAGGAGGATTTTACAGGACTTAACACGTCTAAAGGCGAGACGTAAGTATTTAAAATAGTAAAACCGACCTAATAAACGACACTTTGACATTAGAAACGACGTTAAAAACGTAAAAATTGACATTCTAAACGTCAAAATGACTATAAACGTCAACTGTAAGATTTTTAACTGAAATTCGCGCAGGTTTGTCATCGGCTTCTCTGATGCGAGGTTTGGAAGAGTTCGACGTCTCCATAGACATAAAAAATGAGGCGGAACAAGATATACACCAAGATGTACACCAAAATATTCGCGCAGGTTTGTCATCGGCTTCTCTGATGCGAGGTTTGGAAGAGTTCGACGTCTCCATAGACATAAAAAATGAGGCGCAACAAGATATACACCAAGATATACACCAAAATATTCGCGCAGGTTTGTCATCGGCTTCTCTGATGCAAGGTTTGGAAGAGTTAAACGTCTCCATAGACATAAAAAATGAGGCGCAACAAGATATACACCAAGATATACACCAAGATATACACCAAGATATTCGCGCAGGTTTGTCATCGGCTTCTCTGATGCAAGGTTTGGGAGAGTTAAACGTCTCCATAGACATAAAAAATGAGGCGCAACAAGATATACACCAAGATATACACCAAGATATACACCAAAATATACACGAAGATATACACCAAGATATACAAATGGAAATTATTGAACCTATGACAGTAACTGTCAAACAGGAGACACACAATTTTTAAGGTTATGTTAAGTTATTTGTGAGTTTGGAGATGTGACCCTCGAGGTGTACCAGAACTATGCAAACACTGAAGGATCGGTAAGGTTTTTAGGTTATGTCAATAAAAATTATCAGAATTATAATAATTGTTCTGAGATGCATATTATGGTTGTCTAATATTTTTTACGTTGATTTTACAATGTTTTTTGACTTGAAATGTTGTACTATTTGTTATCACCCTGTATGTTTTACAATTTTTTAATCGATGTGGCTCCCGTCCCGAGGCGGGACTTAACTTCGATCCCGACAGACGTCACACAATGTAAATCCGTTTTTATTCCCCGAGCTTTTATAATTGGTGTCAAGCTGGATGGCTTAGATGGTAGGGCGGTCGCTTGGCATGCGAGAGGTACCGGGTTCGATTCTACTAGAAGTTGTCAAACTTTTTTTATTTTTTTTATTTTATAAATTTGTTGTTTCTTTGTTAAAAAGTGTTTTATTTTTATCGTAACATAAATTTGCCCATTTTAGTTGGGTTTTTTGCTCAATGGGGCGGGGGGGGGCCCAATGGGGCGGGGTCGGTTGGGTTGTGTTGTTGAGTTTGGGTTGGTTTGGTTTTATGACGTAACTAACGTGCCCTTAACATGTATACAGGTACAATTTATTATTATTATTATTTTATTATAACATAACAAATCTTAAAATTATGACGTCAATCGGGACTGAACTTAAGTCCCGGACGGGAGCCACAGCGTTCTTTAATTGTATGCAACAAAAATTAATTTTTAAGAAAAAATTGTTTACATTTACATTTATACGAATAATTACATAAATAAAAATAATTGATGTATTGGCCATTAGGTATTTAAACAAAATATAGCAATGAGTTTTTTAAAGTTACAAAAATCTCATTTTCGAAATAAAACTTATGTAGTAAAAAAACTCATTAATATATCACATAAAGTGTCATAGTAGTAGGTACTTTTTTGTAAATAAATTTTAATTTGCACATGTAAATACGAAAAAAATAACATTAATTTAATTCTTAATACCCCCTAAAGCAGCCCTATATTTTAGACACCCTGTATTATCTTTACATAATTGTTTTATTTAGTTATATTTAGTAATACCTATTACTTATTATTTTTGTTATATCTTTATCATCTAGCTAGCTCTCTTAATACCTAGTTATAAATAAGTAGTTTTTATTTAAGCCTTAAATACTTCATTATATTATTTTTCTATGTTTAATTTTTATACTATAGTATAAATAAAATCTATTGTATAAATCTGAGTTTTACTGCTTGAATTTGGAGCCTCAAAAACATAGAAAAAATACTTTTATCTCCACGCGATCTATAATTTAAACTTGATTGTTGTCAACATTCGATAAAGAAATACCTTGTTATGGCCTAGGCCGACAAAAATTTTTATGAGGCAAGTTCGATTTTTTCTCGCTAGGGGTATTGTTTTGACATTTTCTAAGAAATTAACGTACTAAACTGGTTTAATTTATTTATAATAAGCACTAATTTGTTTGTTTTACTGTTATTGTTTAATATTTTTCATTAAATATTGTAAAATTAAATATGAATAATAAAACAAAAAGTGAGGTTAGGCAACCAAGAAAACGCACAATTTTTTTTCTACAATTTAAATTACCTATCTTTAAGTTTTAATTTGCTTTAAATTTTCAGTGAAATTAAATGTTAAACACAGCTTAAAAATTCCAAACTACCTATTTTTTAAATAAAAATCCAAACAAATTGAAATTAGATACCTACCTATTTATTAAACAATTAATTGAATTCAATGTAATAGCAAAAATCCATTTCTACTTAAATCATGTTGCTAGGTATTGTCAAAATATTACTGGTTCTAAAAGCAATAATAATTATTGTACATTTAATGTAATCTTTAGCTAATAAATAAATGAGATTCTAAAAAAGTGAGGTTAGGTCGCTTGGATGTTGAATTAAATTGACCTATATAAAGTGCTTTGAAGATAAAATGTTGTATGCCATTCGGCCAAGAAGTGCCTTTTTGTGCTTCGCTCAATTGTAGGCCTCCGCTCCGCGTCGGCCTTCAAACCTTGAGCTTAGCACAAAAAGCCTTACTTCTTAACCTAATGACATAAATAACTATTATTTCTATGCTCATAAACGATTATCACAGATCCTTTGTGACGAATCGTCACTGACGTTTATTGTTAAAAAAACTAAGTGGCCTGGTTGGTAATTTTTTTTAATTAAGTTGGCAGTTCGTTTAACCCTGCTCAAATTTAAAGTCAAGTGGTTGCACATGTGAAAATATTTGGTGAGTTTTTGCATAGGATTAAAACAAATATTTAGCAAAAATAGTACAAATTAGTGAGATAAATGTAATTTTAACGATTTTTTTGTTAATTTTGACTTCTTACGCCCTTGCGTTGTTTAATAATAGTCATGTTTTTGTTGTTGTCAGTGCGCAGCAGGCTAAATTCAAAAAACAAATGTCAAAGTGGCTGTGTGTTTTTAGGTAAGTTTTTACTATTTACTAATTTTTTACATACACATTCAGGCGATTTTTTGCTGTAGAATGGCTAGGTATTTTGTATAGTTCGATATTTTTAACGGTGTTCGCCACAGATTTAATATTTTTTATAAAACAAAAGTTGCCTCTTGATTTTTCTTTTTACTTTATTAATTTATAGTTGTTGCACCCTTTATTAACTAAATAAGTACCTATATGGACAAATAAACCCGTTAATTAGAGATTGTTTAATACATTTATTCTTCTTTATGATTTCTCAGACAGACTTTGAAAAAACCTAAATATTCTTAAAAATTTACAAATTGTCAACATGGAACAAATATTATAATTATTGTTTTTTGATTATTTATTTATTTTTTTTATTATTTATTCTATATATAGAATATATATATATATATATTTTTATTACGTTCTATAGTTGGGCAATAAATTCGTTTTTATACTACATGTATGTACAGTGACGCCACTGCTTGTACAAGCAGTGGCATCACTACAGGGGTGATAATATATCTTTTTAGAAAAAAAAAGGTAGGTACGCCAATGATCTAAAAAAATCCACATTTTTTAAATAAGAAGTCGATTAACGTTAAATTTTTTTTAAAGTTTTTTAGTAAAATGTATCGTTTCAAAGTAAAATTCCTATTCTATAATTCCCTCTAAATTAAATTTTGAGAAATTCCACGTTACTCAGCAATTTTTGTCGCGTCTGTAATAAATCGTGAGTTATTGCTGTAATTAAATTAAATCATCAAAAAAATGCAATTTTACCGTGAAACGATACATTTAACGAAAAAAGTTCAAGAGGACTTTTTTTTCCTAAATCGACTCATTTATCGGCTTATTTTATTTAGATATCTTTGGCGTACCTTTTTGTGTGACGCAGCGAGTCTTGAGTTGGGGTTTCGATAAGCGCCGGTACTTACAGTGCCATCACCACTAAAGTTCAAATAACAAAAAAAAAATAATATCGATTCTACACGTGATAACAGATCCAAGTGCAAAAAGAAAGGAAATAATAATAAGTTGAAAAGTGCGGGTGGCCCCCGGTTAAGTCACAAAGTGCTATAGCGTCGTAAAGTTTGTGTGAGAGTGAGTGAATAAGGTTAGGTCACACCGATAAGCCACCTGATCACTCCTGATCACCTGATTAGTCACCACAATCGGCAAATGCCAAGGAACACAGTCTGTCCGCTAGGGATAGGAAATCAGAATTAATCTAACTAGTTCAGACTCGAGTTCAGATAAGTAATTTTCCTAATTGCATGACCTAATAACAGTACCAATTTGATTCTAATATAATTTAATCGTTAAATACTTATATACGCAAATTCGCAATGTTGCCAAACTGAGAAAAGTAAACTATTTCAAGATTTAATTAACTGAACAGTTTTTGGCACATTTAATACGACCAATGCGCATAATTGTTTATTTAAAAGTCTGGAATGATACCTACAGTCTTTAAATTAAACTCGTACAGTCTTTGAATATACATTTTTACTACTACAAAAATGTAAAAAGATTTCAATAAGGCGGTGCATACAGTCAATAATGAAAAATCTCTAATAGAAGCACTCTGATTGTTTGTCTAAAATTTCTTTTTATTTCTTTCAAAAATTAAATTTAAAAATAGATAACATTTCCGTAAGTGTTAAACTAACAACCTCATTTTCTCAGTGTAGACAAACCATAAACAACTTAACCAAATGAAAAAGGCGTAAGAGTAAATCAGAGCTGTCAGACATCAGAAAGCTTAAGTCTTTTTTTTAACTTAAGTCATTTTTGAGACTTAAGTCATTTGATTTAAGTCTCTTTTTTTTGGACGACTTGAGACTTAAGACTTAAGTCATTTTCAAAATGATTTGTATTATTAAGCTTTTTCTACATTTGCGTAAGGACTTAAGTCTTTTTAAAATGACTTAAAACAAAAAAATGACTTAAGTCTTTTTAAAATGACTTAAGTCCAAAAATGATTTAAATCTTTTTAAAATGACTTAAGTCTAAAAATGATTTAAATCTTTTTAAAATGACTTAAGTCAAAATAATGATTTAATTCTTTTTAAAATGACAAAATAGATAAGAATTAAATTCTTAAAAAAATAAATAAATAATGATTTAATAATTTTTTGGTGTGATTATGGATAAAATATTTTTTACTCAATTTTTTTTAATGTCCACATACAAATAATTACGGTCTTGAAGCTTCACTAGAATAAGTAAACATTTTTTTAAATTGCAAAAAAACCTTAACTGATGATTTCAAATCGGTTAGCTTGCTGATTTATTGGAATATTCTAAAAGTCGAAGAAAAATTAAAAACTGTAAAATGTTTCGATAATTTTTTTTGAAACGCCTTGATGGTGCCGTTAAGTTTTATAGGCCATTTTGGTAGAACTTTTCAGAAAATGACTTTGGATTTTAGAAAAAAATATATACAAGGTGTTTTTAGTGGGAAAAAAATAAGGTCCGGTCCTGATTTTTTTTTGAATGTCCGATACAGCGCTGTGTAGGTACTTTATACTTAAGTATGTATATAAAATTTTATGCGATTCTATTGATCCATTCCCAAGATATGATTTTTCAAAATTTTCGACAAAATACATAAATCGCCCTGTAACTCTTAAACGAAGGACCTCCGAATTTTTTCAAAGCCAGATTCGGATTCACCTCTGAAAACTACACCTACCCTATGTCGGTTTCCTCATGCAACACCATGTATAGAGGCTTAAATTGTTACAGTGTAACAATGTTACACGCTTGAAAAAATTGACATAATCAAATTAAAGCTAGTCCGTGCCTGGCGAACTAA